GATATTCTGGCTAAAAAGAGGGGACAAACAAAGATGGGTGATGGATGGTGTATTGGCCTTATATTCTTGGTCATATGAGGTGACTGATTTAGTAGGTGGTGTATCAACAACAACTCAAATGTCCCTTGGCTTTTTGTGGTTGTTTATTCAGCCCTAGTAGGGAACATAAAGGGGACAAGAATGGGGAATATCTTGGTTGATGTTGTGTTGGGATAATGAGGGATATTTGGCCTGGGATTTATAGAAAAGGATAGAAGGTTTTATTTGTTTATTAAAAGGTTTAAAAGAAAGAAAATAACAAACAAAGGTTGTGGTTTACACACTCTTATTTTCGGCAAGGGCCTAAAATAGGAGTAGGAAAACTTTATTTTGAAAAGGAAATATTTTGGATGTTTAGGGAAGGTATGGAGAGTGTGGGCTCAGCCTAGGGTGGGTGTAGGACAACCATGGTGTTGGGTTGGGTTCTAAGACAGGAAAATGGAGAAGTTTCAACCCAATTAATGTCACCACACTTGGGCTTTATTTCCCTGATCTGTCTTTCCCTTGGCGGGCTACGGAGAGTCTTTGGGCATGCTCCCGGATATATATCAGCACGTCTTGCTACGTAGTTTAAGCATTATTCTCGAACTGCCTTCTGCGTGACTACGTAGTTTTGCTGCAATACACCAAACATACATGTATATAGATTAACATAAAAAGCAAAATACGTAGAGTAGTATGAATTCACATCCAATTGAATTCAACGAAAACTAACCATTTATATATACAATATATATTCATTGTCACTTACTAATACTTTTTATGCCTTCTTATTGACGTAGGTCTTCCCATCATGTTTATTTGTATGTGTGTGTACGAAGAGTACAAGTCAGAAGTTTGTCTACTTTTACCCTAAAACAATAAAATATATAAATAAGTGTAAACATGTCAGTTAAAACATTTAAATGAAAATAATGTTACTAATAATACTTACAAGGCGTGCTTGAGACTCGCGAAAAGACAACAGACCACCGGTGTGCGTGGCCGGCCCTAGCAGGGCCATTCTCGTCACCACCACGACGATTTTTCTTGTTTTGCTTGGAGGACGCCAAGAACTTTTCCGTCTTCTAATACTGTTTAACAACATTTAATACAAATATACAAATAGAAATTCAATAGAAATTCTGAATAGAAATTTTTACATGTGAAAGTTTCACATTCCAGACTTGAATCTAAGTTTGGCGCAACTCAATCTGTATTTATAAAACCCAATCTGTATTTATAAAACAAGAACTACTAAGTCTTTTATACATCCAATTCCGATTTTTGTGAAAGTCACTATTCTTAGAAGTTCATAAAAATAAAATTAACATACTATTAAGTTATAGAATTAAAAAAACATTAAAAATATAAATGGAACAACCACAATATTCAATAACATACATAATACATATACAATCTTCATATAACATTAATAATATCCAAAATATGCTATTAAACAATTAATTAGCATAAATTCATTCCTCATATAAAAGTTACAATATATAAATGTAATAAGCACGATATTCATTCACTAAAACTTTCAAGAATATAATTAAATTTTTTTAAAACAAATGACTAAATTTTGAAAAACAAACCCTAATCTAAAATAATTATAAAATTAAATTTGTAATAATAAACAAAATATGTTAACTTAAAAACCCCTAATGTAAGCAATACATTTATAATTAAAAACAAACTAATTCAGAAATTGAAATTGAATAAAAGATGAAAAAATGAAAAACAAAACCTGAGATTTCAAGTGGACGGTGACGAAAGATGGGTAGACGACCGGCGGTTGATGGTGGCGGACGGAGAAGATGATCGGACAACGACCGGCGGATGATGATGGCGGAAGGCGTCGCGGAGGAGACGAAACTAGACAACAACTCTTTGTGGTTTCTGTCTGCAAAATCGGAGAAACTGAGAGGAGTTCCCATTTTTAGATCTGTTTTTGGCGACGGATTTAGCGACAGAATTTTTCCGTCGCTAGCTCAAAACGCAACGTTTCAATTATATTCTTTTACCGACGGAATTTTTCCGTCACCAAACTAACGACGGAAAAATTCCGTCGTTATTTCCGTCGTCTAATATGCCGCGCACTACCTCCCGCCAATACGGAGCGACGGAATGCTGATTTCGTCGTTAATTTTGGTAGGCGTAAAATTCCGTCGCTAAATCCGTCGTCGTTAGCGTCGAATTGCATTCCGTCGCTATAATCCGTCGTTTTTTTCGCGTTTTCTTGTAGTGTCAATACATGTTCGTAATTGGGACTCCTGACCAAGATTGTATTGAGACCATAATATCCCATTTAATACAAAGTTGATTACTTAATTATTTTTGAAAAAAAAAATCATTTTTTTTCATGATTCATAGAAATGTTATAGTTTAAAGCTGACACATATCATAAACCTGAAATTGCAAACAGGCCTCCCATTACTTTAGTGGCATACTTCGTGGATTCGTTGGCGATTTGGTTTCGACGCGGGAGATTTCAGAATTGCCTGCACATTTGAGACGGGCTTGTATTGCCCATGGTGGAAAACTTACTCCCTCATATGAATATATTGCACGAATGCGAAACTCTGCCTCGTCATAACCTTTTTAACATCTCATTCATCTGGGTCTACATTGGAAACAAAGATCCAACAAAGATTACTGGCCTTCATAGTCTTCTAGCCACAATATGATTAGTTTTCTTTCTCTGCAATGTCAATAATTAATTATCTTTAGGTGTATAATCCAAAGAAGATTGGGGTTCCAAATTCTAATAAGATTTTTAGGAGTTAATTAATGTCCAAATCCATGTATCTTTCATTCCATTGCAAATTATGCCCCAAAATTTCTCCCTCCGTCCGTATTTTTATTCTCATTTAGATTCTTTGTGATTAATGTTTTTAAATTTTGACTATAAATTACGGAAAATGTACATTGAATTGTGATATGAATTTTAATATCAATAAACTTATTTTGAAATAACCTACGTTTGTATATAAATATTAATGGCCAAAATGCTGTATTAGAGATCATGAAAAATAAAACAAAAAGAAAGATATCAAAAGGAGTATCTAAGAAGTTGTGTGCCGAAGAGGGAGGAGTAAATAGACTGGAATCCCGAAGAATTGATGGTTTGTTCGGCTAACAACTAGTTGCATTAATGGTTGGAAATAAATTAATTATTAGCTTTAAACTGCGCTTCCGTTTGAAATTAAAATTTCAAATATACAACAACACGCGCTATTCCATCGCCCATTATCTTTGCAGCCTTTACAGTTTTCATAAATGGGATTCTGATTCTAATCCAAAGAATTGCATTTTCCTCATTACTTCACTCCATCTCCCAGAATAATAACAACAACACATCACTGGCTTCTCTCTTCAATTCTCTTGTGTTCTTCAAGCCACTGGAAAAAGAAAGAAAGAAAGAAAGAAACTTCAACAAGAATTTCGACCCCTTAGGCTATAAGTACGTAACCATAGGGAGTAGTAATATTGAGGTCGAAATGGGTGCGCGGTCGATAATGGACGAGAACGAGATGGCAAGGGTTGTGAAGAGGTTTGGAGATGAACAGAGCACTCTGTTAGACCAGTACGAGAGGCTGACCTTCGAGGTGCAATTGAACAGGGCGATTTTGGGCAGGAGCTTTTCTGATCGAACTTATGGGGCCGCACCGCCGCGTGTGGCCGCGCCCCCGGCAGAGAAGGGGAAGCGCCCCCGTCCCTTTTCCGGTTTGCCTAAGGCGGTGAAGAGACTACTGCTGAAACCATTCCTTGCCAAGAGGAAGAACAAGAAGGGTAGCATCATTGGTGGTGATCAAAAGGAACCCACGTTATGGAAGGCATTCGGTAGTAGGTCACTCAGGTTCTGATAAAAGGCGTTTTTATTCTACTTCGGAAGTTCAAGCAAGAAACGCACCCTTATTAGCTTCCTCCTCTTTTATTTATCATTTTTTTTAGTAAACTTTCAGAAATTAGTCCTCAAAACTAACTAATTCTCGAAATGGTATTTGGTAGTTGAGAATAATCCTCATTTCAAATCCCTCCAACCGTTAAAAATAAGTTAATCCTTATACTATTTTCTCAAAATGGTACTTTATAAAAATACATCAATTGTGAAAAAATATTTTCAATTTTGTAGGATAATAATATAATACTAAAAACTATAAATATAATTTTATAAATTTGAAAGTAACATTTTAGATTATTTATAATTATTTAAAAAAATATAATGTAAACAAAATATTTAATAAATGTTGAGGAATCACCTTAAATGGGAGTAAAACATAAAGCTCTTATTTTGGTACTTCCTCTATGTTTTACTTCTATGTAGGGTGATTTCTTTATCGATTATTAAACGTTTTATTTACATGTTATTCTTCTGAATAATTATAAATAATCGAGAATATTTGTTTTTAAACTTATAAAATTATATTTATAATTTTAAGTATTATATTATCATCCTATAGAATTTAAAGTATTTTTTCGTAATTAGTGCATTTTTATTTTGAAAATGGACCCATTTGAAAAAACACACGGTTAGAAAGTACCGTTTTAGAAAAATAGTATAAAGTTTAACGCCGTTTTAACGTCGTTTTAATGGTCGTTAGTCGGGAAACTGAACTGGGCATTATTTTCTATTAATGAGTACTATCTTGAAAATTAGTTAATTATGAAGACTAATTTTAAAAAAAATATAATTATTGAGTACCATTTTGATTATTTACTTTTTTTTTGTCTCATTTATCATGTATGGATCTTTTTTTGTTATCGTGCGTGGATCATTTTGTATCATTTATAATAAAATAGTCAAACTATTTTATGTACTCCGCATTTTTAATGACTAAATGAGTAAAAGTCAACGTTTTTCAATAGTAGTACATACAATAATGAGTCCCTTATAGATGATTAAAACGAGAATAGTTATTAAACTTTCAAGAGATTAAAACTATACAATATAATTTTTAAAAGAGTAAATTCCATAAAAGATCCCCAGTTATAGATTGTTTTACATATTTAGTCCCTACATATCAAATACTACTAATTTAATCCTCAATTATTATATTTATTTCCACGAATGATCCTTTGTTAACATTTCCGTTAAGAACGTGGATAAAATTGTAAATTCACACTCCTTTCTCTCCTCAATTAAGCTTCCTCCATCCCCTCACACTCCTTTTCCAAACTCGTCGCTGAGTTTGAAGCTTTCAACTCAAAACCAAAATCATCACTCTTCTCTCAATTGTTTTTCTAACTGGTGGAACCCAAATTCGAAACCAGTAATCTTCATGGATGCGTTTCAATGTTTATTTTCTTTGTAATTTCTTGAGACTAACCGATAAAACTCTTCCAAAAAGCTTATTGGTTTTGATTTTAGGTTCCACCAGAAAGACTAATAATTGAGAGAGGAATGATGATTTCAGTTTTGGGTTTAGAGCATCAAACTCAGCGACGAATTTGAGAAAGAGTACGAGAGGAGAGAGTAAGCTTAATTGAGGAGAGATAAAAGTATGAATATGCAATTTTATTCATGTTCTTAACAAAAACGTTAACAAAGGACCATTCATGAAAAATGATATAATAATTAGGGACTAAATTAGTAATATTTGATATGTAGGGACTAAATATGTAAAACGATCTATAATAGGGGACCTTTTATGGAATTTACTCTTTTAAAAACATATTGCAGAATTCATGTGTGATATATGAGTTTAGATTAATACACATTTGTACTAGATTAGCGCGTGATTAACACATTCCTAAACCTAGTACATCGAAATCATTGATGCAACATTTTTAAAAGTTTAAAAACATTCGGTACAATTTTTAAAATACAAGGAGAATTCGTAAAACTTTTGAAAAGTTCAAGGGTAAATGTTACAAAAACACTTTTTTTAAGTTTACACTTATCAAGATACAAATTCAAGCTTAAGTTCAAGCTTCTGATTGTGACACAAAAGGTTTTTTTATATACTCTAACAACTCTAATACCGGAGTATTTAAAAGAAAAAATATATATTTTAAATAATTTCAATCAAATATCTTAAACAGAAATTAAAAAATAAATGAGCACTAGGGTATTATTACTTAGTTTTTTTAAAAGGTAACACCTTCATATAATATTCTTCACATCCGTAACACAAAGAGGTACAAATAATTGGAGTAAGAGAGAACAATTTTTTCTTCCTCTTATTGTGATGGCCGAAATTCTCATCCTTAAAAGGAGAAGGGATTATCTCTTAATTATAGGGAGTATAATCACCCTTAGTTTCCTAATCCTATTGGTATCTACCTTTTAACACTTAGGAAAGAAAATAAATTCTTCTCCTAATACAATTATGATTTTTGATCCTATCATTGGGAAACTTCCAAATTATTTTGTCAACCTTAATTATCATATAAGTAACACAAAATAAATAATATAACATTTTATTCATATATATTTGAAATACATATATAAATACATAGATATATCTATGACGATATAATACATACATACATACATACATACATAATATTTGACAAACTTAATTATCATAAATTAAAATATCCAAATATAAACATATATTATATTTATATGTGCATTTTTATTCTAATATATTGTGTCCAACCCAATATACACATTTATATTAAATGTACATTTTACTCCATAAAATATTCTACACCATCAAATGTTTTAAGTGTGTGACCCTCTTCTAGGCTACTCATAACGTTAGCCATAGTATTAAAATACTACAAGTAATTACCTTTATCTAGCAATACATTATCACCCCAAGTTATGGATATGGAGCTCTTGGAACAATTCCTTCAACGACACATCTCATTGTAAAACTTTATCCCTTTATTACTAATGTCTTGATTTAACACAAGGTATGAGATGTGTCACCTTATTAGAGTTAAATCGATGGTTTACTGATCATGATTCTTTGATTGACTTGTGAGATTTAAATAACATATTTATTTGGGCATGACCAAGCATTTCCTAAGTCACATCAATTGGTGGGCCCTTAGACATTATATTTCACAAAGGATCGGATAAATTCTATCTACGTTATTCACATCTCTACTTAAGTTTCATTGCATACCAAAACATAATTGTACATCCTGTTGGAACACACTTTGTACGTTAAACTAAAGTCGTGTTCATTTCTGACAGGTTTTGATAATTGCCAAACCGCCGTGGATATGAAGAGTTTCGTTGAATAACTCAAGGCGTGAAGAATGGCTTGGAACAAGACCTAAAAGACTCAAGGACAGATCAAGAATTGAAGACTTAGTCGAGTTGGTCTTTTGTGATCAAAACCGATAATCAATTCAAGTCTCGGTTCTCAAAGAGTCAAAATTATTTTACAAAATCATAAAATGTTTTTATGCATCAAAATAAACATTTTAGATAAATCTCTTTATTGTTAAAATCCCTGGTCCTTGCTCAGAACCAAAACCACCTAAGTCGGCGTTCGGCTTTCAACGTTTCGGCTTTCGGCGTTCGGTTTTTAGCGCCCGAACCAACTCTGTGGTTTTCAATATTTTAAACCCTGTTTTTATCTCTGAGCATATTTTAAAGGTTCCCGAATAATTATTTTGTAAAAACCACTTTTGTATCTTGGTCAATCGGTCTAACACGTGAAAAACGGTCAAAATCGTACGCACGTGATTTACGACCTTGAGGACTTGGTTTTTACCAAACAAGTCTTGTTTTCACTATTTTATACCATATACAATGTTTTTCAAACTTGGTTTTTACTTTTGGGAACGCTTCGTTTTTGGACCTCGGTTTTTCAAAACGGGTTTTAGCTGGCTAGACTTTAGCTGGGTGATAATCGATTATCACCTTAGTGACAATCGACTATCAGCCACTGCAGCTTTGAACTTCCAAGTTCTGAAGCACGCAATAATCGATTATCAGCTTTGCAATAATCGATTATCAGCCTTTGCAGCCAAAACCCAGAATCTCCTGAGAGGACCAATAATCGATTATCACTTGTTGACAATCGATTATCTGGGTTACCGTGTTCCTCCAACGGATAGAATTTTAAATTTTTGGACATGGAATCTTTGGATAATCGATTATCATGGTTTGACAATCGACTATCAGCCTGTGTCCCTGAAAAATTTGTCTTCATCCTGTTGGAAATTCTAGCAACGGGTTTATCCCATTTTGGGCTATAAAAGGGCACCCAAATCCTCTCTTTTAACACACAAATTCTTCAACATTTCAATACTCATTCATTGCATAAGCATTTCTATTTTTCTTAGCTATTTGAGAGCCAATTCTTGAAGAAATTGTCGTGTTTTTGAGCGTTTACTAGTTCACTCATATCTACTCTTGTGAGAGTTTTATTCCTGAGTGTTTAAGTGTTTTCATACACTTTAAGGGAGTTTGTTCCCTTGTTGTAAACTCGAAGGAAGTTTCTTGTTCCTTCGTGAGAAGTCTTGGAGTGCGGTATCTCCGAGCAAAGGTGTTGAGGCTCGTGTGACTCGGGTTCTCAAGTTGTATCGGTTTGTTAAGCACCCTTAAGCTTAACGGAGTTAGTGTAGCTCGAGAGAGTCTCTCGGGGGGCTGGATTAGCCACACGTTGTGGTGAACCAGGATANAATCCGGTGTGCTCCTTCTTTACGCTCTTTACTTTAACGCTCTCGTTTTAATTTCCTGCGATTTTGTTTTAAACGCTATTCACCCCCCTCTAGCGTTGGGCCTTTATTCTAACACATCCACCAATATTTCAGGTGGCATAAATCACGCTTCAAAATATGCAACTCAACTTAATCAGAGATCATAATGACTTCATCAAGTCAAATAATAGTTATATTAATCATCGCATGAGAATAATATTAACACTTTAACTTAAACCCATATATTATTCTCATAGCGGGCCAATCCAGCAACATATCCCATATGTTTACTTACACATAGATTCAAATAACATTTTATCTATAGCCTATAAAATGCAGCTATCTCATCTCATGCGTATTAGTCTTAATATATTATGATGTTCTTATTATCATAATATTCGACTAAGGATATGATATTTTAGGCGTAGTCTCTATCTTTGTAATAGTCTAATAATCAAAACATTACAGTTCTCATCTCTGTTACTAGAGTACCTACTATATGGACTAAAGCCATGTTTAAATCACACGAGACAATTTAAACAATCTTTAGGGCTTTTTATTCTTGATATCATAGATATGGAATCATAAGTTATCCTCTAGGGCTTACTTATATCCAACAGCTAGGACAGTGGTGGTCATGAGGCTGTAAGGGTATTTTGGATATTTTTCTCGTAAAGTCAACATTCCATAAAAATGACAAAAACTTAAAATGAGATGTTCTTTCCCAAACGGAGGGAGTATCTCAATAAGCTTCATTTGAAACAATGTTATTGGGCAAATAGTTCTGGTGCCCTTGAGTTTGAAAAATTAGTACTAATACCCTCATCTTTTTAAAATATATTTATAACATTCTCATGATTTCAAAATGTTACAAGAATTTCTAATCTGTCGAAGAATGTTAAGCATTTGCATTACACATTTACACACTTCGAGAGTGTGACTGAAGATGGGGAATTAGAGCATATTTTTTAAATCACATTGGGCATCAGAGTCCATCATCTCATTTTGTGTTCATTTTTTTCTTTTTATTATTTCTCTTTTTTCTCTTTGATTTCTTTCTTGATGTTTTATAATGATTTTAAAATTTAAAATTGATTACGTTTGAAATAACAAAATAAATGAAATTAAAAAATTAGCATATACTCCATCTGTCTGAAATTAAACATAATCTTAATTTGTTTTCTAACATAAAAATAAAAACATGTTCTTTTGGGGCTTTCAAAAAAATATAGAGAGGCATAAAAAATGAAAACAAATTTAAAAAAAGAAATGAAAAAAGGAAAAAGATACAAAAATATTACTCGCTCCGTCCCATAAAACATTTCTCATTTCTTTTTTCATCCGTCCCATAAAACATTTATCATTTCTATTAAAAAGTCACTTTTACCCCTTACTTTTTCATACCCTACCTATCACATCATACCTTTTTACAAATAATATACACATCAAATCCTACTTTTACCCATCACATCAAAGGACATTTTTGGAAATTTAATACCAAAATACATTCCCTTAAATCTCTTCAAAAAGCAAAACATCTCATGTTTCATGGGACGGAGGGAGTATTATATAAAAAGGAAAATGTAGCTATGAAATCTGCGGATAAAGTTCGTTATCGGAGACGTCCAAAAATATTCTAATTATTTTTGAGATGTCTCCAAATTCACTTAGAGCCTGTTTTTAGGGCTTAAACTCTTCACTTACAGTTCTTTCCAATTTCTTCCAACTATATATTCTTATTTTTCTTCAAACTCTTTCTACTCCCAACCAATTATTCTAAAAATGATAAATTTTTAATGTGATTATCATTATTATTATTATTATTATTATTATTATCACTATCACAACTGTTATGTTCATAATTATAGTTTATAAATTTTTTTCATCTCACTATTTTTACGATTCACACTCATTATTTTTCCTTCAACTTTTTAATAGGAATAAGACAATTTTTTGTATATTAATCTACATGATAAAATAGGAAAAAATCAATTTTTTAAAACTATATTAAAAAACTATGGATAAAATAGTTACATAGAATGTTTTATTAATCTAACTTTATATAAGACCTCTTACCTTTGCCTTATTACTCAAAGTTTTCTCATTTTTCTAATTTTTATAAAAAAATTGAAAGTCAAAATGGTTTAGAGAAAAAGACTAAAATAGAAGTAAAACATAAAAATATAAAAATAAATTCTATGTCTTTATTCCAAAAATAAGACTTACAATGAAAATAAAATGTCAATCATGAAAGAAAAAATAGATTTGATTACATTATGTGACATGTCTGATATTTAAAACAAAATCTTGTAATATATAGAGCGTAATTATAAATATATTATTTATAATAAATACTACATAAATAAATTGAGGTGCAATGTAACCACAAGTTTTTTTTAAAATTTAACATTTTGATATTTATGTTAACTTTATATTATAATTATTTTTTTTACAAAAGTAGTTTTTTGTATTTGAAAAATAACGATAATTTTTTTTTTATCTTGAAGACATTGATTAAGATAACGTCATGATGATGATGATGATGATGATAATAATAATAATAATTTATAACAACAAGAATTAGAATTAGAATAACATAAACATACACTAAAATAAACTTTTTTAAAGTTTTTTTTCCAGTTTCTTCGAGTTCCTTCCAGTTTCTTCCAATTTGTTCCAGTTTTTCCAGTTTTTTTTCAATACCCAGCTTTTTTTCTAGTTCTAAAGAATAGACAACTCTTTTTTCCAGTTCTAAAGAACATGATATTACTACATGTTCTTTCTTCAATGTTTTTTGAATATATTGTGCGTTCTTTTTTCTTTTTTGAGTAATCACTTATGGTGATTATTAACACGAGTGTTAAATAAAATTATTAATAGCAAAAAAAGAATAAATATAATTATTTGCAATGTTATGATAGGAATTTACTACAACTCCGTCCCAGTGTATTTGTCGAGTTTAACTTTTTCGAGTCAAACTGGACAAACTTTGAACTACAATTAATCTCAATTTATATTGCATATAAGCATAATGAAATACAATTTTGAAAGTTACCAATACGGTAAATCCAATAAAGTCATTTTTATGTTAAAATATATTACGGTTTTTATTTAATTGAAGCTTAAAATTTGTTCAATTTGACTCGAAAAAATCAAACTGGACAAATACACTGGGACGGAGAGAGTATGTTATAAAATAATACTCCGTAGTAATTAAACAAATTATGCATGATATTGTGACGAGCCCATTAAATTTTTTTATTAAAATTCATAAATATTAAATTTGTAAAATTTGTGATGATTATATTTGTGAACCAAATATACTTACTGTTCATGTTTGGATTCAGATCTAGTGAGTAATAAACTAGATCGATCCGGTACAGTCCATGCCAGCTTGCCATTCGGTCCGGACCAAAATGACCGACAATGTCCATTATCTCCTTATTTCTTACTCCCTATTTAACGTTACCCGCCTTGACTTTTAGACTTTTAGTGTGAGATCTTGGTTTTCTAAAGCCTCATCTTCTTCGCAACAGCCTCTGCGTCATCTTCTACGCGGCAGTCGGCACCGTCTTCACCGCAGACGGCTTCAAATTATCAACCCTCATCATCTTCTGCCTTCATCCTCATCGCATGTGCCTTCAACACCAACTAGCAGTGTCTACAGTGCGGAGACGCCGGCCAACAGCGGAGCAGAAGCAGTTTATTGGGCGGTTTCCATCACAGGTTACCTAATCCCTTTCACCTGATTTAATTTCCCTTTGATATCTTCCAAAACTGATTTCAATTTTATTTTAATTTTATCCACTTTTATTTTAATCGGGGTTGGATTATGAAGCTCATTGTGTACGCCTTTGGACTCTGGATTATGAAGACCACTGGATTAAATTTTTTCATCAGAATTATGATCGGAAATCAATTTTTTTTGGCATGGATTCGGTCTTTTTTGGTCTACAAGATTTTTGGTCTGGAAGTATGTGGGTAACAGTGGGTTGGTTTGGGTAACCAAGCTCTTCAAGGTTATTTTTAAGACGACTACGATGCCTGATGAGTGGAGGAACTAGGGAGAGTGTGTTGGTCCCATTGTACAAGGGTAAAGGTGATATCCAGAGTTGCGACAATCATAGAGGCATCAAGCTCCTTAGCCATTCCATGATAGTTTGGGAGCGTATCGTCTAGGCTAGACTAGGGAAGGGGGTGTGCATTTTTGTGAATTAGTTTGGTTTCATGCCTTTTCGGTCGTCTACGGAGGCCATTCACCTATTGCGGCGCTTAAAAAAAAGTCAAGGAAATAGGAGTTCATTTGCAAGTGTTCAACCAGTTAGATTCAAAATGGCCCGGTTGTCCACTTGAGGGGAAGTGTTAAGAGTATCCCACATCGGAAAAGTGTGAGAAAAATAATCGGTATATAAGCTCTTGAGTTAAACTAACTAATCGATTGGATTCAATCTTTTAATGTGGTTCAACTCAAGTGTCTTATTAGCCTAATCCAGTAGTCCATATCCCATCCCAATTTCTATCAAGGGCTAAGAAGAAGGATTTACATATGGTGTTCATTGACCTCGAGAAGGCGTACGACAGGGTGTCAAGAGAGATCTTGTGGAGGTGTCTTGAGTTAAGGAGGGTGCCGTTTGCATATATCCGTGCAATCCACGATATGTATGATGGGGTTAGGACTAGGGTGAGGACTGTTGGTGGGGACTCTGACAATTTCGCTGTAGAGGTTGGGTTACACCAGGGGTTGGCCCTTAGCCCCTTCCTGTTTACTTTGGTGATGGACGTCTTATCACAGAGTGGCCAAGGGGAGGTTCCTTGGTGCATGCTTTTTGCTGTACTGATTGATGAGACACGAGGACTTAATGACAAATTAGATTTATGGCGCCTTTCTTTGGAATTGAAAGGTTTCAAGCTAAGAAATACTAAGATAGAGTACATCGAATGTTGTTTTAGTGGTTAAGTGATGGAATTAGACGGGGAAGTTAGGATTGATTCCCACCCAGTGCCTAAGGCCATGTTCTCCTCAACTTAATTTTTTTTACTTACTCCTTATTCTTATTAGAATCAGATCAGACTCGATCAGATTAGATAAGTTCAGAAATAGCTTTAAATATAACTACATTTAGACCAGATCATAACTTATTCTAACTAGATCAGAGTCAATCAGATCAAATAAAGAGAACATGGCCTAAGAGAGACAAGTTCCGTTACCTGGGCTCGATCATCCAGACGGATGGGGAGATAGATAGGGATGTTGCTCATCGTATTGGAGCTACATGGTCCAAGTGGAAGTTGACGTCAAGGGTACTTTGCGACAGGAAGAATTCGGCAGGGATGAAAGGGAAGTTCTGCATGTCCGTTGTGAGACCAACTATGTTGTATGGCGGTTAAGAAAACTCACATTCACTAGTTACATGTTGTAGAAATGCATATGCTACATTAGATGTGTGGGCATAGTGGCATACAAGGTTGGATATGATTCAGAACAAAGTTATTCGGGGACGGGTTGGAGTGGCTCCTGGGGAAAGTAAGCTGCAGGAAGCTAGGATGAGGTGGTTTGGGCACGTCAAACGGCGAAGTGCGGAGGCTCCGTGCGGAGATGTGAGAGGCTTTCAGTGGTGGGAGGGAATGTGGGAAGGGGTAGACCTAGGAAAACATGGAAGGAGGTGGTTAGCCATGATCTTAGACTTTTGGCCCTTACCGAGGATATGACCTTAGATAGGAATGTTTGGAGGGACCTTACCGAAAACATGGCCTTGATCTAAAACATTCCTATCTAAGGAAAACATGGAAGGAGGTGGTTAGCCATGATGTTAGACTTTTGGCCCTTACCGAGGATATGACCTTAGATAGGAATGTTTGGAGAGACCATATTAGGACTGGTGGGTAGACTCCTGGGTATGGTAGTAGTTTTTGTGCTTGATGATGCGTATTTTGTATGCTTGGTGCTTCTTTCTTTTTCCTTTTTTTGAATGTTTCGACTGTACTATGCTTTTTGCTTTTTTCTTCGTGCTCTGTGCTTTCTGTATTGTTCGAGCCTCCTTACTTCCGAGTAGGGGTAAGGTTTGCTTACACACCCTCCCAAAACCCTACCTCCATGGGATTTTACCGTGGGATTTTACTGAGTTGTTGTTGTACAATCAAACACAAATTAACACATAGAGGCATGGCCTTATATGTAATTTCACCTGCAAACAGCTAATTATGTACCAAAATTTACCAAACGCTTTTTCTTAACAGCTAACACAAACAGTCGGTCAAAATAGCTAACTCAATCAGCCATTGAAACCAGCCAACGTAAACAACCAAAATCCCGTTTCCAAACAAGGCCCTAGACCGAGAAATCGCTTAGAGTGAGTGGAAAGAGAAAATGAGGGAGCCAGTGACCGACACTAGCTCCGCCACATCTCCTCCGCCCCAGGCCCTGCTTGAGAGGCTCAAAGACTATGGCCAGGAAGACGCTTTTTCCCTTTGGGATGAGCTCTCCCCCGACGAACGCGACCTTCTCGTCAAGGACATTGAGGTATTTTCTTTATTCCATTTCAGCTCTCTTCTCATGAACTAAAATTTTGCGTGATTTTGGAGCTCTCTTTGACTAATTGGAGTTTAAATTGGAATCTGATTTGTTTTTCTTGAATCACTGTGCTGTAAAAGATTGACTTTGACTTTTGTTTTCATCAGTGTAGGAAAGTAAATTAATCATGGAAGTCAATATGTCACATATATATATTGGAAGTGCTCATTTAATTTTCACTGATGCAATTCTAATTATTAATTTTCCCTATAACTTTGAAATGCGTTTATCTAGGTTATTATGTTTTTGCTGAAATGCATATTCAATCTTATAAGGATTTGTTGTTATTTTTATACGTATACCTTTGCAGAATATAGATCTCCCAAGGATTGATAGGATTATACGCTGCTCCTTTCGCTTTCAAGGTGTTCACTCACAACTTCTCTTTTCCTTTTCTGATGACACATTTCGATAGGGTTTTTAGTAGTTTTACCTATTTCTTATTTGTTTTTTAAAACATAAGGTCTTCCGGCATCAGCAATTGAGCCAGTGCCAGACAGCTATGTGTCCACTGTGGAGGATCGGACAATGGAAGATAGAGATAGATGGTGGAATATTGGTATGAAGGCCATTGCTGAAGGAAAACTAGCTGTGTTGCTCCTGTCTGGTGGGCAGGTAAGATGCTGATCAGTTTTTTTGTTGAAATGCCATTACTAAATCGGGCCTTTATGATGGTTTCAAGAGGTTGCACCTTCCATGCCTTTTTATGTAGTAGACAAATAAAGTGTAGATATAAAAAGGGACAATGATGACATCATTATTGTTATTGTTAATTATTACGGAGTAATTTATATATGGAGTTTATCATTAATTCATTCGAGTGGTATGTGATAGCTGTCTTCTCTTAAAGAGGATAACTATGGGAATAATGATGGTTCTAATATGCAAGGTGATAGTCACGACCCACTAAATCACTAAATCTGCCATCTTGATAGATTCACCCCACTACATCATAAAATCCCAAGCTTAGCCACTTGTGTCACCATTGCTAACGGCCCTTCAACCTTGGTCGGTTAATCCAACATTCGTTGCACATATTGAAGCCGCGGTCGACATTTCTACAGCTGGATTAAAGTCCAAAATCTCTATCTATTTGGTCGTAGTTGTTTGAAAAGATGAACTAATTGTATTGAAATACAAACATATGATAATTATGGAACTTCAAAATTGAAATAGTTATCCATGGAGATAAATTCATCTAAGCTCAATAGCCAGAAATGAAAAACTTGCATTGTCCAGATCAGTGAATCAAAGCCGCATTCTTAACTGTTTTTGTTACATTATGGATGTAGAAAATTTTAGAATAGATCTCTGTTTTGACCAGATTATTTAGAAAAAAATCCCTCACTTTTTATGAACATCCCCAAATGACTTATCTGTCATTTAAGTCATTTTTCTTCCACGAAAGAATATTTAACTTATAAGTATCTTATAAGCTAAAACTTCTTATCAGCAATAAGCCAATAAGCCAACACAGAGAAACACCTCCAAAATAAAATACTCATGTCAACTCCTTTTGTTGTAGTTTTTAAAATATATAGATTTTATGTTTATTTCGTACCAATTTTGAAACAAATTGAACTGAAAATAACTTGAGTCAAACACTGTAAACCGCAATGAGATGTTTTTTTGGGACGAAGGGAGTGTAATATATACTCCCTCTGTCTAAAAAACAAAGTCATAGTTTGGCCTTTTCGGTCAAAATTTACAAACTTTGACCAGCATTAACCTACAAAATACCATAAGTTTCAATCCAAATTTAATGCCATTGAATTCGTTTTTGTTGTAGTTTTAGAATATATTTAATCTATATAATTTTAATAAATATAGCGGTTATAGCCATAAATAGTAGTGGTCAACTTGTTGAATTGGAGACCGTAGAAGTCAAACTGTGACTTTTTTTAGGGCCAGGGGAGTATAAAGACCCCAAATTATTTTTTTACACTTTTGGTCTTTTGTCTATCTAAATAACTTTTTTGTAAATTTATTACTCCGTATCATTTATTGCAAATAAAATATTGTATTCAAAGTGATTTAATTTTAATACGAAAGTACAACATTTGGCTAAGTCAATGTTTTTGGCCTATTATGTGGGGCGGATAAATATTGACTATGTGGATTTTGGTGGGCTAGTGGGATAAAAAAATCTGTGATAGATGTGGTATAAAAAAATCTCACCTGTGATGGGTGTTACGCGTGGTGGGCTAGAAATTTCTAGGCGGGTATGGGGGTGGGCGGGTGGCATATATCTGGCACTGCCCTGTCCCATTACCAGTCTTCTCTGCACTCATGATAGTTTTGACCACCCATCCTTTGCCAATGTAGCTAAAAGAGTCAGATTTGACATTGTTATCGCTTCGAGGGAGGGGGGGGGGATAAATTTTAATGTTTAAATTAAGCTTTAATTCCTTTTCTATGAAGTTTTTGGATAGTAAATGTAGCAATGCCAAACTGTTCTGGTTAAATTTTACGCTTACCAAAAACTCTATCAATATTTTGTAACATAACATGAATGAAGTTCATCACGCCCCCGAGTATGGATGAACTTATTCTTGTTTTGGAAGATGCATACGTTAATATAAGCAATTTTTTACAATTTACTAAAAAAAAGGGTTTGTTATACTCACTTACTCAATTTTTTCTAATGTGTTCTTTATGCGTCTCATTATTTATGTTACCTCCGGGGCTTTTCTTCTGACATTTGCAAAATGATTTCTGTTGCAGGGAACACGACTAGGAAGTTCAGATCCAAAAGGATGTTTTAGTGAGTAATTTAATTTTGATCTGCTAATGTCAAACATTTTTAATTCTTTTGTTGGATTATTTATGAAAAGGGAGTTCAATCGGTACCTTCAATATTTCTGTGAAATAATCATTAGGAATTACATGTTCTGTCCACCTGTGCTTCATTATACTTGGGTTTCATGAATGTGATTCAACTAGCTGATGAATGGTTCCATTTCTCTATACACTAACCTTTTTTGAAACTTTATACTTTGTTTGTGGCGTCTTATCTAATTCTATCAAACTAAATGGAAAGACAAACATATATTAATGATCTTTCCTTCCAAGGCAGATATTGGACTTCCGTCTGGGAAATCACTTTTCCAGATCCAAGCTGAGCGAATTTTGCGTGTGCAAAGATTAGCAGCTAGAACAGCAAATGAAGGTGTGCTTCTTCTATAATTCTCAGCTGGATGTTAGTTCAATGATCCTTCTGTGTTTTGAGTAATACATAAGTTACAGGTGCTGGCATTGTTCCAATCCACTGGTACATCATGACTAGTCCATTCACAGATGAGCCCACACGGAAATTTTTTGAATATTATAAATATTTTGGCCTCAATGAAGATCAAGTAATTACTCAATCTATCTTTTTCTTTGATGTTTAGTCTCACATGATCATATCTAGTAGTTGATTTTTGGGTCACCTGGAATGATCAAAACTGTTTTGGGTGCAGGTTACATTCTTCAAACAGGGAACAATTCCATGTGTCTCAAAGGATGGACGATTTATAATGGAGACTCCATATAGAGTATGGTGATTTCTTTCCTATCATGATAAAACATCATGGTTTTCACCTCATAGGCTTTGAACAGTTCACATGAAGTCATATTTACTTACAACTGAATATATTAATGAAGGCTGTTAACATTAGATCATATGCAAACCACATAAATCTTTGTAGGCATATTGCTTCTCCTACTTTCTCCTCTTTTCGTCTTTATCATATATGCAACCCTTGGTGGATTATCAGGGCGACATATTTTTCATGAAATAAGATGACATGTTAATATAATAGTGAACAAAGCTGTAATATAGTTGGGAGAATGCTAATGGAGATGTCAACCGCAGTGTGCAAGGGATCATATAACTTGATTTTGTCATGTGACTGATTTTATGACTCATTGTCATAGCCAATTACACAAGATATGTGCGGGAAAAATGTTGATGATGATCTGACTCAAACGTTTCCCATGTCCTTACCTTATTTGGGGTATTATATTATTACCATTCTATTTGTAATGTGACATTTGCTATGAAATCCAGGTAGCCAAGTCTCCTGATGGGAATGGAGGAGTTTATACTGGTAGGTTACATGTTCAATAAGGGTGGGATTTATATATATTGGATTTTCTTATTTGTTTTCCTCTTATCTGTATTGTACATATTGAGCTTAAATTACTTTATGTTGAAGTAATTCAACCTGAATTATGTTTCAGCATTGAAGTATGAGAAGTTATTGGAAGATATGTCAATGAGAGGCATTAAATATATAGATTGTTATGGAGTTGACAATGCTTTGGTTAGTTCTATCCTTTTTTCTGTATCAAGTTAGTTTTGTTCGATTGAAGTTAAACATGGGCAAATGATTGAAGTTATATCAAGCTGATAATAATTGGTCTTATTGAATAATAAGATTACATCAATATCTATACAGGATACATGGAGAATACTAATCAAAGTATAATAAGGAATTATGGTAATAATAAAATAAGGAAAGTAATTAATAATAATAATAATACTCTATTTTCTATTATCTCTATTATTCCTAATATCCCGCGCAAACTGATCATCGGTAGCGAGAAGTAGCTTGGAGTACAAGCACCAGAATGGAACCGGCTGAAGCAGTTTTGTGGGTATAGTCGCTAGAAGTAGAGAGATAAATCTTCATTCCATGGCGAACAAGTTTGAGTGTTGGCGATTGGAGTGAGGGCAAGCAGTTTTTCTCCTTGCGTGCTATTCTCTGCTTCTATATTGCTTTTCATGCTCTAGAACTCTAGAAGAAACAGAGAAGTGCAGCTTTTAAGTTCCTTGATCATGCACACGATGTTTTTTTGTTGAGAAGTGTAAGGAGCCAACTTAACCAAAAGCTCAAGCTTGTGGTTATGGTCCAGGAATGATTTCTATATATTCTAACACGCCCCCTCACGTGCAGGCGTGACTTCTTTGAGCCTTGCACGTGAAACCTTGATTTTTTATAAATTGGGTGGCGTTGAGTTTCGAACTCGTGACCATTAGTCATCAAGGCTACGATACCATGTCAAGGAACCAACTCAACCAAAAGATCAAGCTTGTGTTTGTGGTCCAAGAATGATTTTTATATACTCTAACAAGAAGGATAAGGTATGGGGACTTCTAAGGACGCTCATAATTTTTTGGAGAAAAAGAGAGGGATAAGGGACAGTGAGGCTATGGTTGTGGCGGTCGACTATCGATGATGAAGACCGACGGTGGCACATGGTCGTAAAAGAAGGGAGGCTATGTTTTTAAGAAGAGGGATTTTAGCTCCGATACCATCATACAATTTGATAATAATTGGTTTTATTGAATAATGGGATTACATCAATATCTATGGAGGATACATGGAGAATACTACCGGCACGGTTCATGTGACATTGCCTTTCAATGTCATAGCATGACCTGAGTCTCCTATGGTGTTCCGTTCGCAAAATTGATGGTTCTTGTCCCCCTAACTCCCCCTCACACCCACTCCAGCACCCACCCACTCCCCCTTTTGCTACAATGGGGGGTGGGTGGGTGTGCATGGAGTTAGGGGGATAGGAACCTTCAATTTTGCGAACAGGGCACCGTAGGAGGCTCGGGTCATGCTATGACATTGAAAGACGATGTCACATGAACCGCGCCGGGATACTAATCATAGTAGAATAACGAATATGAAAGCAATAGAATAAGGAAAGTAATTACTAATAATATTTGTTTCCTATTATCTTTATTGTTCCTAATACAAGCATATACTAATTACTACTCAAACAGGTCCGAGTTGCAGATCCAACCTTTTTGGGTTATTTCATTGATAAGGGTGTGTCTGCTGCTGCAAAAGTTGTCAGAAAGGTAGTAATTTTCTTTAATTTAATATTTCTTTTTTTGAACTTTGTATTCCTGCTCCAAATTATATCTTTACGATTAGGAATCTGATAAGACTGTAACCTTTAACATAAAACATGAAAGATGCCAGCTCAATGTCGTGGAAGTAACTAAAGAAGCCTTTTCAAGTTCACCTTGCTAAAGTTCAAGCATATACTTGTGGAATTTCTTGTTTTTACTATAAAAGGGAAAGTGTATAATTCTGTATATGCTTACATCATTACGCTTACATTATTAAGACATTGCTGTCTAGACGATTTACATCACCTATTTAACTCTATTTTACATCACTCCTGTGACATCATCTTATTTGATTAAATCATCCATCTTTCACATGGTATCAGACTATCAGGTGTTCTTTCTGAAAATTTCTGGTGAGCTCCAGTGATTTTTTTCACCATTTTCCGCCATTTTTCTGCCCTAAATCCTTGATCATCTATTTTTGGAATATATCTCACAAATCAGCTATCACCATCATCTTCCTTTATTGAGTATGAAGAGTGTCATCAGCTTAAACCAACTTTTGTGGTCATACTGAACTTCTTCTATTGCCAACATCTCCAAGACCAGTTCATCTAACTCACGGCATACTTTTTTTTTCACTCTGGTGCTTCCAATTATTTATCCAATACCAGTTCATCAAGCCGCACTCCATGTACTCAATTTTAGTCATGCTCAAGCTAAAACCTTTAGGTTTCAGGGTCTGTCTCCACACCTCCAATGTAGCATTGATTCTCTCACTTGTCTCGTCAATTAGAACTATGACATACGCAAATAGCATGCACCAAGGTACCTCCTATTGAATGTGTCAAAACATCCACCACCAAGGCAAACAAGAAAGGACTAATAGTGGACCCCTCATGTAAACCCATCTTTACTAGGAAGTGGTCTGAGTCACCTCCAGCCGACCTCACCCTGGTCCTCGGCTCATCATAAATATCCTTAACAACTCATACGGAGGCAACTCTCTGTGCTTTAGGCCCCTCGATAAGATCTCCAAATCAATAAACATCACGTGTAGGTCCTTCCTCTCCTTATACTGCTCCATCAGTCTCCTCAAGAGGTGAAAGGCTTTTTTTGTTGACCGACCAAACATGAAACCAAATTGATTCTTAGAGCTTGCCTCCTTTTGCAGCCTTGCCTTGACTACTCGTTTTCACACCTTCATGGAGTGACCAAGTAATGTGATGCCTCTATAATTAGTGCAGTTCTGGGATATCACACTTGCCCTTATACAATGTGACCACCACACTCCCCCCTTCGCTCGCCAGGCATCTTAGTCATTTTGCAAATAATGTTAAACAACTTGGCGATCCACATTAATCCATCTTTGCCCATTATTCTCCAAAACTCCACCAAGACCTCTTTCAATCCCAAAGCTCTACCCCTTTAAACTTGCCAATAGTTTTCACCACCTCTTTTTGTCTATTGGCCAGACAGAACCTAAATTTTTTATGACTTTGTGATAAGATCCGGATCACTGATAGCAGAAGGTCACCTTAATTATATTGTTATGTGGGTTAATTGAGTTTGTTACTGTAATACTGTTTTATATTTGTTAAATAAAAGGACTCTCAGGTTAGTAGGAGTCTTGAGTCCCTAGGATAGCTTAGTTAGTTAGAACTTATCACTTTGTTGTTTTGATCTTATCAGATCAGTTTGTTATTTTTGATCTTATCAGTTTGTTACAGTTGTTATAAATATCCCAGCTTCTCTATTGCTTACACATTGAGATTCTCTTGGCTTGTATTCCTTTTCCATCAGTGATATGCTTATTGAGAGAAGGGAAGGAGAGTTCTATGTAGTCTTAATTTAGATCCTAAATTAATTCTAGTAGGTTTCTCTGATGCAGTTAGCGATCTTAGACCACATGATGTTCGCCTCCCCACTAGTCCCAAAGCGGCTTTCTCTCATACCCTAGCAACCAACTATAGGATCTTGTCTTTATCCCAGTTATGCCAGTGGATTCGTGTAGGATAACCTGAGGTTCACTTATTCCTCCCTCACCTGATCCAGACTACCATCACAAGTAGCTTAGGTTGGTTGTAATGTTTTTGCTCGACATGACTTTAGAGTTCTTGCAAGCACCCTACCACATTTTCCGTAGAATGTAATCCATCTATAACTTAGGTAATCGACTGCAATAGGTCACCAAAATGGTCATCTCGCTTTTTGAAGAAAGAGTTAGGGAGATTCAAGTCACTGACAAACTCCAAGAATGAAATCCCCCTAACATCCCTTTTATCAAACACAAACCCATGTGTACTCGCAACCCGATGTGACTATTGATATCACCAACAATGATGAGCTTTCAGATTATGGGATACCCCCTACCACCCCATCCATTTCCTCCCAAAACTCCCTCTTAACTTTTTCATACAGGCCTGCTTCGGGTGTGTAGGCCCAAAAAATGTTGATTGTACACCCTATTAGCCGATTATAATGCTTGACAGCTATGCAGACAAGATTTATGCTTTATTTTTAAAGTTTATATTTATTAGAGATACTTGTATTATTATGTGATTATGTTTCCATATTTAGAGCTAGGGTTAGTTAGGGTTGTAACCCTATATAAAGGGATGTAATTGTATCAATCGATTCATTCTAGAAATAATAGATGATATTCACTTTTATGGTATCAGAGCCTCGGTTCTGATTTCCCTCACCTTCCTTTTTCTTACGGTAAACCCTAGAAAGCCTATATGGCTGTCAACGGCAAGAAAGAGGAGCGGGAATCCTCTGAGAAGGCCGGAAAACCCCAGATCTACCAGTGGTTACTGTGTTTTTCTTGGGAACAACTTGATCTCTTGGTCATCTTAATGCCAGCCTACAGTTTCCCGTTCCAGTGCAGAAGCAGAATACAGGGGGGTTGCAAATGCAGTTGCTGAAGTCACTTGGTTCCTCTACGTCAGGCTTCAGTTGTTTACTGTGACAACGTCTCAGCAGTATATCTTTCTGACAATCTCGTGCAGCATCAGCACACCAAACATATAGAGATTGACATTCATTTTGTCAGGGAGAAGGTTCGAGTTGGCCACATTCGAGTACTGCATGTCCCTTCTCCTTTCCAGTACGCTGACATCTTCACAAAGGGATTGTCACGTCCGCTTTATCAGTCTTTCAGATCCAGTTTGACCGTTTGTCCCAAGACCGATCAAACTGCGGGGGAGATATTTGTATTATTATGTGATTATGTTTCCATATTTAGAGCTAGGGTGAGTTAGGGTTGTAACCCTAAATAAAGGGATGTGTTTGTATCAAATAATAGACGATAATCACTTTTACACCCATCCATCATTACTTTAATCACCATGAGCCGAGCACTGATCACTAATTCTTCTCACCTCAACCACAAGCTCATGGAGATCCTCATCAGCCAAAATGGGAACCCCATTCTTGTTCATCGAAGTGCTGGAGTATCACAACTTGAATCCGTCCACATAACGCACTTTGGTGCCCACCCATTTAGTCTCTTGTATGCACACAACTTGAATCTTGCTCTTCTTTAGGACCTTCACTAAATCTATAGATTTGCTGTCAGGCATTCTCTAGTCCTCCTCGTCAACCCATTGCCTGACCAAGGATGTGACCTAACGTCACCATATCTGGCCAACGCCACACTTACCTGCTCAGTGCTCACACTGGAAAGCAACCTAAAACTAGCCAAATTTAAAGGGAAGAATGCAAGGCAAAGACAGGCAAACCACAGATCAATAACAGATTAACTATAATAAATCCAGATAAGCCACCAACACCTGCAGTAAAACATGTTTAAAACAGTACAGCTTAAAAAACAGGCTAGACAGAAGTGCTCTGGTTGTGGGGCGGGGGATCAAGTTCTGACTGGGGAGTGAGGGGATCTGGTTCAGGGCTGGGGCAGTGGTCTGCGCCCAAGGGGGATGGTCTAGGCGGGTTCTGGCTGGAATGATCTGTCTCAGGTGAAGGTTGGGCTGTCCAGCTGTTGGTTGATGATAGAAATGGGGTTATGAGGGTTTATGAGTGGTTTGCTGGGGCCTAGGGCTAAGGGTGGGTTAGGGCAATGATGCATTGGGGTGGGGTAGGGCTGTAGGGGTGGGATTTTGCGAGTTAAGATTTGGGATTTACAATTTGGACGTCAGTGGGTTAGGGCAATGATGCATTGGCGTTCACTAACAAACAGCAACAGTCAACTGAGTTGTCAGAGAGCAATCAGCAGCTAGAGAGGAAATATAGTATGAAGTTTCATGTATGTTACCTAAGCTCCGATATAAGAAAATAGAAACTATAACCTCAAGGAAAAAATAAGATTAGCACAAATACTTATACATACGGATGAAAAACCTAATTTGATTCCAAAATATAAACCAAACACCCGAAATCATCTGTTTTACCTAACCCCATACCATGCTAAATCTCATTTCTGATTCCAAACTGATACCAGAAAATGAACTAAACAAGGCCTTATTGTGCACAAGAGTTGCGTCTTTTCCTGGTCTCATCACATATGTGGCAGATTGATCACTTCAAGGACCACATTTCTGTTGTTATTTTCTGTCTTGATGTGACAAAGTTTGTAAAGCTAATGATAGTATATCAGGATTCAGGAACTGTCCTATATATCTCTAAGTTATCTATTTCAATGCCATAATGGCTATGTCAACATTCAAATCATATCTCTAAGTTATCTATTTCAATTCCATAATGGCTATGCCAACATTCAAATCATGATAAATTGGTTTCCAAGTTCGTTTGGAAAAAAATCACTTGAACTATAATATAGAGATATCAGCGGAGTAACTATGAAAGCCCCATCTTTCGCTACATTAATTCATTCTTTGGCGGTCATTTCTATAGGGGATGCTGAGGTGTTATTATGCTTTTGAAGTTTTGATTATTGACGTATCATCTTATCCTTGATTTTGAATGCAGGCATACCCACAAGAAAAGGTTGGTGTGTTTGTACAACGAGGCAAAGGTGGGCCTCTCTCCGTGGTTGAATATAGTGAACTGGAACCAGAATTGTCAAGTGCAACCAACCAGGAAACTGGTCGTCTTCGTTTTTGTTGGAGTAATGTTTGCTTGCACATGTTCACTTTGGATTTCCTGAATCAAGTAGCAAATGGCCTTGAGAAAGACAGCATCTATCATCTCGCTGAGAAGAAAATAGCTTCAATCCATGGGCATACAATGGGCTTCAAACTAGAACAGTTCATATTTGATGCATTTCCTTATACTCCTTCAACAGCACTCTTTGAGGTTGGTCGATTTTGACATTTTTCCATGAATCCCACCTGCCAGTTTTTAAATAGCAAAGCCAATTGAGACATTGAGGATTCCTAACTCATTTCTGTATAGGTACTGAGGGAAGAAGAATTTGCTCCTGTGAAAAATGCAAATGGGACCAACTTTGACACTCCGGATAGTGCCAGGCAAGGACTACAAATCCCTCTGATTCTTTACTATTTTTTTGATATTTCCTTTCTTAAAGTCTTATCAAATCTATATGATAGAAGCTTTTCTATTAGGAATGGTTTTAGGTATAATTCCTATCATAGTTGTTAAGGCGTTGCCTAGGCGATAAGGCGCTATCCCATGGACGCCTTGCTTGCCCGCCTCGCCCAGAAAACCTCAAGGCGTTAAGGCACTCGCCTAGGTGTTGCCTTACGGTCGCCTTACCGTTGCTTCATGCCTAGATGCCCAGTTTTAAAATTTGAAAGCCCAATTTTTTACAAGTTTTGACTTAACGTTGCCTTATCCCTTGGAACCAAATGATCATGAGTATCTTGAAGATGACTATGATGTGTCCATTCTCAATCTATGGAGGTAGATAATGATATCCATATGAATGACATGTTCAACGATAATTTTTAAACTTGCATGTTTGGGTGATAAAACCAGGGGGATGGAAATGATTTTTTTATTTGAATATGTTGTTACTTGTGGTTTTCTAAATACTTCTGAACACTTCTTTCTTTATCTCAGATTATGTGTAGACTCTATTTATATATATATATATCTGTGTGTGTTTGTGCCTTGGTCACCTAATTGTCGCCTAGGTGATATCAAGGTACATCGGCGCCTCTTAACAACCTCGATTCCTATTACCTTGAGTAGCTTTTTCGTAACTGCATAATTACAGTACACACATGGTGATCGGTTGGACTTTTGATGAATTTAGAGCTCCGTTTTTATTTACCTTAAGAACTTTAGATGCTCGTTGAAATTCATGATATTTTATCGTACTCCTGTCTCATTAAAGGTGCCATGTTTCCCTTTTATTTGTCACAGAATTGAGTGATTCACCTGATTGCTCTCTCCTCTACACATAATTCAACCAACACTTTCACTAATATGTATAACCGCGCTTGATCAATTGTGGAACACTATATAATATTCACAGTTTCTAATCAATATTCACGGTATCAGTCAATATTTTCCCAAAATTGAAGCGCTGATATTTTTCCAACATTGGTTTCAGACTGCTTGTTCTACGCCTCCATACACGTTGGGTGGTAGCGGCTGGTGGCTTTCTAACCCATTCAGTGCCTTTATATGCAACTGGTAAGTAATTCATCTCTGTTTATTATATGGATGGGTTGGAGCAAGAAGTTTGACCCCTTTTCACTTTTTTCAGGGGTTGAAGTTTCACCACTGTGTTCATATGCTGGAGAAAATTTGGAAGCCCTTTGCCGCGGAAGAACATTCCACGCTCCTTGTGAAATCTCGTTTTAGATTTTGTTTAACGACACATTTTGAACCAATCAGTCGGGTTTTGAAGACATTCTTTCCCTTTGCTCTTCATTTTCATTCCGTTCGTTTTGGGTTGTATTTGGTGTAAATGTGAATACATTTGGTTCAAATTGTTCCAAAATTATATACTAGAGTTGGCAAACTACACAACTAGATATACCATACTCTAGGTATATCCGACCAACACTCATTTAAGAGTAACACAACGTTCATTTCGCATTTTTTAGATCTACATTAGTCAAATGTTCATTTGTGAGAAATATAATACTTATTTTCACACATTGGAAAATATATGTATACGCGCTTAAAAAATACATGATGTTCATTACAATTATACAAAATTTAAATTTACTAAACTTAGCACTCATTTCTATACTCACTCACTCACTAGGCTTTTCATGGGTCACGGGTTTCATCGCACGACCCATTGACAACTTCTTTGATACAGGGTGTATCCAAAGATAGGTACATCCGGTTGTACCTAAAGCCACTGGGTATGGTCGTAACGCTCGGGGGCGTGAGGGGCCTTTTAATGCCCCGGGGGCGTTAAACACCGCCCCCTGGCGGCGTTACCCCGGCGTCATTGCCTTTGCATCATTCGTTTGACGTGGCTTAGCCAACCGTTATCCCTCCCCTAATGGCTATATAGCCGTNTCCCCTAAAAAAATCATATTCTCACACATCTCTCTATATTCTTTCTAAGATATTTATTATTTATTATTAAATATTTATAAAATATATTTTAAAAATGGATTCATCTTCATCCGACGATGAAAAAAGAGCTTTCTTTTTTCATTGTTTCGCCACGAATTGTATTTAATGGTGGGAAGATGGCCAAGAAGAAGAAGCCGAATCCTCCCGATGACGGACCCGACGACAACGTTTAAACTGGGAAACAAAGAAACCGCCAAGAAATTTGAAGCCGAGACATTCACAATGCACTAATGGCGGATTTGATCGAACATGAGAAAGTGATGGTGGTGAAAATGGCGACGTTATAGATTGGGAAGTTCCCAATGTTGAGACCCTAAGTCCGACTATGAATATTTCAGTGAAGAAGAAGAGTTGCAGATTTAAGAGGCTTAAGTGAAATGAACGATAGGTTAGTTCGGAATAAACATTATTTTATTTGATAATTATCACTACTTTATACTCCGTATCAAAATGAGTAATACGATATTCGTAGATAAATATTATAATTACATTGATAATGGATAGTATATTTATTTGGACTAAGGTCCTATTCCGTTCAACTTATTTTTTCTTATTCTTATTAAAATCAGATCAGACCAGATCAGATCAAATCGAATCAGATCATATCAGAACAAATCAGATCAGACCAGATCTAATTAGATCAGCTCAGATCCAATCAGATCAGACTAGACTAGATCAGATCACATAAAGAATTATTATTATTATTATTGTTGTTGTTGTTGTTATTATTATTATTATTAATATTCTTCTTCTTCTTCTTAAAAATTAATCCTTAATTATTAGACGTCGAAAAAATTATTTTTAAAGTACATTGACAATGTCAATCTAATTCTACTTTTAAAATACATTTTTATTGCTACCTGTAATTTGAGTTTCTAAAGTTTTGATCTTTTATAAGGATGAGATATTTTAATAAAAATACTATCTCTTCTCTGTATTTATTTTATATAAATTAAATATTTATTCTAATGTATGTATGAACTAATTATTAAAATATTAAATCAATATTCTTATTTCACAAACAATAATCATAAAATAAAAAATATTATTACATTAAAATATGAATGATTATTCTAATATATAAATTAACTAATTTTATTTTATTAAAAAATAATTATAAAATAAAAAAATATTGATTATATTATAATATGAATTATCATTACAATTTTCAAACGTTATTATAAATTCAAATCAAATTATTAATTTAAATTTTAAATCAAATCATAATTAATCAAATCAGATCCAATTAGATGAGATCCAATCAGATCAGATCAGGAAACCCGATCCGGTCATTGTGTGATAATGTATATCGGCATGGAAACCCGATCCGGTCATTGTGTGATACCATCAATCGAGCGGGCGAGGCTTTTCATTCTGTAAGAGGTTAAGCAATGGCAGGAGATGGAATCTTAGGAGTGAAAGACGTCCAGGGAAAGAGATCAGAGCGAAGCATTGACGCAGAGAGGAAAAAGCGGCTCCAAAGGAAAGAGAAATGGCTTGTGGCGATGGGAGTGGTTTTACACGCAATTTACATGCTCAGCATCTTCGACATTTACTTCAAAACTCCTATCGTCCACGGCATGGATCCCGTCGCTCCTCGCTACTCTGCACCGGCAAAGCGTCTTGTTCTTTTAATTGGTACAACTGTGATGCTTTGACGCAATGCTACGCAGACTCTTGGATTTAAGATTATTTTTGCTTGTATTATTGACTCCGGATGTCAAGATTATTGCCTTAATAGCTAATGTGTTGCTAACTGTGGAGAATGTTATTTGCAGCTGATGGGTTACGGGCAGATAAGTTTTTTGAGCCTGATTCAGATGGCAAGTATAGAGCGCCATTCTTGAGGAGTGTGATTAAAGAGCATGGGCGGTGGGGAGTATCCCATGCTCGGCCTCCAACAGAATCTAGGCCTGGGCATGTTGCTATCATTGCTGGATTCTATGAGGATCCAAGTGCTGTCACAAAAGGTGCACACTCATTTGTACACTGAGTGTTGAGGGGGGGAACTGTAATGACATTATGTATCATTCCAGGTTGGAAGGCAAATCCCGTAGAGTTTGATTCAGTTTTTAATAGAAGCCGGCACACATTTGCCTTTGGCAGTCCCGACATTGTTCCCATTTTCTGTGGTGCCTTGCCACATACCACTTGGAATTCTTACCCCCACGAGTATGAAGATTTTGCTACTGGTTCGTCATAATGTTCGACTTCTTACTTAAGTTTGATGAAAACTCCCCACATGGACTTCTTTTTTGTTCCAGTTGAAATAAAATTTTCTTGGCATTTTCATGATATAACGGTGATTGTGGAAAAATACATATTCTTGTCCTCTCAAACCATTAACCTTTAATAGATCCTTAATGATCCATTGGTGGTAACCTGCAGATGCTTCTTTTTTGGATGAATGGTCATTTGATCAATTTCAAAGCCTATTGAATAGGTCCAATGAAGATGCAGAATTAAAGAAGCTTCTTCAACAAGATAAGCTTGTCATATTCCTACACCTGCTTGGTTGTGATTCCAATGGTCATGCACATCGACCATATTCATCCATATATCTCAATAATGTTAAAGTTGTTGACAGTATTGCTGAAAGAGTGTACAATCTTGTTCAAAGTTACTTCAAGGACAACTCAACAACATATATATTTACCGCTGATCATGGGATGAGTGATAAAGGTTTTGTTTTGAGTTCCCATCAATGATTTATGAGTAATTGGTGTTATTTTTTGTGAAGAAAGAAAAGAGAGAATTAGTGATCGTATTTCTTGATCTCAACAAATCAGTACTAAGGTCCTATATAATAGCTAAATAAATACAGTGACATAAGTGAGGCCTTAAGCATAAATGGCATAAGCAATGAAGTAATCTTAATGACTTAAGCAATGAACTAGTCTATTCTAGAAGCCTACTTTTCTTGCTAGTTTTGTACTGTACACACTCACGCAAGCTGGAGCATACAAATCATATGCACCATTCTTGTTACAAATATATTTTATTTTAGGACATCACCTCCGATGTAGCTAAAGATCCACATTTTTTTGGCTTTGGAATAAAGCAAAATGGCTCTTTAAACTGTATGTGCTTCTTTTATAGTGAAGTAGCGGTTAGTCAATGCAACTTTTGATGCGCATCATGGGTCATTTGAAACAGTCACTCTTTGTTTTAAACACAGGGGTCTGGATACATTCATACATCCAACCCCCCTATACCGCAATGGGCTAGAGCCTGTGAGGCATTGGGGTAATGTTGTTGTTGTGAGAGATTTTGTCAATATTCAACAACTTTGTCATCTGTGTTGATGTAGCTAGTCATAATGTGCCTAAATGTGATCTTTTCTTAATAAAGTCGTTATATCTCAATGTGCTCAATCCTCTCATGCAATACAAGGTTGGATGTGATATGTATTGCAACTTGAATTTCATACATGAAATGTACTGGGTCTTTGCTTCCATATATTAATTCTCGAAGATGTTTTAGGCGTAAGATCTCTCATGTTGCAAGAGCCATTACACTATATTCTGCATCAACACTTGATCTTGCAACCACATTCTGTCCTTTTCTTTTCAAGGGATTAAGCCCCCACCAATCACAATACAACGTCCAAAAGTGGATTGTCTATCCATTTGGTAGTCAGCCCTGTCGACATTCCAGAATCCAACAAATTCTTTATGACCTTTGTCTTCATAGAGTAGTCCTTGTCCTGTTATTTTCTTGATGTGCTTTAAAATTCGTATGACAGCATCTCAATGACCACCACATGGTTCATCAAGAAATTTTTTGATTCACATTTCTAGCGGTTTGCATTTTCCTCATCATGAAGTAGCTCCCTACATCTTTGAATGAGTTATAACCAAACATACATGTTTCTTCAACGACATTAAAAACATGTTTCCTTTGAAGGGAATAAAGTCATTGTGAGATTTGGCAATCTCAATGCTAAGAGAGTAGCACATCTTTCCCAAATTCTTCAGAATTTTCTTAATAGTCACTTTTTGAGCTAAGCAATGCGCTCCATGTCATAATGATAATATCATCCACATATACTGCTAGATAGATGCACTTGTTTTATGATAGAAAACAGAATCATTTACTACTCCTAGTCATCCTAAAGATACAAACAACTATACTAAGATGCCCAAATCACATACTCAAGTACTCAACCATGTAAGAAGCGGCATAACAGACACACTGGATCAAACTCCTTTGGATCAACAAAACCTGGTGTGTGGCTCATATAAACCTCATTCTGTAGATCTCCATAGAATAAAGCCTACCCAATTGAAACAATGATCTATGACTCATGACAATCGTGGATAAAATCAATCTAAGAGATGCTATATTTGCAAGGGGTGAAAAAGTGTTTGTATAACCAAGACCATGGGTATACCCTCTCCATCGACATGCTTTAAGATGGCCATTTTGCCATCAGGATCAACCTTCACAGTATATATCCATGTGCAGCTAAGAACAGACTTACCGAAAGGATTATGAAGCAATTCCCATGTGACACTACAACGAAGAACCTCCATCACTGCTAACGTAGACTAGCATCATTCCAGAAGGAAAATTCCCTCATGGGTTGTAATACGTATATGTACTTTAGAAAGGTGTGAGATAAATGTATAGTAAATAGTTGAAATGGGTGATGACTAAGCAAATTATGAATGGGAAGAGAATTAAGTGCGGAATGTACACCTTTCTGTAGGAATATGTAAACCATGAGGAGTAGCCGCATGCCTTAGGGTAGCTAATTACTGTGATGCTGGATCCATAGTAGGAGAATAGCTAATAACTCGTTTTGTTGAGGTGTTTACAAAAGTGATGGATCAAACTACCGGCAGGCATGAAGTGATTATATGAGTCTATAAAAAATTATTTGGCATTATAACTGCGTAGAATTTGAAGGAAAGTCCAATCCATGTCTTAATACTGTTGCAAAATTTTTTTTAAAATGTGAAACAATTTAAATCTTTATTTCATTTAAAACAACCTAGTGTGTCTTGAAAATTCTTTGACACAAAAGCCAAAAACCAAGTGTAGACTTGTTGTGATACAGGCCCCAAACATTTGTGTGAACTAAATTTAAATGGGCACATTGTCTGCTTCTTGACTCACCTTAGAAAGGATTGACAGGTTTTCTTTTGAAGATGACATAGCTCACAAATCACAATCAAGGGGCAAAACATTTGATTATTTCTGAGGTGTAGAGAGACTCAAATGGCCCTGGTGGTTCTGTCAAGTAATAGCTGACTTTGAAGATATATGAGCAACTGGATCAAGAGGACGAAAATGATAAAGGCCCTTAGATTCACACCTGGTGCTAATTGTTTTCCTCTAAGACGGTCCTGCATCAGCATACAACAACCCAGTTAAATCCCACAAAAGTAGGGTCTGAGGAGGGTGTGTGTACGCAGACCTTACTCCTACTCGAAAGTAGCCCTTGGTATAGGGGGGTATGCTCAGTGAAGCCAACATCACGAGCTAATGCCGTTGGAATTTTGGTGGTGGGAATCGGCGGTGGGCATTGGTTTGTCGGCCTTTTTAAGATGAAGACCAGCTAAGGCTAAGACTGTAATAAACTGTTGTGGTTCATCTTGTGCTTCTGTTGTATTAGGCATTATTTGAATAGTACTCAATTCAAAGAATAAAGCTTAATCACCTTCAAGAAGGTTTTTGATACAACTTTGAATGCATTGGTATAGGCACCCTTAGTTTCTTCCCAGATTTGTTTGGATGTCTAGTACGACTGATATGTAGGAAGAAGTTCCTAGCCATGGATTGCCACATGACACTACATAGTTCATTCATGTTTTCCCATTCAGCTTTCTTGGTTAAAATACTTGTGGAATCTTCAGTTTGTTACTGTATGTACCACAAGAATATGCTTGTTGGAGATTTCACTACTCAAGCCGGAATAGTACTATAACTGGGAAATACAACTGTTCACGTAGATGGCTCTGATATAATTCAAAGAAATTCAAAGAAAGATAAGATAGAATTGGGTAATCTTATTGCTTGAACTCACCAAATTAGCCTACTTCTCTTAACCACTTTTACACGTTCTGCACATTTGATATCCATGGTACAATCATATAATTGTTGAAAAATATATTTTTCAATATCTAGAGAGGATTTTTTTAGTGTTGTACATGCTCATTGAGATGCTGTAATTGACTCACAATATAAGGGAATTTTGATGTCAGCAACAATTTTGTAAGTTCAGCATGTAATATTAAGTCTTTGCAGGGAGCCATGGAGATGGACATCCTTCAAACACTGATACTCCACTTGTTGCTTGGGGAGCTGGAATTGGGCATCCCATGCTTGACTCCCACAATAGCCATCCCGATAAATCTATTCGGTTTGTTGATGAGCATTTGCATGATGCACCAACACCATTAGAATGGGGACTCAAGGACATATTGAGGACGGATGTTAATCAAGCTGACATTGCACCACTTATGGTTGTGTTTTTTGGAATTCTTTGGAGAAAATTTTATTGCTTCTGTACCCAAAATGTCTGTTTTTTTTATATGACTCTTAACATTGTTTACAGTCAACTCTTCTAGGTTTGTCATGTCCTGTTAACTCTGTAGGCAATTTGCCTCTTGATTACATTGAACTTGATGAGGTCAGTTTTGTCATATGAGCTGCCTATCCCATATCCCATCCGCACTAGCTGAGTGTGTTTTTACTCTCATGGAATGTTGTGTTTTAATTTTCTTCTTTATAGGGGGGTAAAGTTGAAGCAGTGTTATCCAATACAAAACAAATTCTCAACCAGTTCCTGTGCAAGTCTGGTATCCTTGATGATGACCTTGTACACAAATGAATTAGTTGATTCAGATTCCTGTTATTAACTTGGTCATTAATTACTTTTCTCACGTGGATTATATGACCAAACCATTAATTTATCTGTGTACTATGTACCAAGATCTAGCTTGTTTTCATATACTTATATTTCATTCAAACTTTGTGCAATTCTTTTATAAGTCCCTGTTGTTGTACTTTAGCCCAAAAAAGAATTATATCATGAATTTGTTCTATTTGAAAGTTTTCCTTTACAAGTAACTAGAATTAAAACGCATGCATTCTCTTCGCTTCAAGCCTTTTAAACCTCTCTCAAATCATTCACTAGTACTTGATGAGATTGAACATTTGATCTCTATCAAAGATTATAAAGCTGCAATGAAGCTATTGGAAGATCTTAGGAGCTTGGCTCTTAGTGGACTGAACTACTTTCAGACTTACGATTGGTTGATGCTGCTGACTGTAATTACTGTCGGTTATATCGGTTGGATGGTCTACATTTTACTCCATGTTTTGGAATGTTATACCTCCTTACCTGAAAAGCTTTCCCGGACAGTACACTTGTTTCACCTTAGGAAGAATAGCCCAAAGGTAAATCATTTTGAACTCTTTCTATATTTATTTCCTTGTTGCTTCGGGGAGTTGGTTGGCAAAGTAAAGAAGTGACCAAGACTGTCATGTTTTTCTTCTTCTTGGTGTTGGGCAACTTCTTGTGGGGTGGTTGGAGCATAGAGATGGGAGAATAGTGGATTCCGCTAATATATAGAGAAGAAGTATGCAGGCATTCTCCATTAAATTATCAACTTCTATCTAGTACAGCTGCTGGGTAGCTTTCTATATGCATCTCACTCTGGGGTGCTGTGTGCATAATTACTTTAGCACATCTTACAGTTTCCACGTTGCTGGCAATGTAGTCGCATTATAATCTCAAAAATGGGTATGCGCTAGGAACTGCTTGTATTGTGTTTTAGGTGGCAGCTACACTAGTGGGCACCAAAAAACATATACGTACTGGTTGCCTGTAGGATATATATGGTAGCAGTGCCCGATGTTAGAATTAGAGAATGTGCTGGTTTAGGTATTGCTTGTGTCACAATCTTAGATACTATTAAAATGCTCAGTTTCCCGGACATCATCGTGCAGTTTTCATATTGGCTGATTATTTTTACTGTTGCCATTGAATAACATTTTTGCAGGCGAATCTTTGTGGAGGGCTGCTAATGGGAGCTTTTTGTGTTATTCTGCTCTATGAGCACTCACCCCCCCTGTATCATGCGTATATTGCAATGACATTATTTCTTTGGACACAAATATTAAGCGAGTACCAGTTTCTTCTAGCACTCTGGCGGTACTTGTGTAGCAGGAAATTTAGTTACTTTTTGAAGCTTACTGCAATATTTATTTTCACTGTCACCATTCTTGAACTCCTGGTATGGCTTCCCATGCACCTTCAAGTCATTGTTCTTTAGCTGTGACAAATATGTTGTTGATATGCCTAAACTGCTTTTCAATCACTTATCTGGTAATCGACGCAGGTGATAAGCTTTACTGAGAGAAAAATCTATACATGGTGTTTTGTAACTTTTGGGGTTACATCTTCTATATATTTATTCAATTTAATGCCACTGAGATCTGGAGTGCCCATCTTTTTGTGTGCTGCATGCTGGTTTCTTTCCATATTTACTCTCATGCCACCTGAAATTCCTGAAAATACTCTACTGGTGTAAGTCATTCCATAGAATTCCTTTCCCTTTTGGGATTTTTCTTATGTACGTTCCCTTTGTTAAAATCATGTTGATTTGTCTTGTTTTGGTAGTATTTTAAAGATGGCATTTTCTTTCTTTTGTTTCTAATTATTTTCCATAAGAGTGACATATTCTTGGTAGAAATGCTTACTGATAAACTGCATCACAATTTACAAATTTAGAATGTCAAAAACATAAATAACTAGCTTATTGTAAAATGTTATGACATAATTGCTGTAATAGTTTGGACTTTTGTGTATGTCCTGATTGTGATCTTAAACATTATTGTTTTTATAGAATCACTGGCGGACTAATGATTATTTTGATTGGTGGAGCTGCTCGATATGTAGAAGTGCACCCTAAAGATAATGAATATTGGTTTGGTCTCATTCCTCTCGATTCAAGGGTGTTCCGGATTCCTTTGCTCTTTCACTTACAGGTTCATGAAATAATTAATTACATTTTACCTACTATTTTTGGCCCTTTTTTACCTCTTTTGTTTGTCCCACTATTTTGTTCCATACCATAATTAGTAATGTGTGTGACTCACATTCATTCTTACTTTTTCTTATTTTTGACATGGACATTAACCACACAATTCCACTTCTCTTAATTTTTGTGCCACTGCCCCATGACCCAAAAATAGTGGGATGGAGGGAGTAAACGAAAACAAAACCCTACTGTAATAAAGAATAGAAAACAGAACTCTAAATATTCTGCCTATGGACATAATTTGTCTTCTTTGTTTCTTCAAATAGATCCTTTTGGTTGGTTTATCATCTTTTATGGTCTGGTTGTCAACGTCCCATAGAGTGGAAAAGCAAGAGTTGCACGGACTTCACCAGTTGATTAATTGGTCCATTGCTGGTATTCCTGTTCTTTGTTTTGTACTTTTGTCAAGTACACAAAATCTTGTGCAAGCATTGATCGGAACTACTCTCTTTCTCTTTAAAACATTTGATTTAATTTTAAATGGGTAGTTAGTGAAGTCATTTCGCTTGCATTCTGGTGAACTTTGGAATGTAATGCCTATTATTACCATTTTCTATTTGTTCCTTGTAGGTTTTGCAATGGTCCTTCCTCTTTTTTCAGCGCCTGCTCTCTTGCCTCGGCTTACTTCCATATTCCTTGGTTTTGCACCTCCATTCTTGCTATTGTCAATTGGGTACCACTCAAACTTTTGTTTAGTTCATGGCTTGTGAAAGTGCTTATGTGAATGCTTTCTTGGAGCGCAAATATAAGTGCCGCCAAGCATATAAGAGTGCAGTGCAAGTTTCAACATCCTTTCCTTAATTTAGTTTCATTATAAGTTTAGTTCAACCTTAATTTAGTCTTTAATTACTTAAAAAGAAATATATACTCCCACCGTCCCCAAAAGAAATTCATACTTTCCTTTTTTCCCCCATTCCAAAATAAATATCACTACTCTTTCATTTTCTATTTAAGGAAATGAATATCTGGCTCATAACATTTCTCTCTTTTAAACAAATTCCATTCACATATTTTCCAATTTTCAACACCTTTCTTAAGAACCATAGTCAAACTATGAATTTCCTTTGAGACATAGGGAGTATTAGCTTTACATCTCTTTTTCCTTTTATGATTAGGACTAGGGGGTGGGCATGGTCGGTTAACTGACATTTTGCTTAACCAAGGTTGGGTTAGTAGATTTTAATACCATTAACTCTACCAAAATTTTGGTTAGCTCAAATTTTGGTACATTTAATTGTTTAATAAAAAAACCATGCAAAATATAAAAATAAAATACTATTTTTATGCATTTCTATCTTTTTCAATTTCTAAAAATACTAAAAATAATACACAACCGAGAACATATCCAAATGAATCATAACTTAAGTTAAGTTAGATTTAGAAGTTACCAGGGCTAAGAAAATTTAGTTTTAGAACATTGATATAAAGACTCGGAAGAGCAAGGAGACGAGAAGAGTACCAACTAGCTAAGGTATGTGAGGGGAAGGCCCGAGATCTAGAACATATGAGATGCGTGAAAGACAGAGATGTCTGAGTTTTATTTGATGTGGTGAAGGTGGGAAGCTGGTAGTTGGCCTTGTTTCATGGGCTTATGAATGCTAGAGGGAATGAGAGCTTGGTACTAGGTGAGCTAGGACAGTTCGAGAGGCATCACGATTTTGGGTACTGTCCGGGTGCATTAGGCTAGAAGTGGTGAGGGGCATTCACAGGATGAAAGGAGGACAGCCATGAGGTCGGATGAGATTCTGGTGGAGTACTCGAAGATTGTGGGAAACATGGGATTGGCTTACCAAGTTCTTTAATATTATTTTTTAGGATGACTAAGATGTCTAATGAGTGGAGAGAGTGTTGTGATTCCACTGTACAAGGGCATTGACAAACATGAAAGGGAAGTTTTATCGAATAGTGGTCAAACCGGCTATGTTATATGGAGTAGAGTCCTGATTGGTGAAGTAAAAACATGTTTTTCAATATCAAGTGGAAGAGATAAGGTGGATAAGATCCGAAATGAGGTTATTTTGGGAAGGGTGGGAGTGGGAGTGGTACATGTGGAGGTTAAGTTACGCAAAGCTAGGCTGAGGTCAGTGAGGTGGTTTGGCAATGTAAGGAGGAGAAGTGTAGAGGCACTGGTGAGGAGCTGCAAGAGGCTTGCCGTAGTTGGTGTGAGAACTAGTAGGCTTACGGAGAGTTAGAAGGAGGAGATTAGATTGGACTTACGACTTCAAGATCTCGTTGAGGATATGACCTTAGATAGGATCTTCTAGAGATCTAGGACTAGAGTAGTTGGGTAGACCTTTGGCCTTAGTTTGTAAGTTTTGTTGGTGAACTTTTACCTTAATTTCTACCTTGTGCATGTTTGCTTTTTGTGCTTTGGGTCTTGTTGGTAGTGTTGGTATGTGTGCTTCTTGTCTAAGTGCTCTTACTTTGTTCTACGGTATTTTACTTTACTATTGTTGGATTTTATTGGGTTTGTTGTTATTGTTTTTAACATCATATATACAACACCTATTTATAAAAAATGCTAATCCCTAAGTCAATACAATTGCACCATAGTTGTCGCTCATATTACATCATTAATGTGATGCAATACACTTTATAACACTAAATGACACATGACTCAATTTTACAGTACATAATTTCACAAATATTAACTTCCTAGTTTCCTTTTCCTTGCAGATATGAAGCTCTTTTTTATGGTGCTCTTGCTCTTGCACTTATGGGCTGGATATTATTTGAGAATGCTAATCTTTACATACTCAAGGGGAAACTGTCACCAAATGCACTTGAAGTAATGGAGGATAGCATGTATCTTCCAGAGTTTGATAGATATCTGGAGTTATCCGATATAAGAATCCCACTAGTCTTTGTAAGTTATGGTGATTTTATGTTTTCCAACTTCATTATATTTAAACTTGGAGTTGGAAGTATAAATGTGATACTGTGAATCTGTGATAGTTACTCTATGGGGGGAAAAGTACAACAAGGTCACGAATTTAATGATCCCAGGAATTCTCTCTTGGTTCATGCAGCTGACACAAATTGTTTGGTGTAAAAGCATGTTTTTGTTTGATTTGAAGACTGATCTCTCTCTCTCTCTCATTTTTTGATAATTTATTTATTTGTTTAACTAAGTTTTACTTTCTAAACTTCTTTGGGAAATTCTTTTTATAAGAAAACATTAAACTTGATGAAATTTAGCTTATAGGACTTTTTTGGGGGACAGTTTTCACGCATACCTCTTTTTTTATTTTTTTATGACAGCAAGTATACTATTGTTTCTCCCAAAATTAGCTGATCTTATTTTCTTTAATTTAGTCCTATGTTTGTTCTTTTATTCATATATATATATTTTTTCTCTTAATTCATTTCTAATTCTAAACATGTACTTTTACCATTGCTTCTTTTAGATGGCCTTTTTCAATGTTGCATTTTTTGGAACGGGTAACTTTGCAAGCATTGCGAGTTTTGAGATATCTTCTATCTATCGGTTCATCACAATTTTCAGTGTAAGTTTATAAGATGACTCTCTCTTTCATTTCTGTCGTCTGTTATAATAATTGTTCGGTAATTTTGTCTTCCTTTCTGCAGCCGTTTTTGATGGCCGCACTCCTAATTTTCAAATTGCTCATACCCTTCATACTTGTGATGTAAGTGTAATAAGACATGCAAATTATTAATTGCTTGTTTCTGTGACACCATACTTGTTCAACCCTTTGGTTCTCATGACATTGGAGATCAATGTCATGGGATGACCCGGGGTGCTCCGGTGCCCCGTTCGTAAAATTGACGGTTCCTACCCCTCCTAACGACCGGTAAACCCCCCCACCCCGCCCCAACCCGAACACACCCCAACTCCCTTCTATTGCACCCTCCAAATTTATTTTGATTTTGGAATCATGGGAGGGTGTGTTCGGGTTGGGGAGGGGTGGGGGGGTGGGGGGTTTACCGGGGGGTTAGGAGAGGTAGGAACCGTCAATTTTACGAACGGGACACCGAAGCACCCCGGGTGATCAATGTCATGAGAACCGGCCCCCTTGTTCAATCCACACATTGTAGAATTGCACGGGGTTCTGTTTTCAAATTAGTTAAAGAGCCACTTATACTTTATCTTAATTTTTGAACATGTGTGCAGATGTGCATTTAGTGCAATAACTAAGTTGATCCGTGTTCCACTAGTGGGATGCTATTTTCTCGTAATTTTGTGCTCTGATGTAATGACGATCCATTTCTTCTTCTTGGTATGCATTTTTTATTTTGCCAATCATATTCACACCCAACCTTCTCATTTATATTTGATGATTATACATTGTAGTGATGCATCTGGACATGTTGAGTTTACACTATCAATCTTGCAATAGAAAATGATTATATCACTGTTTCAGCTCATGATCCCATTGATGTCCCATGATACTTTCAATCCTTATGATGATCGATGGTTTTGAAATGCCATGCCACGAACCCTAACACTACGTGTGGTTCAAGGAATTAGAAAGGGAAAAGAAAAGAAAATGGGATGGAAAACAGTTTTTCTTGTTTGGTTAGAGAGGAGAGAAAAGAAAAGTGAAAAGAAAAGAAAATGGGATGGAAAACAGTTTTTCTTGTTTGGTTAGAGAGGAGAGAAAAGAAAAGTGAAAAGAAAAGAAAATGACAAGGCAAAATGTATCAAGCAGAGGGAAAACCAAATTCTTCCTATTTTGGTTAAGAAAATGAGAGAACCATTTTCTTTTCATTTCTTTCCGAATTCCTTGAACCAAATATAGTGTGACATACATGGGATTAGAGTGGTGGCGATCATTAGTAATATTAATGCGTTTGACAAATTTTAAAGTGGTGGTAAATCTGCCTTGTTATTTTGTACTCCATGTAGTTATGTGTTTCTTATCACTGGCAAATAAATAACCATCGCTTTGGATTACTTTATGCTGTGGCGCTTTGTGGGCAATTGGATGCTGACTTGTAGTTGGCGTTAATAACAGGTACGAAATACAGGAAGCTGGATGGAAATTGGCAACAGCATTAGTCATTTTGGAATTATGAGTGCTCAGGTTGTGTTTGTGTTGTTGCTCTTTGTTCTCACAAGCATATATACGAAAGACGTACGGACGAAACCAGCTCGTCGAGTTTTGCAGAAAGAAATGTGATTCAAATACATTCCTTATCATTCTCGTGTTTTAGAATTATTGACTCTATTACAATGTACGTAATAGTATCTATTCGTACGTCTTCTCAACCTACTAAAACACAGAGAATCATTGTTGTTGGGTTCGAATTTTTGACCTTCTATAACATGTTCTTCTAACGAGCTAGAATTTGTGCAGTGCTAAATTTCCTTACTATCCCACTATTTTTGGGGGAATATGGGAGTAACACGAAAAGCGATTGACATTGATGTAAAAAATTTAATATTTGTGAAACATACAAATATGAGCAAGTATGGTACAAGTAAAACTGATGGGACAGACAAAAGTAAAAAATGTAAAAAATAGTTTAATGGAGGAGACAAGCTTTGTTTGTTTTAACGATGAATTTCGTCTTTGAAGTGCAGAAAAGGTGCACAAAAAGTTATATACGTTAAATAATACTTTTCTGTTCCATAAAATTTTTCAAAATTAAAAAACGATGCAACTTAAAATTTTTAAAATGTATAATTTTGGTAGAATTTTCTAATTATGATAATTTATCTTACACATCATATCTTATCCTATTATAAACTAAAAACAAAATTAGTAAATAATACTAAGGTCCTACCTTCTAAAGATGCGTTATTTTTTCAACTTTGAACAATTTTATGAGACGGAAGAAATATGAAGTATATATTCGTCTCATTTTAAGTTGCATATTTACTACTCCTTTACATAGTTAAACTTTAATTATCTTTTTTATCCATTCTCGTGACTCATTTGATAAAATAATACAAGTAGTTTGTTACTTTTTTTGTAGAGTTTTTTATCTCTTTTTAATTTTTGAGTAAATTTCCAAAATGGTCTTTTGTAATAAGATATTTTCTCAATTCAGTCCTCAATAAGTCTAATTACCCACGTGGTCTTTTGTAATTGAGATTTATTCCTTAGGTAGTCTTTCGTAAATAATGTTACTCAAATGATGATTAATTAAAAGGTATTTTGGTATTTCTTTCATCAAAATTTAAACTATATTCTCAAAAGGTCATTTCTATATAGTTATAATGTAAAATTAAAACAATACATTGACTATACATAATTCATGATTTATTAAAAACCTATTAAAAAAATTTTGAAATTCAAATCAAATACATATCTTAAATTAGAAAAAATCATTTTCGGAAAGCACTTCATTAGAATTGATCATTTTAAGAACTTATTCTAAATTTAGCTGATAAAAAATACCAAAGTACCCTCCAATTAATCATCATTTGAATAACATAATTTACGAAGGACTACTTAGTGGATAAATCTCAATTATAGAGGACCACGTAGGTAAATAAAATTTATTGAGGACCGATTTGGAAAAATACCTTATTAGAGAGGACCGTTTTGGAAATTTTAATTTTTTTAATTAAACACTTATCATTGAATAAATTGAATTGAAAATAATTTTAGTCAAACATCTTAAACAATAAAGAATAACTTAATTTTTATCAGGATGAAGAAATATAAAATTAATATTTAAAATGATGCCAAAAATCATAGCCTCAAATTCAAATTAGTACTCTTAGTTTTGTAGAAAGGACTTATGAGTCTAATCTTTTTCTAAATTATACTCCAGGGTACCCTAGAATGTCTAAAAACTTGCTCGGGAGTCTGGAGGGATTTTCCATTTTTCTTTCTTTTATTAATATTAATATTAATATTAATATATTGTTATTATTATTATTGTTGTTGTTGTTGTTGTTGTTGTTGTTGTTATGATTTAATTTCCTTATACTAGCACCCTTCTTATGTACATATAGACATTTTGTATTATGTAATTATGTACTATGAAGAAAACGTCTGATTATCAATCACATGGCATCAGAGCGAGTGTGCCCTAGGGTTAGGGTTCATTGTTTGTAAAAAAAGGCTTCTTCCATTTTGAAGTTGTCTCTAAGGGTGCTCGCTTGACGTCACTGGCACCGCCACCGTGGGTGGAGTCGCACGTTGCAAGAGTAATTCTGGAGAATCTCTCCTATGTTGGAGACCTCATGCCCCGCCACTGCTGGTCAAGTCCACTATAAAAAATCACGGTCAGGGTTGCCTGAGTCATCTAAGCACTTGTGTACACTCAGTTTGGACATTAAGTGGATACTTTGCTCTGTCTTCCTCTGTCGTTCATGTTTTGTTCAAATTTTAGTTCATTGAAATGGGTGATAAGTCCAGTGTCATCACTGAAGTTTTTCCAGTCATGTCAAAAATCACAGAGAGGTAACTTAATTCCTCTTGTTATCTTGAATGGCTCACGACCGTTAAACTATATCTCTGAAGTACTGACAAGGACGATCATATGACTGATGATCCTCCTAAGGATGCAACTACTAAGAAAGTCTGGTTGAGGGATGATGCTCGACTATTACTCCAAATCCGCAACCTTAACTCAATTGATGGGGATGTGCTTGGGTTAATTGGCCATTGTGAAACAATTAAAGACTTGATGGAATATTTGGAATTTCAATATTCAGATAAGGGAAATATTACTCGTATCTATGACGTATGTAAGGCATTCTATCTGGCAGACCAGCAGGATCAATCTCTTCAAGCATATTTCATGGACTTCAAGAAGACATATGAGGCCTTAAATTCATTCACCCCTTCACTCCATATGTCAAAACTCAGCAACAAGAGCAAGAGAAAAGGCAACAATGAGTTTCTTGGCCGGCTTGGCCTTGAGATTTGAGGCTGCCTCGGAAAGGGTCCTTGCAGACTCAGAGGGGATGGGTACTCATAGATTCAAGGTAGTGAAAGTGTAAAACCCATAGAGCCTTCAGATGGTGCACCCCAGAATGCTCTTATAAGTCAGAGAATGCAAACCGAGTCAGCAAAGCAACTATATAAGTCATTCTTTCGTAGTGGCACCCCAGAGAATCAAGAGCCCGTAATCTGTCATTACTATCACAAAGAGAGATATTATAAGTGAGATTGTAGGAAACTCCATTATGTTAATCAAAGGGGATGAGCTACACACTTTGCCTCTGGTTAAAACTCTAACCCCCTTACTTCAAAAGATGAGTATACCCAATCCATCCAATTCAAGGAGCTCCTGCTGCAATCATCTCCTCATATGACGACAATTACAAATTCAGGTAACGATAGTGCTTTTCTTGTCTCGTTTTCCTCTAAGTGGGTTATTGATTCCGAAGCCAAATATCATATGTCAGGTAATCGTAGCGTCTTCTACACTTCTCAGACCTACACATCTCATTCTCCTGTTACCCTTGCTAATGGTTCCACATCTAAGATCCTTGGGTCAGGTTCGATTATCCTAACTCCAAATATGCATCTATCTTCTGTTTTGAGTTTACCCCATTTCTCATTTAATATGTTGTCTCTTATTAGACTTACTCGTGATCTTAATTGCTGTCACATTCTTTTCTGACCATTGTGTGTTTCAGGATTTTACGACGAAGAAGATTATTGGTGAAGGACGTGAGACTAATGACATGTATCTTCTCAACACTTCTGATCCTAGAGCAGCTGCTCGTGTTGGGATTGAGTCACCTATTGAGATTCATTATTGTCTTGGTCCTCCATCCTTGTCCCTGTTAAAGAAAATTTATCCTCAATTTCAACATCTCTCTGTTTTAGAGTGTGAATCATGTAGTTTTGCTAAACACCATTGTGTTAGTTTGGGGTCCTAGAATAAAAATCTACGCGCAAGTGCTCTTTTTGAGTTGGTTCATTGTGACGTTTGGGGTCCTTGCTCGGTTGTGTCAAAACCCAGATTTCGGTACTTTGTTACTTTTGTTGATGACTATTCACGTATGACTTGGCTCTATTTAATGAAATCACGTTTTGGGTTATTTTCTCACATTCGTTCATTTTGTGCTGAAATCCAAACCCAATTTAATATGCCTCTTAAAATAATGCGTTTGTGTCTATTTTCTCACATACGTTCGATGATGTTGAAATCATAAAGAATGTTTGTGTAAACATGGTATGGTTTGGTGACACATAATTTGATTAACTATATTCTATATTTTAATTTAAGTATCATTTGCTAATAGATAATTAAAAAGAATATACTTTTAAATTTAGATCATAAATGGTCTGTCAAGGAACCAATTTAACCAAAAGCTCAAGCTTGTGGTTGTGGCCCAGGAACAGTTATTTATATTCTAACACGCCCCCTCACGTGAATCGTAGTCTTTTTCGAGCCTTGCACGTGAAACCTTAATTTTTTTTTAAACTAGGTGGCGCTGAGTTTCGAACCCGTGACCTCTTAGTCAACGGGGCTCCGATACCATGTCAAGGAACAAATTCAACCAAAAGCTCAAGCTTTTGGTTGTAGCCCAGGAAAGTTATTTATATTCTAACATAGTCTAAAACGTAATAAGTTTTCTAGTCATTAAATCAAATCATAAAATTAATATATTTAAACTATTAAATTATGTGTAGTATTTTTTCTACTTGAAGATTACTATAAACCAATCATATAGTATTTTTTTAATTTTATATCATTATTTAAAAAAATAGATTCAAAATTATTATTTTTAAGAATATCCTAAACTAATACTCGTATAATGTTTTAAAGGTGAAAAGAGTTACGTGTTTATTAATTGAAAGCTTTGTTATACATAAAGAGAGAAAAAATATTGAATTAGAAAAGAATATTATTATAAAACGAAAATCTAAATTTCATATTTAAATCTATTCAAAAATGTCATCCCAAAATATTTATTTCATATTTTCTTGTCCGAAAATTAAGTGAAATAAATCACATAATAAATGCACATATCAACTTTCTATATGAGTCACATTTTTATATATAAAATATTTATTAAAATTTAAATAATTTTATTTTGAATAAAAATTAAAGTTTTAATTTAATATCTTGTCAAGTATTATTTGTAGTATATTAAATTGTTAATCACTTGTTGAATTGTTTTTGAGTGAATGTTAAATATTTAAGTATATTATATATTTACCTAACTTGTAATTGATTGCCTTTCGTAAATTTCTAACATATTTTTTTTGGTTTTTTTATTGTCTTACATAAATAAATGAAAATTTGTCAAAAAATAGTGTCACATAGATATTGCCACATGTCAAATTCTTAGAGAAAGGAATCTCAAATTTATATATAAAGGAAAAAGATTTTCTTTTCTGAAATTAGCTGAAATAAATCACATAATAATTACACACATCAAATTTCTAAAGATATGAGTCATTTTTATACATAAAAGATTTATAAAATTTTAATAATATGAATTTGAAAGCAAATTAAAATTTTAATTTAATCTCATGTCAAGTATTATTTGTAGTATATTAAATTGTCAATCCCACGTTGAATTCTCTCTAAGTGAATGTTAAATATTTATTTAAGTATATTAAATGTTTACTTCACTTGTAATTCATTTCCTTTCATAAATTTCTAACAAATTATTTTTTTTTGGTTTTTATGATTGCCTTACATAAATAAATGAGAATTTGTCAAAAAAATAATGCCACATAGATATCGCCACATGTCAATTTTTTAACGAGTTACTTGTCATTTTTTAAAGAGCCACATGTCAAATTTTTTTAGTAAGGAGTTTAGAAAATATATATATAAAGGATAAATACGCATATCAACTTTCTATATGAGTCTCATTTTTATATATAAAAGATTTATTAAAATTTTAACAATTTTATTTTTAATAAAAATTAAAATTCTAATTTAATCTCATATCAAGTATTATTTGTAGTATATTAAATTGTTAACCATAGAATGTCTACTATTCAGTCCTATGTCTCCAATCTGTTGTTTGGTAACATAAAAATATGTTGATTCTGAATTGGTAGTGTCAAAAATGAATTGGAATTGGAGAATTCAATTTCATTCAAATCAATTGCAATTATATTAATTTCGTATATAGAAATTGGAGGTGGATTTTCAAACCCAAAGCTGATCGGGAGGGAAATCACCCTAAAAAAATTCACATATGAAATTTTGTAGAGCGTGGAGGGAGTATAAACATTCTATTGGCAGTTGGTATTCCCAATATTCCGCATAAAAGAAAGAAAGAAAGAAAGAAAGAGAAAGGAAAAGAATGAGTAAGATGGACGTCAGCGCACTGGAAACCCAAACTGGAAGGTGTGGGGTAGATGGAGTGAGTGATCATTCGTTTCTGTCTTCTCCCCCTGCATGCGTTACTACACTACACTAGTAGTGCATGCCACGCCACTTTTGCATCCATCCCTTTTTGACAGTTTATATATATATATATATATATATATATATATATATATATATATATATATATATATCAAATTCTCCCCCGCCCAGTAATTAAGAATCCGGCCTTATGATTCTAGCTTGATGAACCGGCCCGCCGGAAAACACGCAAATTGTGATGATTTGGTTTTTGAAGGTAAGTCTGCTGGTTTTGGTCATACTTCGATCATACTTTAAATTGCCCACGTACTGCTAGAGAGTATATGTTGCTTCAACTGTGTGAAAAGTTCACAGCTTCAAAATGTAAGATACGCTTAGATAGAGAGCGACTTTGACTTTCGCCTGGAAAATTCTGAAACAGACATTTAAGCTATATGGACTTTTAATTAGGGTAAAAAGGTGTTGGTTATTTTAATGTTAAGAGGATTTTAACCAAAGGAAATTTTTTTTGGTTTTACCTTTAAACTAAACAATAAATCACTACTATGGTAAGTAATCAATACTAGTACTACTATAATATCTAACTATATTAGCAGTTCAAACTTATTAGTTGACTTCTCTTTGAAACAAACTACTTTTACTAAACGGATCATACATTTTTATAGTCATATGTATCCCATTCTTTTTCATGTTTTGTGCAAGGGAGAGAGAGTCTCTTTGAGTAGTTTTTTTTTTTTAAATTTAAAATTTGGGTACATTACAAAAGTCTCTCTCTGTTTCTCATTAGGTGAAGGATGTTGTACTATATAAACCATAAACAATGTACTTCTATCGTTCCATTAATGATTTTAAAATGGGACTCTCAAGGATTATGTTAACAATTTGTCATTGCAAAACCAAGCATTTGACTAGTCAGACCTTTTATTCCAACAGGTAGTAGCATGTTTTTCTCTCTTTGTGATCAGATGCCAACTATAGAAGAAGATAAAGGAAGTGGTACTCCAAGTAATGTAGATGAACAGTCAACGTCTGACCAAAGCCGAATTAATGGAAGTAACATGGAGAGAACCATAATAAATATGGTGTTAGATGAAGGCTTTGAAAGTATTGCTCTTAAACATTCTCTCCCACCCCAAAATGATATTCGAAGCAAGCCACTTTGCCAACAAAAAATGGAAGAATCTAGAAGCATGCCTCCCACAAACGTTAGACGAGAACTAATTGATTCACATATTAAGACAAGGGGAGTGTCTGGATCGCCAGTTCAAACAAACTTATGTATATCACTCTCTGCCCCTTTAGGCAACAAAAATGTCAGTGGTGGGACATCAATTGATGAAGGGCAAATGGGAAAGATGATTACTTCCTTTGTACCCAAACCACCAAAGTATACCTTCGCTAGGCCTCCGGCTGAAGGAAGAATGAACAGCCAGTTGCTTCCACGTTACTGGCCCAGGATAACTGATCAGGAATTGCAGCAAATATCGGGAAAGTATCCATAATGACTACTCACTTTTCTGATTTAATTTCATCAAATTTACTCAAAATTTATAAATGTTGAAAATGATTTCCTTTACCATATGCTACTGAAGCACAAATTCCTCCATTGTACCATTGTTTGAAAAAGTCTTGAGTGCTAGCGATGCAGGTCGAATCGGGCGTTTGGTACTTCCCAAAGCATGTGCTGAAGTAAGATTCATCGGTGTGCTTACCCTCAAAAGGATATTGTGCCTTCTGTTTCCATTTTTTTCTAATCTTTCCTCCCAAATGTGAATTCTTACCTGTGGATGAATATGTATCATGGTTTAGGCATATTTTCCGCCGGTTTCACAACCTGAAGGCCTCCCTATAAGGATTCAGGATACAAAGGGGAAGGAGTGGGTGTTCCAGTTCAGGTTTTGGCCAAACAATAATAGCAGGATGTATGTTTTGGAGGGTGTGACCCCCTGTATTCAATCCATGCAATTGCAAGCTGGTGATACTGGTATCTAAAGTGTTCCGATTTACAGAGTTCGAAACGTCTTCATGATCATGTCAAATAACACTCTATATCCCTGGCAACCAAAAGAAAAGCTTAACTTTTGTGGTGTTTGTTTCTCATTTCTCATCCTGTCAAAATGTTTTCATTTCAGTAATTTTCAGTCGTATGGACCCGGAAGGAAAGATTTTGCTGGGGTTCAGAAAAACATCAAGTGAAACTTTCTTCTCAGCTCTCGCAAAGAATGTGCCCTTAACGAGTGGTTCTTCTGGCATGCTTCAATCTTTCAGTGGAAGCAGAGAGCTTGTTACATCCTCTAAACATTTAAGTAGTGTGGATGTGAATTGGTACTTGCCCTCGAATATTGGAAACAAGAACGGGGAAGGTCCACATTCGCTATCACTTATGACTCCAGACTGCAAAAGAAGTCAAAATTTAGGCTCAAAAAGTAAAAGGTTGCTTATTGATAGACAAGATGCATTTGAGTTGAAACTTTCATGGGAAGACATGCAAGATATGCTCCGTCCACCACTCAGTGCCAGGGTCACTACCGTTAAGATAGAGGATTATGAATTTGAAGAATATGAAGTATGGAACTTGTAATTTATTAAAATCAATATCTGTGGCTTTATTGTTTTAACTGTTGAGTAGTTCAAAGCTCAAGTTTGTAATACCCTGCACTTAACTATGAAAAGTTCTTGCTACACTTCTTATACCCAAGCTTCTGGTATTGTAGGAACCCCCTGCCTTTGCAAAGAGAAGCATTTTTACAGTTCGCTTATCTGGGTAAGATAATTATAGTAGGATATATAGTACATTAGTACATCTAATGACAATTATTTTCTTGAATCATCCAAGGACCATTAGCAATAAGAGTTAAGACCTTTATGGTGTGTTTGGTTGGACGTAAAATATTTTCCAGGAAAATTTTCATTCCATTTTCCTGTGTTTGGTGACATTAGTGGAAGGAAAATATTTTCCTACCAAACAATGGATTATATGATTGAAGAATAATATTCCTTGGAATTTCTTCAAAGAAAATATTTTACCCCCAACCAAACACAATCTTAATGTTAAATGTTGTTCTAACTAACATTTTGAAAACAGCCATATAAGAGAGAGAAAGAGGGAGAGAGAGAGAGAGAACCGGTTTTAAGGCTACTTGTTCTACTTTACTACTCTTGGTGGCATTGAATATACAGGGAGCTGGAACAATGGGCTCAATGTGATATTTGCTTCAAATGGAGAAGGCTGCCTGCTGATTATCTTCTTCCACCTCAGTGGAGATGTCAGGAAAATGCTTGGGATCTTTGCAGGTCAGAGCCCTTGAATATGAAGTCCCTTGTGTTAAACAAGAAAGTGTCATCTAAATTCCATGTGTTTATGTCCCCAGGTGCTCATGTTCTGCACCAGATGAGTTAGCACCACAGGAGCTCGAATTCCTTCTCAATATGGATAAAGGTATATTTATGATGCATATATGCACCTAGATTTGTATGACTAGATTCTGCAAAATGGTCCTCTATATTTGGAGATATTCCACGTTTAGTCCACTATATTATGAAATTCCATTGGAAGCCCACTTTAACTGTGAGCATTGCCAATTTTAGTCCTCTTTGAATCAAAGGTCTTCAAAATAATGTACCAACAAAGGACTAAAACTAGCATTATTCTAAATCATTAAGGACTTAAGTTGGTATTTGATGACATGGAGGACTAAACTATAATGTTCACAATTATGATGGACCTCTGATAGAACTTAATATAGTCATGGACTAAATTTGGAATATTCTTAACTATAGAGGACTATTAGTGGAATTTAGTCAATTTTTATCAAGGGTGTGCTAGTTGATTGACATGTGGAACTATTTTCACTCGTCGTAGATTTGGACTTTGCTTCTAGTTTTTTCAATTCTTTTTTATATCGTGTGGACCCATTATAATTGATACCTAAAGCTACGGTGTGCATTGGGTAAAGCCTCTCCTTAGTCCTTCCATTTTGGTTTTAATGATAAAGCTACGAGGATAACTGGATAAGCATGAATGTTTTTTTCAAGCTTCCTATGATAACATTCAAAATTATGACATAGATGTGATTAAAGAAATCTTGATGTGACTTAAAAATAATTTGCATGCCTCACCAACAGAAATGACTACTACTGTTATTGCTATATATGCTGATGTAAATGATGTGTTAGCTGATTTGTTTATCAAATATGGAGTATTTCATTTCGTTTGTTGCAGAGAGGAAGAAACAAAGTAATGAGATGAATCACAAGTCACTAAACACAGAGGAGGTTAATTCTGATATGGCAGATGCACAGGTAAATGTGTCAGGTTCGAGAGATGAGGAGCAGGAGGGTGGGTCCTCAATAGCAAAAACTACGAAACACCCCAGGCATCACCCTGGTTGCTCTTGCATTGTATGCATCCAGCCTCCAAGTGGAAAGGGCAAGCACGAGCCATCATGTTTGTGCAACGTTTGCATGACTGTCAAACGCCGTTTCAAGACTCTAATGATGCGCAAAAAGAAACGGCAGTTGGAGCGGGAAGCCGAACTTGCTCACAGGGATCAATATATGTGGGGTGCTGGAAAGGAGGACAAAGCAGAGGTGAAGAATACTATTATTCCCGGACAAGTGAAATTGCAACCAAGCAGCCACCAGCTTTGTAGGACTTCTGAAACAGGGAAAGCTTTGCTAGATTTGAACTGTCACCCAAGTGAAGAAGCTGTGGCAGATGCATCACCACATGTTAGCATGTTGTGCCTTCTTCAACAAGCTAGCTTGTCTCTACAAAATTATCTGAAGCAAAGTGGTCTAACAAGCCTTGCCTCCGAACAACAAGGAAGCTCTGTTAGATTACAGGCGGTTCCCCAAAACCATGGAGAGATTGAGGTACAAGTTCACGAGGATCGGTGTATTCCTACTAGCAGCTCAAGAACAAGAGAGTGACAAACTTTTTGGACAGGGTTAATATGCAAAAGACCATTGATCAAGAAATGCCACTGTGCTTTTAATTTTGCTTGCACCACAACAATGAGAAATGAGAATGGGTTTTTTCCCTTTTACCTGACTATCAACTTGGTCCGTTGCATAATTGTTTGATTCCATTCGTAGCCTTGATAAGCTTGATTTCACCATGTATTTGGATTGTCACAGTTTGTACCTTGAGCTATGTCTAAGCTGATATCAAAAACTTTGCTGTAATGATTAGTTTCACACACATGAAAGGAATGGATTTTGCAGAAACTTCACTGTAATTTAGGAACGCTGCAATGAATTCCTTAAGCTGACCAAGTGAACCTAAATTGGTAAGGGGATAGTTCACCAATTCTAAATTGCAATCTACTTGTACATGATTCCTACCATCAAGAATTTCCCAAAACAAGAACAAAACCATGTTCATTATTACAGTTGTGAATTTGTTAAAAACACTTTGTTCATCTTCCCAAAAGGTTTAGCGAACAAACATCAGTGAAGTGGTTCCTGAAATCTATGATGCCTGAAAACCCCACCACTCCAGCAATCAAAAGGACCATGAAAACCCACAGACCTCTTGTGCTGAAATTCCTGAAGAGCCGGGTCACACAGAACAATGTGGCCATAAAAACCTCATCTCTATCTCCCTTAGAAATTGCCCTGCCTAAAAGACCAACAATGCCTCCTGGCCCTGGCACCGAACTCGGAGAAAACAATTCCTGCACCTCGATAATGATCAGATAGTATTTTCAAAAACTTATTTAAAAAAACGATTTAGAACTAACTATACATACCCTTTGATTGCGAGAGTTAGGAATAGGAGAACTTTTTGTCCGCCCCCTTGCCAAGAGCCTTTCAATAAATCTCACAAGTTTCGACTTCGAAGATCCTGCAATTCTTCTGGGACTGGACGCCTCGGGTTCAGATCTCAGCCTGATGAGAAAGCTGAAGCGCTTCAGTTTGGCGGATAATTGGAAGAAGCTGCTGCAATTGTTGCAATGGTGGAAGAGGCTAGTTGCGCACAGCTTGAAATCAAAGCCTTTGCCCTTTGCCTGAATGTTGACCCGCCATGAACGGCGATGCTGGGCAGAACTCATCATCGTCATCCTCTGCACAAGTCGATGGCCATGAGCGGATTGGTGCTTAGACTAGCCGTTACAGTTCTGTTGGGGAATGAGAAGCGGGTTCCTGGGCCCGAAAATTAGGCAAACGGATTGGACATGCACTGCTCCCTTTCTCGGGGTCCAAGTCCTAGACCCCCTTGTGTGGCCGGCCCAAAAAGCTCTTGTACGTGGCGGACTCACTTAGGACATCGCCAATGCAAATGGTCTTCACAATTCCTAAAACATTTCTTTTTTCATTTTTTTTTATTTTCTCTAAAATATTTCCATTTTCTATTAAAAACCACTTTTACCTCTTTTTTTTACCTTACCTTTACATCATACTTTTTAACTACTCCCTCCGTCCCCCAAAAAGATTTACACCTTTCAAAAAAATTGCGTCTCACAATCTCCTACTCATTTCTATTAAAAAACCACTTTTACCCATTACTTTTTCAAGCTCTACCTATCACATCATACCTTTTTCATAATAATCTACACATCACATCATACTTTTACCCATCACATCAAGGATATTTTTGGAAAGTCAACACAAAATTATCCCTCCCTTAATTTCAACTTTAGTCAAAACGTGTAAATCTTTTTGGGACGGAGGGAGTAATAATTTATCTATCACATCTTACTTTTACCTATTATATCATCGGCAAATATAAAAAGTCAATCACAAACACTCCGTTTTCTCTGAAAAGTCAAAATAGGAACCATTTTATGGGGTATTTAAGATTCTTCTTCAGGTTTTTAAGAAAATTGCCTCAATTCTCAAATTTTTTAAGAATTCGTCACATCATTATTTCACTATATTTTACTCCCTCCAGTCCAAAAACACTTTCCCGTTTTGACTTTTTTTACTCAAATAGTGACATTCTTTGACCATAAACTAAACATAATTTAAACCAATTAATGCTACAAAAATTTGATGTATCAAAACTATATCAAAGATATACCTAATTATTTTCGTTTATATTATAATTCAATATAGTTTGCACACAATTTATGGTCAAAGAATAGTACTGTTTGACTAAAAAAGTCAAAAAAGGAAAGGGTTTTGGACCAAAAGGAATATTTTATTAACTTTTATTTCTATTTAATTAGTTATCTAATATATAATTATATTGTACACTATCTTTTTTACCAAATGTATTTATAAATATAATTAGTCATTAAGAAAATCAACAACATAAAGACATAGAGAAAATTACAAAATTAACACACATAAAAAATAAGTATATTTCATTAAAATTATCTTAGTAAACACACATACAATATGAATTGTATAAAATAAAATTAAAAACATAATAAATTAAAATTAAGACTTACATAAGTAAACATGATTGAAATATAAAATGGCATGTTCAACGATAATAAAAAGAGCCGTTTTTGCTTCTTCAGGTGTTTCTGTGTTTTGTTCCCAATAAAATTAAAATACACCATATAAAATTGCATAAAGAAATATGTTTTGTTCCTAAAAAATAAAATATAAAATTACATAAAATAAAAATTACAAAAAAAACTAAAGCATAACAACATAAAATTATATAAGTATACATAATTGTCAATTGAGTTTTTTTTACACTTGGGGAGTATTGGTTTTTTTATTACAAAATAACTATAACTATTTTTTTTCAAAAAGTATTTATTGTTGATTCCACGTATCTGCTTTTTATTGGATGAATTGAGTTAGGAGTCTAAGAATCAAAGACTCACTCTTAGACTTTCCATTTTCTCTCAACCCAAAGTTTCCAAAACAAAGTTTTCAGACTCTCATGAGACTCTGTTCAGACTACCAATTAGGATGCCCTTACACCCCAACCGAATAGGTTGACCTTGTAAAATTTTCCCCAATCCAATGGGCTAACCAAGAATACCTAAACCTATATCGAATCTCAAATGGAAATGATCCGAGCCAAATGCATCCGACACTTGATTGACCCGATTCTAATTTGAACTAAAGAATTAAAGTGGCCAACCTAGATTGAAAGTAATCTGAAATTATATTGATTCATTCAAGCTGAATCTAAAATGAAGCAAATTGAATCTAACCCAAACTCGATTACAATTGGAATCGATATACCCCAAAAAAATGAAGAGTAATTTACCTAAATAGGACTAAAACATAATAATTTTCCCAATATAGGACCATATGTTTTTATTTTCCAATGTAGGACCTTTGGTCATTATCATGTAGTCATTATTCAACTAAATATCCATCATTACTGGACATTAATTCTCCCACAAGGTCATTATTAAGTCCTATTTAGGGAATAAAAAAGTTTAAGTCCTACATTAGGAAAGTCATTATGTTTTAGTCCTATTTAGTGCAAATTTCACAAAAATGATTAGATTCTAATTCAAGCTAAAGTGACCAACCCGAACCAAAACTGGCATGAAATTTTATCGTCCCATTCAAATATGAACCCGAAATGCATCAAATTAAATCCAACCCGAACTGCATTACAATCCAAATTCATATGGCCTGAATCAACCCGAACTTAAGTTTGAACTCTTCCGAGTATTACCTACAAGATTAATACTACTAATATATTTAATATATTTACATTGCGTAGTTTACATGTATCATATCCTATCCTATATGTGTGTGTGTGTAAAGTAGAGTTCATTTTTTGTAGTGTTGACATGTGGCATGCCACATGTGCACCCACTAATGAGGTGGATATATGCATTTTAATTCATTGGTCCATTTAGATTTTTTTTTAAAGATCTTTGAATACATTTGTATAAAACTTTTTCATTTTTAACAAATCTATAAATTTATATTTCATCATTGTAAAATATACTCCATATATATGTGTATATATATATATATGTATGTATATATATATATATATGTATGTATATATATATATGTATATATATATATATATATATATATTTGTGTGTGTGTGTGTGTGTATTTATATTTATCTTATTACATTATTTATATTTATTACATTATTTATTTTACTGCTACATATATTTTTTAACAAAGTAAATAGAATAAAATTGGTTTAGTTGAAGGGTGACAACTGACAGTGACATTATGACACATACATTCTCGAATGATGTATCATTATGCAATTAATCCACTTTTATTAAAATATTTTATTAATTAAAACTATTATTATTAGTACTTAATTCAATGACCATTAATTTTTTAGAATTTGTTTGTTTTTAAATTAACATACCAATATATATTCCACCAATTCATAGCATATTTTGTCACTATTAGAAAACTAAAGCAACTAAAATTATATTTAGAGAATCTCAAAAATTTAGAATACATACGAGCCCGTGTGAAGCACGGGGTTAACACTAGTTTAATTATTTATTTTTGAATCAAATGTTATTGAGACTAGAATTTGAGAATTAAATACGGCTTATGTAACAAGGTGTAAACAAAAGGTAATAAGGCCATGGGCTCTTATTCTAAGTGAGTGTTCACGTCAGCCTTTCTTTTTCTTTCCTTTTTCTTTAGTGTATGTTTGGTTCAAGGAATTTGAAATGAAAAAGAAAAGAAAATGGGATGTAAATAATTTTTCTTGTTTGGATAGAGAGGAAAAGAAAAGAAAAGTGGAAGGAAAATGAAATGAAAAGACAAAATATATTAAGAGAAGGGAAAATCAAATTCCTTCCATAAGAGAAAATCATATTCTTTTCTTTTCCTTTCAAAATCTTTGAACCAAACATAGTGTTAATTTCCCTTTTATGGAAATGTCTTCCCCTTTTCCCCTTCACTTTTTACTTTTATTTTATAACACTTATTTTAATTCATATAATTAAACTAAAAACACAAAAACTATAAAAGTTTACTTCAAACATTTAAAGTTATACATCTAAATTAAATTAAAAGTAATACTCCATAATAAAATTGATCCATTAAAGTAATTCAAACAGATTAAAAAATATTGGCATAGGACTAAAGTATTTTGATATACCCAAAAATAATTTTAATCTGAAAGTGTTCTACGTAAAATGTTGTTGCTGTTGTTGAAAGTGATCTACGTGATTTGTTATAGTCTACCAAGTCATTTATCTCGTTCTTCATTCACCAATTTAACACAGCTTTGGAGTGTTATTCTTCATTCTTATAAAGTTCCTACAATCAAGAGACCACAACAAAAATGCAATGTTTTGAAAATCAGACCAGACATCGAACCGGACAAGCCACTGGGTCAAGAGTCAACCGGTCGAACCGGGTTGACTCGGGTCAACGACCCGGTCAACGACCCATTACTGGGTATATAATATTCATATTTATGTTTAGATAATAAAAAATTAAATAATACCATATTTTGTGGACTATTTTTAAAGATAATAAAATATTATCACATAACTTAAATATGCATATTATTTCAAAATAATACGAAGCACATACTCCCTCTGTCTAATTTTAATCTTTACATTTGAATCGGACACATATATTAAGGAAAGATGTAAATGTTATTGTCAATGTTAAATAAACTATTTAAAATTACATTTTTTTCTTCTTCATGTTATTTTCAATGTCATTGTTCATATACTCTTTCACACTTTCCATATTTTATTATAATTAGTATATATTTCTTCATTTTATAGATGATAATATTTGTTTAGATATAAATTATTCATTATTATTTAATACAAAAAATAATTTTTTTTACTTTGAAATATTTTAAAAGATTATAAAATAATCACACAACACAAACATGATCTTTCTTATAAATAGTTAGAAGTTTTTTTAATTCACTCAACACAAATACAACACACTATATATACTATTCTGCATGACTTTGTTAACAAGTGTTGAGTAGCTTAAGTTGTTATAAACTTGGAGAATTATATGGTGAGGTCTAGTGTTCAAATCCTATCTCCATCATTTCATTTTATAGGCAAAAAAAATAAAAAAAAAACTTTAGAAAGAAACCCGCGAGTCGGCCGGATCGACCCGGTTCACCGGTTCCGCCGGGTCTACCGGGTTTAGTCGGGTCGATGCTGATCCGGGTTTTACATTTGAACCGGACCGGATTCCTCACCGGTTCGCGGTCCGACCGGTTGCACCGGCCGGTCCGGTTCTAATAACATTGCAAAAATGTGCAACTAATTTGGGATGGAGGGACTATATCATATGATCTACTAGTATTCCTACCCTTGCAATGCACGGGTTCGGACGAATATCTTGTCGATTCTGAATTTATTCAATGCAATATTTTTTTCCAGAATAAAGGAAATATACCTCATGCATGATTTATAATAACACACAAAAGAAAGACAAAGTAAAAAGAATAATATTTGAGGAATTGAATCTACACACAACAAAGTTTGCTTTAATACCAAATTTTTTGAAAGATTTCAGGGTATACAACATTTTTTGTATGGCTGCAAGGATTTCCATTGTCATCTAAAACTAATATTTTTAATCCTATCTTTGTCTTCACTCGCGAAACAGCAACATAAAGCTGACCATGAGTGAACACTGACTTGGTTAAAAATAATCCAACAAATGACAATGTTTGACCTTGACTTTTGTTTATAGTCATAGCAAAACATAAGACTATTGGAAATTATCTTTTCTGGAACTTTAGAGGTAGTCCTGGATCAGTCGGAACCAAATTCATCCAGGGTATGTAAACTTTTTTGCCCACTCGATTTCCTGAAACCACAATAGCACCAATAACATTCTTTCGCATCTCGTCAACAATTAATCTTGTACCATTACACAATCCAGATGTTTGGTCAATGTTCCTCAGTAACATAATTGGTACCCCTTTTTTTAAAACTATCCTGTGGTTTGGGATTCCCGAACATTTGATTTCATTCAAAAACTCAACTGTTATCCAGTCGCCATTAACACCTACATTTGAATCTGCTTGGCATGATGAATCAGAACTCAAGTACACCATTTCGTCTCCGGGAATGAGGGATAAAACAAATTCATTTACCATTTCTACAACTTCGAGCGTGGGTGCTAGTAGTGCTCTGTCTTCAAAAAAAGAATAACTTCTCATATTTTCCAATAAGTTCGGATAAGTAAAGTCCACTATACTTTTGAGGGGTGAGCTGTTATCTATAATCAAAAATTCGAGAGGAATTTCAACGTCAGCAGTTCCATCAATCACTTGTCCAAGCTTTCCATCTCCAACTTTGATTATCCAATCAGAAAAATCTTGCGTGTCTCTATCTACGCAAGAGGACGTTGATGAATGCAATCTCATATTCTTCGTCAACTTAAAAACTTTACAATAAGACCACAAATTTGAAGAATTAGAGGTAGCACTGTACCTACAATTTCATCTCTCGAAGATCTGGGTAAAACAGGAAGAATTTGTCTGAAATCACCTCCGAGTACAACCGTTTTCCCTCCAAATGGTTAATTTATTGAGTTTGGATTAGAGAACTTCATTATATCTCTCATCGTGCGATCCAATATCTCAAAAGCAAATCTATTCATCATACATGCTTCATCCCATATGATTAAACCTGCCTGTTGAATTAGTTCTGCTTTTGGGCTCCCTTGTTTGATGGCACACGTTGAGCACTCTGTTAGCACCAAAGGAATTGAAAATCTGGAGTGTGCTGTCCTTCCCCCAGGCAAAAGCAATGCTGCAATCCCACTGGATGCGATATTCAAGACAACTTTACCACTTGATCTTAGAGAAGCAGACAATGATTTCCAAAGAAATGTTTTTCCAGTTCCACCGCAACCATACACAAAAAAGAATCCTCTTTTTTCAGCAGTCACAACTTCCATTATTTCATCGTATATCTTCCGCTGATCTTCAATCATCGTAGATAAGTATCCCATAAGATCAGATGACAACGTTTCTTTATCATAGTTCAACTCCTCAACCAACAAATTGTTTTGAAATGTATTGAGTGGACTGTCATCTGGAAATGGCATAGAACTGAATTGCCTCAAAGACCGTCCATTTGAATTAAGCAACTTTTCAATCTCAATCAGACATAAATTCTTTAGGTGTTCTTGAGAAATTATAAGCTCTGAAAAAAGAAATAGAAATAATGGAACTTATTTAATTCTACAAAGTTCCGAATAAAAATTGTAGGTTTCAAGACAATGCATTATGTATGGATTAATATGTTAAAAAACTACTTCTCTATTGATATACCTTGATTACGCAATAGTCTCCTTCGATCAAATAAAATTCCCCACCAGGCGTTCCCATGATTTTTCCCAAACAACTTGCGGGCAACTCATGGTATTTGTCACTAATAATGTGACGAACAACTTTCTAAGCTGATTCCCAGAACCTAACTCAACAGCTTCTTTTATACCTTCAATAAATTCCTTGTCATCAGCAAATAACCTAATGCATAGCATGCCTCCTCGAATGAGTTATACAGAACATTGTTAACTGTCTTCATATTTTTCTTGCTTTTCAATTACAAAGTATACATTCTATTTTCAAAAAGTTTTCTTTTAAAATCAAATTTGTATAATTCTATTTTTTGTAAAGAAAAAAGTATTGTGATATGATTTATTTTTCTCTTTTTTATTAATATTAAGTAATCCTGTACATCGGTCTGTTCAAGAGTGTATAAGTATTTGAAAAAAATATATGAATGATAAAGACGTTAAAATTTTATGTGTGCATGAATACCTATTATCACTTTTTTTTCAATATAAAACATATGCTATGTATTAAACATTGCGTTTGACATATGTTCATGAAAAAAATATATTCTTCATTGATTTATTCGAAGACTTCAGAAAAAATGACCTAGAAAACGTACTATATAATTAAGAAGACAACTTTATACCATAGAGCAAAAACGTTGAAGTATGAATGATTTTCTTAAATCAAAGTTAATTATATTTTATTGAATGCCTCTAACTATTAATTCACTTTTCAAAATTCTAAATTAATTACCTATAAATTATGATAACATTTGTAAAGAGGTGTTTAAATCATATGTCAAGAGATGCAAATTTCATTAAATTTAAGATATTGAATTGAACAATCATAAACAATTGAACTCTATGGAATTCTTTTAGTATGACATAAAATCCTTACGTATCTCAATACATAGCAAAATATGATTATTTATTGTAAACTCAAAAAAACTCATAATCCAAAACCAACAAACACAATTTATTATCAAAGTGTACCATAATTCATCAAGTATTAAAAAAAACTTAAAGTATTTCATTATACTCCAACGACCAAATAATAATGACGATTAATTTTTTCAATCTTAATACTCCTCACCTTGTAGACGGACTCATCTCCATCTCCAAGGTTAGATGACTCGCCTTGCATTCTTTTCATGGGAGTAAGATTGACCACATCATCTCCTGATTGTGTTGGACGACTTTTTTGAGATTCCACAAAATCCACTATTAAATTCTATAAGAAAAAAGACAAAGAAGACATATACACTATGAATAGTTCATAATATAATTAATCATGATTGTTCTTATGAATTAAAAGATCACAAAACTTGAATTTAAGATTGCACCTCAAGTGTAAAGAATAAAAAATAATGTAATTGTTATGTCTTGAATTTCAATACCTTTATGCAAGAAGAGGCCTTGTCAACTGAAATCACTTGTGAGTTTGTCTTCCCATCGGTTGAATATCCGATGGTCTTATCAGTCTGCAATAAAGAAAATATAAATATGTTATCAACCATAAATATACTATCGTTGAAGAGAGAAACACAATGAAGTTTAAGTAAGTGTTTTAATTCCAAACCTGAGGAGAGTAAAATGTAGAGTGCAACTCCTTAAATTTTGCAATGACCCGGTCATTAAAGCATATGTCATTAACATTGTAAGAAGGTTCAAACTCATTGAAGCTTGCGGTGCTAACCTCAACCTTGAAGATAAATGACTTATCTAGCAGCATTTGATTGAACACATCTGGTTGTTCACTTCCTCCTGAGACATTCTTTATAGGCAAACAGGAACATTACTCGAGGCTAGATATCAATTTGACAGCAAGTGCGCATATTTTTTTTAATCTCACATACCTTTTAAGCTTTGCATACATACAACATCGATGAAATAAGTTTTGTATACATACCTCACAGAACTTCAGCATCTCGGAGCAGGACTTATGCAACAACAAACATCCAACGCTTTCAAATATTACAAAAGTTGCACTATCTGATGCATCGTTCACTCTAGCCTTAATTCGATACCTGTGTATATTCATTATATTAATAGGGACCATTAGGTGTATTCAGATATTTTTATCATTTGTTCAGTTTTTATAGTGTAATGTTTTTAGGCTCTTTTAAAATTTTTTGTAGAGATTATGAACAATGTTTAAGCAATATAAAAAGTCTTAGAGTCTAATGTTTTTAAACACTGGAGAAACTTCAACTTTAATAGACTATCCTATATATCCTATATATATATGTAAAAGAGAGTTCAATTGTTGTAGTGTTGACATGTGGCATGCCACATGTGCATCCACATGTGCACTCACTAATGATGTGGATTTATGCATTTTAATTCATTGGTCCATTTTGATTTTTTAAAAAGATCTTTGAATACATTTGCATAAAACTTTTTCATTTTTTAATAATTCTATAAATATATATTTCATCATTGTAAAATATACTCCATTATATATATATATATATATATAAATATAATTTTTATACTATCCACAACTTATTTTAGTTTATTACTTTTTAAAAAATGATTATATAAATTTAATCACATATGCATATTTATTAATTAAACGATTTGTTTCAAAAAATTTATCTTATTACATTATTTATTTTATTAATGCATATCATATTATTATTAAAACATTAAAATAAATATAATTAAATTTTAATTCATATTATGTTCATATATGAATTGAAGTTTTAACAAACATCCAAAATGTTAACTTATAATATCTATGTTAACATATAGATATATTTTATAGAGAAATATGCGAGCCCGTGCGAAGCACGGGGTAAAAACTAGTTAAAAGTAAAGAGGCCATTTTTTATTAGTTTTTCAGTACTTAGGGGCTGGAGAAACTGCAAGAATCTTTTACTTCCGAACCGATTCTTCATTTATTTATTTAATATGGGTAATTGAAGAATTTTGGTTTTTATATAGATTAGTGTAATTGTGTTTTGAAAGTAAAAGAAAAAAAACCTTCCAGCCACTAAAAAATTATAAGAAATCCTATTAAACATAAATTTTATTTTGTATGCAAAATACGAATAATAGTACAATTCTTACATGTTCGTCCATGAATATCACCTCAATCGAATTCGTCATCTTCTCATCATTATACACTGGCATCTTGTACAGTCGAACCACACGAACCAAAACTCTCCAGCATTCACTTGATGGATTGATCTTCAACAAAGGGTGAATCGGTTTGGAAGACATGTCAATTAATCAGAGGTTTTAGGTATGAACGCGGCTTACAATGAAAAAATAGATTGATGAAATGGCTTACTTAAAATTTGATTTATATATGAGCTAATATAAATCGCAAGAAGGAAACTTACAGCAATAAGGGTAGAAAATCCAGAGATTTGAACCGGAAAATTCGAAAGAAGAACAAATTTTGCAGAGACTAATCATCATAAGAAGGAAAGAAGGCCAATCATCCCAAAAACAATTATGATTTTTTAAGAAAAGAGAAAGTTACCTATTCTTGGTACCGATCGTTGGAATCTCCGTGAAGAAGGACCATGAAGAAGGAAAGAGATTAATTCCAATCACATATTCTCTGAAATCTCGCGGTGGAGCCATTCAAAGATGAATATCGCAAGGAGGTGCAATCGAAGGAAAGTGCCGCTGATGTCTCGCTTCATTCAGACTTGCGGATGAATTCCACACAGAGTAGCCCAAATAAAAGAAGGCCAAAGTAATGAATCATTATCCAACCCGTTTGAAATATTGAGTAAGTCCAATATGATGACATGGCTTATGAAGTGTCAAAAAAAATCCCCGTCAGCATGACAAATGTCAAAATTTTGGGAGTTAAACTCCCAAATATAATATATAAAGGATTCCGTCGCATGACATATTGTAGCAATATTCCAACTAGTCTGAATTACTTTCTTAGTGTTTTTAATTAAGAGTAAAATATAAACCTGAATTTTTTTAAACAAAAAAGAATTACTCCTTCCTTCTCATAAAATTCATTGCAATTTCTTTTTCTAGATGTCTCGTATAATATCTTACACTTTATTCTTTATTTTGATGATGAATATGTGGCTACAAAAAATTTTCCCCTCGAAACAAATTCTAACCACATACGGAGTACTTTTTATTTTTCAATAATTTTCTTAAGCTCCGTGAATTTAAAGTGTCAAGGATTTTATGAGACGGAAGGAGTATGCCGCCTTCCGTCCCATAAAAAATTTCTACATTTTCTTTTTTCGTTTATCCCAAAAAAAGTTTAACTTTCTACTTTAAAATTAAATTTATGGTCTTTTTTAATTTCTCTTCTCGGCATCAAATTTACCATACAATTTTACTTTTATTAATTTTTGTGATCAATCAAAGATGGGATCTTCTTCTGGGATGGAGGAAGTAGCTAGTAAATTGTAGTGATAAGAGTATAAGACTAGACTTGTTCTCTTCAACTTTTCTAGTTGGTTATGATATAATTTGATTATAATTATATTTAATGTTATTTCTGATCCGATCTGATTCTAATAAAGATAAATAATAAGTAAAAAACAAGCTAAAAAGAGCAAGCTTGCTCTAAAAACAAGCGAAGAATTTGAGTTTTGTTTTATCACTTCTCTTAACATTGATTTGGTATGATGTTCTAGAAAAACACTGATTTGGAATGGACAGTTTAATCTAATTTCTGCTTTCTTATTATCAAACATCAAGTCTCCAAAAGTCAAATTAGAATGGGATTTCAACTATAAAAAAGGGAAATGATATGGGTACATTAAAAAGTATATCTCAATTGTACACTAAACCAAACACACACATAGGGCATGTTTGGTTTTTGGTATTTGGGATGGCTTTTAGCTGTTTTCACCAATTGTCGCATATTTGACTCGTCAACCGGTAAAAAGGGTGTTTGGTAGTTGGCTGCAAGGTTGGCTGTTTAAGCTCTAAAAGCTAAAATTTAAAAAGCTACGGGGAGTAGCATTTCGATTTGGCTGTTGGAAAATAGATTTTTTTTATTATTTGTTATTGTATGTAATTTTTATGAATGAATAAAAAATTATTATTTATTGCGTAATTAAATAAAAAATTGGTATTCAAATAAATATATAAATAAAAAATCGATAAATAAATAAGTAAATAAAAAAATAACTAAGAAAATAAATAAGTAAATAATATGTATATAAATAATAAATAGTCTTTCCCCATGTAAATTTCATGAAGCGATTTGCAAGAAAAAAATCTGATTTTTTTTAAGATTTTGGTGTAGAAATAAACAAATTATAAATTTAAGAACTACATCAAAAAAAATTTGAAACAAAATATGATACTCCGTATAATTATATTATTCTATCAATTGATTGATAAAAACACATAAATAAATAAAATCATAATGACTTTAGAACAATATATAGCTTAAAAGTTTATTTGAGGAAATAAAGAATGTATATTCCAAAGCATGTTATACCATATAATTATATAGGTGAAAATTTCATTAAATTAAATTCAATTTATAAAAGCTATTTTGAAGAAGCTAAGTTTGCCAAACATTTTTTATCAAAAGCCAACAGAATCGATTGGTCAAAGCAGCCAACTCAACCAGCCAACACGAACAGCTATCAACCAACAGCTAAATTCCAAACATGGCCATAATCTCTGTGCCCGAATAGACAAAAAATGTTTGGGTTTGCCTTTGACGTACAATTGGAGTACACTTTTTGGTGTACCCTTAGTATTTTCCTTAAAAAATCCAATCACAATTTAATCAGACTTGACAATTACGCAACTCAATATTGACCAAAAAACCCATTGAAATTTGACCTGACCAGATCCAACTTTTATCCGTATCAAATTTGACCCGAAGCCTTAACCGAAACTTACCCAAACCGACGTTGACCCGGCCTATACCCAAGCCAACCGTACCTAGCTTCACCCAAACTGTACCCAATCCAAACATAATACAAATTGAACCCAAACAGCAACCATTGGCCCAAAGTTGGCCCTAACCAAACTCACCCATCCGATCTTGAAGCAAAATATGTCACCCAAATGTCATTCAACCCAAAGTACACCTATCCCAAACCTAATCCACATGATTCGCTTGCCTAGTCTACTCAGCTCATAGTCGAGTGATCACATTACAAAATTTTTAAACATCCACATCTCAAGTAGGATTTGAGGTCGAGGTTCTGTGTTCGGTAATTTTTCCTCTTGGGACTAGAAACTATATTACAATAAAGAACGTAAGTCAAACTACGTTAGAATAACGAACGTAAGTCAAACTATGTTAGAATAACAAACATAAGTCAAAACTAGACCTGAAGCTAGACCTAAAACTATATTAGAATAACGAAGGTAAGTTAAAACTAGACTTGAAGCCAGGGTGACAAATCTCTCCACAAAAATTCAACATCACCCGGCAACTCCATTGGCCAAGACCGCCAAGATCGCTCCTTGAAACTTGGCAACTATTTGTGTGGACATCAGAAATACAGGTCCTCCTTTGAACGTTTTATAGCTTTAAGAAAATAATTCAAAATATACTTTTTCAAGAAAAACATGAATCAGGTTCAAACTCGACACATAAAGGTTTTTCACTAGTATATATATAGGTAACCAACTATAAACATTTCATAAAACATATACATTTTATTAACAAGTATACTCAATTAACAATGCCATTTGTTTGCTACACTGCAGTAGACTCCTCGAAAGCAAATACTTTTGGTTCTCTGCAATTGACAACGAACAAATGCCTTTGCAGGAAAGACTCTTTTAACATCATTGGCCAAGTCTTGCATAAAACCAATTGCATTGAAGCTGGTAAAGAAACGTAGTCACTAAATGTTACAGGAACAGCCTCTGACTACAAAATAAAAACAATGTAGGAGCCACTGAGCAATGCACGGGCTCATGTTTCTTAGTTAGCCACTAAAGACCTATCGACCCTAGTAACAGCGTCCAAGATTGAAGTGTTCCTGGTAGGCCCACCCAACAGGAGCCCTTCAATCTAAACCAAGCCACCATCCCATTCAGCTCCTAGTGCCAAGTAAAACCCTGGGAGCTTCTTTAAGTGGTGAGCTAGGCTCTGACAACAACAACAAAAAGATGATAAATATTGAAGATATTAGTATGTCATACATGATCCCGACTAGAAAGGGGTATGGATTGGTGTGACCTCAAAGTAGGGGAAGCTAGAGCAGAATGTGGTACAGGTGATGATGTATGGGAATGCCTCCTTTGTCGGCTTTGGTCTGACATGGAAGCCCTTGGTGGAGGAACATCTTCAACTGACCCAATACCAGTAGCAGCAGCACCCTCAGAGTGAGATACTAGGTAATTCTTACCAGCACTGGGATGCTCCCCCCTTCCATGAGATGAAGACAATAGGTTGATAACAGTTGAATCAACCGCATCTAGTGATTCTTGTAGCAGTTCATGGCTGTTTCTGTGATGTGCATATGACTCGGTAAATGGCGGTGCATTCTTTCCATTTGTCGTTCGAGGAGACCTCGTCAGAGCCTGACTCCTTCCCTTCCAAGTTGAGGAAGACCTATAACTTTTTGCGGATTGATTCTGCAAAATAGATTGCAGAAGGCTCTTATCGAACAATTATTGTCATCGCCTGGCACAAGACTACAAGAGTATAGGCAAAACATGTTTATCATATGCCTGCCTGCATAGAGTTGGAGGCCCGTATAATACAAAACTACACAGCTAATTGCTACAAATTTTGTGTGTCCATGTACTCTAACAGGATAGAAAAGTTATATACCATGTTTGGAAAGTATGTTCCAGTTCCCCGTGGTTTCAGAATCTCTTCTAAGCCAAATGAAAGACTGGGTACAGACAGAGGTTTTGCTGGATAGAATGCTTGACTAGGAAAAATACCATTAGCACTCCCATAGAGAAAACCATTCGCTTTGACCTGTATTGGCTGCTGAACTGCATCCAATGAGTATGTAACATACAGTGAAGATGGTGGTGAATTAGGTGCAGTGAAAGTCAACATGTTTGAAGAGTATTCACAACACCATCTGCCATATTGCAGACAACTGAAGTAATAGTTGAAGTCACCACCAAGATCGTTCAACAAAGAATGAAAATATTGCATACTTCTGGCACAAATAGCTGAAGGCCAGTCGTGTTTTATGTGGTGTGAGCAGTTGGAGGAAGCAAGTATTTGGGAGGCCATAGAAACATCCCCTGATGCAGAGGGTATCAAAACATCATGCTTATAAATTGAATGATTCTTCTCCAGGCACTTTCTTTCTTTGGAGCTTTTTTGTTTTAACCCAAAGAAATATTTGCTGTCAATGCCATCCTGCTTTCCTTCTGGATTCCCCCTTCTCACCTCCCCATTGCACATGGAGCCAGTAAAGTGTACATGAGGTGTGTAAAATGGCATATCAGCTACAGATCTATCTGTACCCAAATGAGAAAAACTGTGAAAATGGTTAGGAAACTTTAGGTCTTCATGTATTGAGCTAGCAAGTTCCATCGCATCTACAAGAAGTTGATTATCCACTGCATTTCCTTCTACACACCAATCAGTGCCTGAAGCCAGCTTGGATTGGTATGCATCTGTGGTACACTCTTGGTTCCTATCCCCAACGTTGCATGGGCAGACTTGGCAATCTCCACTTGTGCTTGTGAGGTCGCAGGATTTGAGTCTATAATTTAGATTCTCAAGGTGTGATGAATTTATATCCGAAGGAGCAAATGCAGAGCAGAAACCAGTGTGGCCAGCTAGTGGATTAAGATCTCGAACATCAGACCTCTGACCACTCCCATGCCGATCCAATGTGTTCGAAAAAAACTTACAAAGCTCATCAGCAATATTTTTACAATCTGACTGCACAAGTATTCTCCCAAGTTTCCTAAAACCATATGCAAAAGCACTCCGTATTCGATAGAAATTCCCTGTGAAGACAATAAAGATGGAAGCCAATATATGATAATGATAAACCCAATTTCACAAACTCAAGCATGAAACACTCAACCAGAATACAATATTGGGCTAGTTTACACAATTAAGCTGTTTTGGTTTGTGAGTATAGTGATACTAGTAACACTACATGTTTCGACTGAACTTTCCTTACATCTCCTGAACCGTTAGCATAATAGGCCAGGAACATATATGTCTTCACCAAAATACACACTCTGTCATTTGATTCATTTCATATTTCAACAATAGGCTCAATAAAATCCCACATTGTGGGGTTTGGAGGTGTGTAGTTTGTACACAGACCTTACCTTTGCTTGGCCAGTAAGAGACTATTTCCAAGAGGCCCCCAACTCAAAACACAAGAGCACAATGATACAGTAAAGTAGCACAAACAAAGTAAGAGCACAAATAAAAAACAAGCACACACACAGAAAGTACAAACTTAGGGGGGAAAGGGGCGTCTAACTCCGACAGGGACTAGTTTTTCGAGTACAGCCGGTTAAAAGGAGCACACTGCCGCAAGCAGCTTGAGTAGGGTGGATGAGTAACTTTTCCAAGTTCCTATACTCGACCCGAGTACTTTCATTGGGTTGCTTGCTGCGGTTTTTTTCATTCCTTTTTGGTATAAAAATGCTTGTTGGGTTTGGTGTTAAGAATATTAAAAAAACAATTATATACTATTGCTGGGTGATGTTGTTCGAGTGCTATAAATTTAAAATTTTTTTAAGTTGGATTGGTTTATACTATATATTTAAAATAAAAGAACTAAATGGATGGTTAAAAAAGTAAATGGAAGGGTAAATTTTTTTCTCAGATGCTTAAAAAATTTGAGGGCTTTTTTAATCTTAATTTCTAGATTTTTAATCTTAATTTCTGGTTTTTATTAGTTATTATATATTTTTTAAATTTAAAAAATATATTTTTTTGTACAAAAAATGTATATTTTTAAATTGATGAAATGTATTTTGTGTTTTAAATTAATAAAATGTATTTTTTTTAATTAATGAAAGCATTTTGGTTTTTTATTTAACCTTAAAAAAGGTAGTGAGTCCTTGACTAGTTTGAGTAGGCACCCCCTCCAAAATTGAGTACTTTGGGTAGTTTGAGTACTTTTCAGGTGGCCAAATTTAATTGGATGATAAGTTTGAGTACTTGGTGGAGACGCCCCCTCCACCCTTATGCACAAAAGCACACATGAAAAAACTACAAAGTAGGGCCCAAAAGTCTGCCCAACCACCCTAATCCTATACCGCCACACGCTACTATCTAAGGTTATATCCTTGATATGACCCTAAAGTCGCAACTCGCAAGTCATGTCTAAACACTATTTCCAACACTCCTCTATTCTACCTCTGCCCTTCTTTATGCCCCCTACCTCAAGCCTCTTACACCTCCTCATAGGGACATCTGTAATTCTCCTCAGTACGTAGCTATGTGCCCAAACCATCTCCGTCTAACTTCCTGCAGTTTATCCTCCTCAGAGACCACTCTCATCCTCCCCAAAATTACCTTGTATCGTATATTCATATCTTATTCATACTTGTATGATCATACATTCACCCCAGCATCTTCATCTCTGCCTCTCGTGCTTCCGAACGTGTGTTCTTCACCCCCTTGCATTCTGCTCCATACAACCTAGCCACTCTGACCGCTGTTTGATTAAACTTCCCTTTTAGGTTTGTCGAGATCTTATTGTGGCAAAGAACCCCTGAAGTTAGCTTCCGCTTTGCCCGAATGGATCCAATAAGATAAACATCTCTATCTATCTACCCACCGGCCTAAATGATGAATACAAAGTACCAAAACTTGTCCCTTTGAGGTAATCAGTACTCGCTTCAACTTTCAACTCACTCATCCTAGCACTAAAGCAACATTTCACGCACTCGCGTCCTGCTAAATCAAAAACCTTTGCAGTTTGGATTCCAAGCTCTGTCTACACATCAACCTATCATCAAGTCCCTCTCATATCTCCTCAATTAGAACAATGTCATATGCAAATGACATGCACCAAAGTACCTCATCTCCCCCTGAATAGATTGAGAGAAAACATCCATCAACAGGAAAGGACAAAGGACAGACCCTAATGTAACCCCATCTCCGCTGCAAAGTGGTCAGAATCTTCTCACAATGACCTCACTCATACTCGCGCTGTCACACATGTACTTGACAACATGAATGTAGGCAACCTGTAACTCTCCATACTCTAGGCACCTCTATAAGATCTTCCTAGGAACCTTGTAGAACATCTTCTCCAAGTCAATAAACATCATGCATAGGTCTCTCTTCTTGCCCCTAAACTGATCCATCAGTCCCCTCAAGAGGTGGATGGCCTCAGTGGTTGACGGTCAGGCATGAAATCAATTGATTCTCGGAAATGTTCGCTTCCTTTCTGAACCTAATCTCAACCTAAATTCATATCTCAACAGAATAAATTATTCCCTTTTCCAATAGGTATAGTCAACCCAATGGTACCATGTGATTAACAATTCATGGATTTTATATCCAAAATTTATTTTAATACTCCATAAACTGTCTGTAGACAAAATTTGTATACTCTTATGGGTGTGGGTATTCCACTATTTTTGTTATTAGTGTTTACATTCATTCTATTATTCCAGAACCCAGCAAAACTGAATAAATACAATTGATTTAAGTAATACTAGCATTCTCATTCTTTCCTCTACTACATTCTTTTTAAACTTATATTCCTATTTTTCCTGTTTAGGGTCTGCAAACCAAAACACAATTGGTATTTTTTTAAACGAACTTCTCGGAAAATAGAATGCCAAGTGACAAGCACTTAAATTTATTCTGCCCAAACAAAAAATTGAACTTAATCTTACCTTTGCTGACACTGCGCCCAAGATTATTAGTTTCTTTTAGAGGATCGACTATGTTAAGATGCTTTAGTACAAATGTCTGAGAGTTCGTTCCAACCTCTCTTGAGGGAACTGAAAACGTGACAGCACAATGTATAAGAAAATCATTGCTGAGAAGTAAATCACTGCCACCATTTTCAAGTGCCTCGGCTGCAAAAGGTGCAAGATACCATCTTGATGAGATAAATAGAAGCATAAATGAATAAGCACAGTAAGAATGTCTCTTACCAACAATTTCCGGCAAAGATGATATGCGGATTGGACCATTCAAGCTAATACAACACTTTTCCCAATCGAACTTGCTAAAGTAGTCCAAAAATCTGTATAGAACCTTAAATTTATAGCATTTTCAGCCATTTGAGTCAACGAAAGCTATAACAGTGATATATCTGTCTGTTGAGACTTACTGCTAAAGGTCCATCTAGTCTGGAGTGGAAAAGATGAAAGATGTACAAAACCAGAGTCTCTAGAGCATACGTAGATATCAAGCCATGGAAAGCACCAAGTATACGACTTTCATAATAGCACCATGCCTTGATTAATATAATACTACGCTTAAAAAGATGATCCTTTCCAATGAGATGATCAACCTGTATAATAAAACTGTGAACATGAAAATGCAACTCAAACTTCCAAATTTACATGCTTGAAAGAAAAACATATTAACTTGTCAGCAGTTCCAACAATAAGAAATTTACCTGTTCCAGAAAGCACAATGTACAAAGACCACCTATTTGATTGAAGGAAATGTCAACAACAATATTCTGTATGATACATTTCACAAGCTTAACCTTCCACAATAAAAAGAAGCATTAGTAAATAGGACAATATATGATGTGTAAATATAAAGGGTTATGCTAGTTACTAACAAAGTATATTCAATGATGGAAAAGTGGGCGAATATAGTCTTAGTCCATGTTTGCTGATCTCATATTAATTACTCTTATCAACTTTATAGCCACTTTTCTAAAAATTAACATACTGATTGATAATAGAAAAAGATCAGTCCAGAACGTACTTTTCTGTTGAAGTTTCTGAAATAAAGGATACTGGCATTTTTCCCTCTTTTTTTTTGACAAAGCATTTTTCGCCCTTAATTCTCTTTAGGTATTATTTTCTTTGATTTGTTAAGAAATGAAGTATATTTTAAATATTTTTTCAACAAGTTGAACAACATAGGCAAATTCAGTAACACTATTTTCAGCAGAAATGTGGGTCCTCCTCAGTAGCAAAAACTACGAAACAGCCCAGGCATAGCCCCGGTTGCTTTTGCATTATATGTATCCAGCCTCCAAGTGGAAAGGGCAACCACAAGCCTTCATTTTTGTGCAATGTTTGCATGACTGTCAAACACCGTTTCAAGACTCTAATGATGCGCAAAAAGAAACAGCAGTTGGAGCGGGAAGCTGAACTTGCTCTAAAGGAATCAGTACATGTGGGGAAAGCTATCTGTCACCCAGGTGAAGAAACATCAGCCCATGACACATGTTAGCATGTTGTGCCTTCTTCCACAAGCCTGCAAAGCTATCTGAGGCAAAGTGGCCTAACAAGCCTTTCCTCCGAACATGCGGTTCCCCAAGACCATGGAGAGATTGAGGTACAAGTTCACGGGGCCTCGTGAACTAGTACCTCAATCTCTCCATGGTCTTGGGGAACCGCATGTTCGAAGTCAAGGCTTGTTAGACTACTTTGTCTCAGATAATTTTGCAAAGGCAGGCTAGCTTGTTGAAGAAGGCACAACATGCTAACATGTGTTAATGCTTCTTCACCTGGGTGACAGTTCAAGTCTAGCAGAGTTTTCCCTATTTCAGAACTCCAGCAAACCTGGTGGCTGCTTGGTTGTAACTCATTCCAGGATCTTCCTTTGTCTGAATGACCAAGATGCAATTTTACTTGTCCCAAAATAATACTATTCTTCACACCTTATTTGTCCTCCTTTGCAACACCCCACATAACTGATTCCTCTAAGCAAGTTTGACTTCTCGCTCTAACTGCCGTTTCTTTTTGCGCATCATTGAAGTCTTGAAACGCCGTTCGACAGTCATGAAAACATTGCACAAACATGAACGCCTGTGCTTGCCTTTTCCAGATGAAGGTTGGTTACAAAGAATACAAGAGCAACCAGGGCGATGCTTGGGGTGTTTCATAGTTTTTGCTACTGAGGATGACCCACCGTCCTGCTGAAATAAGTGTTACTGAAATTGCCTTAGTTGTTCAACTTTGGCAAATTCAGTAGCACTTTTTTTCCAGCAACTTTGGTCATTTCAGCAGATTCACCATTGCAAAACAGGTTCTTAATCAATATATTTTATTTTTTTCATAATCCCATTAAATAATACTCCCTCCGTCCCACAAAAAAGTTCCCATTTTGATGTATTTTTGGTCAAACAGTTACATGCTTTGACCATAAATTAAATATAATCTAAATAAAGAAATGCTAAAAAAATTTGAGATATCAAAACTAGATCCTAAGATGAATCCAATTATATTAAATTTATTTTATAATTCAATATACCTTTCTCACAATTTGTAGTCAAAGCGTGTAAATACTTGACTAAATACTATTCAAAATGGGAACTTTTTTGTGGGACGGAGGGAGTATTAATTAACACTTTAAATCTTTAGTATATATGGGGTGGAATATAAGGGATTACTTATACATCTGATGGATACCCTAGGTAGGGGGTATCCAGCCCATGGAAGAATACACATAAGATCAGAAGAAAAGGCCCATGTTTTTGGGCCAATGAGGGTTTGAGGCCGAACTGAGTGAGTGGAGCCGAGAAGAGCATTTAGGCCAAGTTTGGGTGTTAGGCCGAGCCCGTATTGTCTGGGCTGCTGAGTTGATGGGTCAAAGATTTAGTTAATGCCAGGTGGTCCAACTCAGCAGTAGGGATCTAGAGTTCTAAACGGGCCTAAAGATTGTCCAAGCAATGAAGATCGGCTTATTTCTTTCCGTACTTAGTGTTACTCTCCCCTTTTTTGTTGGGCCCGGGTGATTGGGTCGATGTACTGTTTGCAATAAGTGGGCCTGCATGCCACATTTCAGTTTGTATTCTTAGAGGACAAGTAGCCTCATGTAAGCCTATATATACCCCTTCCTAACGTGTGGAAAGGGGATGCAAAACTAATTCTAACCAAATCAATCTCATTTGCAATTAACTCTCTCTCTCTCTCTAGAATTTTCTCTCTCTTCTTGGGTGTTTTGAATCCAACAACATCCAAAGACTTTTATGTTCTAACTACCTTTCTTCGTACATTTCTTGCACTATAGAAAATGACTATATGAATTATACACCCTGTATCCCAACTTATAAAGGTTATTTGGTTAAAGATGCTTGACCCAAACTATTTACAACTGTGGTATTAATGTTAGTACTAGTAAAAATGAATATGTAAAAACTGTTTCAAAAGTAATATTAATCATGAATAGCCACATTTGGAAATGTAAAGAATTAAAGAAATAAACATAGAATGAGTTGATTCGCACATTGAACTATAAATAGGATAAAGGTGAACACAAGAAAATACTTGCAGCTTTGGTTGCAGGAAAAAAAATATTTGCAGCTTTGGTTGCAGGAAGTATTTTGCAATAAACAGGGCAGATGCTTTGATTGTCTAAAACACTTAGAGAGTATCATAATTAATGTGGTTCCATTGATTTAATATATCAATAATATCATTGATGTGTTTCGGCTCTCAGCCCCCTCAGGTCTGCATATTATGATGTTAAATTGTTATTCTTACTTTTCCTTATTATACCAGAAAATAAAAAAAAACGCAACGCATAAACAATACGAGTACTAAACATTGGATATTTAGAGAAAGATCAAGACCTCAGCACGAATGAGTTGGACATCTTTAACTATGAACTCTGCACCCTTATTTTTTCCTTCTTCTTCAAGAACTGATACTAAATCACTAGCTAATGCATCCTCCATCATCGGACCACCAAAGGCAGTCAAATCAATGTCCCCATCAGGGAGATAGGTCTTTAGTGGTACAGATCCATAAGGAAATACCTGACATTTATTCAAAATCAGTCATAATGAATAGTAACTACAAACACATATGGATGCACTTTCTGTTGACTGGAAGAAAAACTAATGCGTATGGATATGGGTGAAACAGGTTCATATTTTCCATAAACATTCCATGCATTCCTTTTTTTACCCAAAATACAAGCCCAGACATGCATAAACACAAAACTTCAAGGAATCCATGTCACATGTCACAATGGTTCCAGGATAGTCTTAAGACTCCATCAACACCACCCAGAAGTCACCCTGAAGGAGGTACTAGCAGATTTACACTTCGTCGTATAGGCAGGTCGGCATCGTTTTCACTTGTCTAAACAACCTCTTCTAAAATCCCTCCATTTCCACATGAATGAAAAAATAAAGTTGTGAACGCATCAATCACGTCAATTCTAGAGTAGAAGAATTTTGGGACATCAGACCTCACATTTTCAAAGGAAAGACAAAAACAAACACAACAGCAACCTAACCAGTGAAGTCCCACAAATGGGTCTGAAGGTGGGTGTGAAGTATTACGGGTAAGGAGGCGGATTCTGGAAGATTAAAACCCCCAACTCGCATTTTGTTTTTTACTTTACCTCAACAAAACAGCAATGATCTGGAGATGGTGAGAGGCAGTTCTTATATAAAAAAAGTCAATCACAAGTGATGAAAACCTATAGATGAAAGACACTTTAATTACAACATGCCAACATGAAGTTCCTTAACAAACAGGCACATACTCCAACAAACATTAGTTTTTATTCACTATCCAGTAAAACCATCTTTACTGAACCTCTATTCTTTTTCCACTTGGTGAAAAACTATTCTTTGGCAGCCATAATGTACTCTGGAGTAATACAGAATCAGGAATAGATATATATAAAATAACACATATGTGCGATAATATTTGGCAGCTCAAAAGATAGAAAAGAGAGAGATAAAAACGCCCCGCACGAGAAAGTAGACGCATTAAAAACAACATGAATCTAACCTCACAGGCAAGGGATCTTCGGACCAACCTCTGGACATAGTCGATGACAGCCCTTCTACGTTCTTCTGACACAGCTGTTGGTCGGACCTTCCCAAGGATGCCTCCGGAGACAATCTCCGCCGCCGCCCAACGCTCCTGCCCTATTGAAAACGAGTCCGCGTCCGCCGTTGAAGACGACGGAGAAGGTTGCTGCGTAAACGGCCTCCCTTCCACCGCAAGATCACCCATTGACCCGCCCAAAAACTACTCCTGCACCACCGTAGAAGTGCTCCGTGATGATTAAAAAGCCAGATTTTCGATCAGAAACACGGTGAGAATAAAATGTTCTCCATCGCACGATTGAATTCTTATTTTACTACGGAGTATTTTATTTCATTTCATTTCTCCCTCATCTTGAATCGTGAACGATGAATGGATGAGCGAGCAACGGGACAATTTGCTGTCATTGAGTGCTTCCCGGAATTGGGGTCCGTATTTTCATTATCGAAGGACAATTGGTTGTTTTTCTCGAATTAAATTTGTTTATATGAGCTACTCAGGTATTTTTTATGTTTAGTCTTCTATTAATAAAATTAGGTTAGTGTCCTTTTTTATGATTATGTTTTTCATAAATAATTTTTTTATTTTGTATCATGTTAGTATTAATTTAAGGTTAAAAATATAACTAATCATAAGCGAAGTATTTTTCTTATCATACACATTTTCAGAAGCCGTTTATAATGCTTCGTAGCTCATAGTCATTGTCATTATTGTTGTGTTATTTATCTAACTCACACAAAATACGTTACAGGAACCCTCAAATTAAAATTAAATTATTGGATGTTGAAGTTTTAGAGTTGTTGGAAGAAAGTGCAAGGAGTTGGAAAAACAAGAATGGATTGGAGGAAATTGGAAGAAATTGAAATTTATTGGAAAAATTAAAGTGTTAAAAGTCACTCAAATAAATGATCATCCAAATATATATGTAAGAAATCTATAATTTTATATAAACAAGAGTGTTGGACATGAGTTCAAACCTCTTTAGATATTTTCTGTGTGTTGTTATTCTTTTTCAGGTTTTGATCAATGACAAACACATTGACAAACGGTTTCTTAATAAATTGGATCAAGCAAGAAAAGAAGTCTATCAAGAAATAAGAAGCGTTCGATAAACGTAGATTCCGTACGCAGTCTTTGAAATGAAGTGAAGATTTCTGAAAACTTATTTTATTTGAGTCTTAGAAACATTATAAAGATGACAAAATATTTTTTACTCAAACAAATTATTTTTTGAGGGTATTAGATAAAAAAAAATTTGAGTCAGTTGAAAAATAAAACTTTCTCTGTTTAAAAATATCTTTATTGAGTCAGTTACAAAAACTGTGTCAAATTCTCTTTAAAAAGTTATTAAGATATACAAAAAATTATATATATACACGGAGAATATATATACATATATACGCACATATATATAAAATATTTTAATGTTATATTTTGTTATTTAAATAATATTTGACAAACTTAATTATCAGATAATTAAAATGTCCCAATATGAAATATAAATATATGTTTATGTGTTACATCCTTTATATATATAAAAGAGACTCCAAGAAGAAGAAAAGAGTAAGAGACGGGCTCAATTTTTGTGTTGTCGTGCTTGGTTCTATTTTGTTTTATTTAGGATTGACATGTTGTCCCACTAAAATGAAAACCCATGTTCGGTTAGGGGGTTTTATCTTTGGTTGTCATTTGTACTATGGAACTTCTTTTTGCTTTAAAAGGGGGTAATAGGTGCATATAACTTAAGAAGAAAAGTGGATGAGAGGTACGCAGGAGGCAGTTTGTGTGTAGATGACTGGATGTTTAGCTGTGGGAGGCCGCACTAGCTACCATGTTCTGCGTTCAATCTTCTTCTTTGTCCAGCTTATTGACTTAAATTTTTAGTTTCAATTTCTCATTTCTCCAAGCTAATCATAAAAAATTAAATATGCATTTTATCCAAGAATGGATGTTGTTCTGTTTAAACTGCTTGTGAATTTTTTCTTCATTACAAACACAGTCATGATTCTTGAGAAATATAGAGCCTGTGTTAATTCAAGTAGGATGCTCAATGGTCGGTTTTCATTCTCAACGTAGCATCGAAATGTGGAAACTAGTAAGGTCACAAGTTCGTATTACTTTTCTTAATTAAGTTTTGTTTAATTTTTTATTATGATTTTCGTTGCCCTCCCTCAACAACAAGAATATAGGCCACGATCTCTACCTTTGCAACAAGCCAATAGGCTATGACTTCTGCTCTGCTTTGAAGTAGAGCCGCCGGCCCACTCTTCAAATTAAAGTCCAACCAAGCGCTATGTTACAAATTGGCAATGACAACGGCTTCGGGAGATCTTAGTGAACTGACGATGATAGAAGGTGTGGAGCAGTGGAAAAGTTTTACTCACAATGATATAGGCCACGATCTCTACCTTTGCATTCAAGAAGGCAAAGGTAATACATGGCATTTCGTTTTTTACGCAGTCCTTTGGAATTCAAATGCTTAAGATGATTCACAGTCTTACTTGGTTAATTTAGGCATGAGTATTTTGTTTTTATACTTTTGCTTGGTTGTCTGTTTTGCTTTAGATGATTCACAACTTTTGCTTGGTCAATTTTTGCATAAATTTCTCTTTTGAGAAAAAAGATACTACCTCCATCCCGTACAAAGTGTGTATTAGCCACTCCTTTGTACCTTCTTATTTTGACAATATGTTGCTTTTGAGCCTCTCAATGTCTTTGAGGCCCCATTTGGTACATGAAATTCAAAATATAGAATTGGAATTGAGGACTTCAATTACAATTTCGGTGTTTGGTAGTAAAAAACTTGTGTAATTTTTAAATTGATAGTACAAAAAAATGAATTGGAATTGCTGAATTCAATTCTGTGGAATTGAATCTCATGGAATTTCAATTCCAATTCAATTCCAATTTCTTCAATTCCGTATACCAAACGAACCCTGAGAGAAATTTAGTTGTAGAATTTAACAGTCTAAGGCATGTCATTATTGGACCATTTTTAAAAATTGTTGCATTATTTATGATTATTAATTATTATAGTGATTGAAAGAAGATGGAGGTTGTTCCAAGTGACCATTATGAAGAACTGTGCACCGATATGTTAGTATAGTTAGTTTTTGATTGATATTTGTATGATGTAACAACGTTTTATCATGTAATTATGGAAGTGAGTTGTGCTGTAAGAGATTTCAAGTTTACTTTTTGAGTTGGTGGAGTATGTTAACGCAAAAGGGTTTATAAAGTATAATGATATTAACATAAGTCATCTGCTTACATTTCTCCATTTTTTCCCTCTGCAAACCTGTATCCAAAAATGAGGTAATGTTCGTGCTAATCTGAGGTGAAAAACTCACTTTGTCAACATGTTTTAAATAAATACCCATCCAACTACCTTAAGACGAAAAAAAGTGATACGAGTACAAACAAAACATAAAGGTGAACAAATGCTACAGTACAATTTAATCTAGTCCTTTATGTATCAAATTATTATAGTGCATACACTCCCTAGAAGACTAATACACCAACATTTTTATAGTGCTCATTCCTAGCTATAATAATATGTACAAAATAAAACTTGAAGGATAACCTTTGTATACTAACCGACCCACCACCACCACGAAAGATCCTAGCTCTCTCTCTCTCACACACATATACTCCGTGTGTGTGTGTGTGTGTGTATATATATATATATATATATATATATATATATATATACTCCGTGTGTGTGTGTATATATATATATATAATTTAAAAAAACCAAGCATTACTTTAAGACAGTTGTGCTATCATCATTCCAAAAACCAAGGATAACTAACATTAATTTAAGCATTACTCCATACTTCTTTATCCAAAAAGAAGGCGGAACCTATGTAGACTCATTTGTCAAGAAGAAATGAAGGAGGGGTTGTGAGCACACAAGTTTGATGCCATGTGTAGGAAGCTCTAGTCTTGCTTCCAAGCACCTTCGACTCCATAGTCGCTAAATCGAGGCATCCCACTACATTTTTAGAGCCTTCACTCCATAGAACGTAGAGAATGTTCGAATTGTTGGGATGGATGGCCAACGATTTAAGCAATACCATCGATCTAATTAATCTCATCTCAAAGACGCCTCTTATACAACACTGTTTGAAACGATGCCTCACGATCCAGCCATCATAATCCGGACTTATTTGCCAAATCAACCAGCCTTTGGGAGGGTGGTAATGTGGCCTGTATTGAGCTACCCATAAAGATCCACAAGATGCCCCGAGGAGACTCAGACGATGGATCATTGGGGCCGCTTCTGCTGGCCTCTCAATTATGGCTTTCACCTCATTTATGTATGGATCATAGACAACGAGTTGCCCACTGTGAAAAATCAACCAATGCAGCAAACCATTGCACGCAACAGCATGCTGCTTACGGTTCCAACTCCTGGGTTCCTTCCACACCAATGGCTGCGGAGCCAACACCACCACCTCACTCCAGTCCCACCGCCCATAATCACAGGATAACACCTCCACCGTGAACCCATCACCACCATCGGTGGTGTCCACTGGCACAGGGACACGCACCACCCTGAATCTCTGGCGGGCTAGTTGGTCCATAAATAAAGCACAATCAGAATCCTGTGGTTTTAGCCCTACTCCCCCTAACCCCTTAGGTACACAGTAGTCATTAACAACAGGATCACATATCATCCCAAGTACAACTTGGTCACCCTTGGAGGGGGCAGGAGGCAGCTGGATTCATTGCTTCGTATAAGGATTGCATAAATCATAGACACCCTCATCAACATAGTTTTTACGAGGTGAGCATAATATCAAATTGTCACAAGATGCCAAAATGTTTCCTCCACCTGCCATTCCATCATTAAAACATGGCAGATAATCAACAGAGATTGATAGCTCCCGACCGTCCACCACCTTAGGGTGTAGAATAGCACTTGGTTGGAGCTCATCGTAATCTGCTCCTCCTCCTTCCAGCTTCTCTTCAGCTGTGATGACCATCATTGTTGTAAACCTATAAGTAGACCGCCAATATTTAACCATTAGGGACTAAATTTGAAACACAATATTCGGGTTAAATGATTGATTACTGAGTGGTTTTCAAATATAAAGACCACAAATGTAATAACTTTAAAAAAAACTCATTTTATGAAGGACCATTTATGAGGTTTACTGAAGATACGCCCGGTCACATATTAGGTGTTATTGAAGAGGGGCGGTGGTGAAACCCCTCCTCACGCCCATAACACGCCTAACTGCAGCAGCGGCAGCACCCAGCAACCGCAAACAGTAGATGACAGCGAGCTCAACTTCACAGGGAAACCACAGTCCAGCAGAGAGACACGGCATCCCCGTCCGGAAACGACAGAAAGCCCGCGATGAACAGCTACCAATCCACCCCTACCAGACAGAAACCCGGCGATCAGCAACATGGCGAGCCTAGAAGTGCAGCAACGATCAGAGGGGTTACAGCAGAGAACAGATAAGAAAGAAAGAGATAACTAGAAGATGGCAGAGAGAACGACGTGAGCATCAAAACATCAAAGCCCAATTCAAAATTCCCAAATCAAATTCCCAATCCAATTCAATCAATCAAAAGAATCAATAATTCAATTCACAAATTCAACATCAATTGCCAAGAATATATATTCACGAATTCTAATATACGAATCAATTTTGACGAGAGATATAGAAATCACCACTGAACTCTATTAAACCGACTAAGCTCTATTAAATTGATGAAGGATCACGAATTACTTGAGGTGCAAATTTCTAACGCGAAGGCCCTTCAAAACTCATTTCTAAAGTCCTAGTTTTAAAATATTGCACTCGTGCCCTCTCTGATCATTTTTCGGCCATTTTTCCGGCGAAGAAGGGGGCAATGGTGCATATTTTGCCTACCTGTATTAACCTCGGATTTGCCATTCCATCGTTTCATATACGCGGGAAGTACTCCGCACCATCTTTGATGGTGGAAAAGTTCTGTCTCCCGTTTGGGGATAGAAAAAAACTATCGCTTAACGCTAGTTAAGTAAAACACTGCGTTTCGATCTGACGACAAACATATTCTGTCGCTACCTTCTTTCCGTCGCCAACAATCAGATATTATATATATAATTAAAAATTGAGAAATCAACTAAAACACAAAAACTTAATGAAATAAAATGATAATCACTAAAAACAATTAACCTCATACTCATAAGAAATAAAACTAAAAATAGAAATCACTCTAAATATAACTAAAATATTGAGAAAAGTACCAAAATATGACTTTCATGTTTTTTTCGAAGTGTGACACTATACATGTGCACCTTACTATACTTTTTGGTAATGTACACGATCATGTTTGGTAATGTAAATGCATTTTAAGTCCTATTTCGAGAATAAAAACATGAAAAATCCTATTTTGGTATATTTTCAATGTTTTAGTTCTACTTTGATCTTTCTCTAAACTATTCCTTCAACGACACATCTCATTTGTATAAGTATTATCCATTTATCACTAATATCTTTTATTTAACACAAGGTATGAGGTGTGTCACCTTGTTAGACTTAAATCGATGGTTTAATTTACTGATCCTTTGATTGACTTACGAGATTCTAATAACATATTTATTTGGGCATGGTAATGGATTTCCCAAGTCACATCAATAAATGAGCCCTTAAATATTATACTTCACAAAGGAAGGGATACATTTTATCTACGTCATTCACATCTATACTTAAGTTTCATTGAATACCCAAAACACAATTGTACATTCACCGATATTTCAGGTGGCATAAATCATGCTTCAAATTATGAAACTCAGCTTATTAGAGATCGTAATGACTTAGAGTTGAACGATAAGTATGCTAATGGTTGCATGAGAATAATATTAACACTTTAATTTAAACCCATGTTTTATTCTCATAGCGAGTCAATCCAGCAACATATCCACCATTTTTGCCAACGCATAGATTCAAATAACATTTTATCTATAGCCTATGAAACGCATCTATCTCATCTCATGTGTATTAGTCTTAATATATTATGATATCTTTATTTTTATAATATTCGACTAAGGATATTTTAGACATAGCCTCTATCTTTGTAACAGTCTCATAATCAGAACGTCGTAGTTGTCATCTATGTTAGTAGAGTGTCTACTCTATGGACTAAAGTTATGTTGAATATTACAGCGGGAAAAATAAAAAATAAAATAATCCGAACTTATAAAACGTTCAGATTTTACAACAAGATAAAACAAAATAAAACTTGGAGTCCTCGGGAGCTCGAACGAACTTTTCTTCGGACAAAGAACAATGGGTCGCCGGAGATATTTCTTGAACCGTAGGTAAGGAAAGCAGAGTCACCGAAGCTTTCCTTAAGGTAGTATTGCCCGCCTCCCGCACTGGCTAACGTGGGCAATCTCCTCTCAGGATAAAACCGCTTCGTGCTAGGTCTAGAGCGGTAGAACAAAGCACCGGCGAACGAGAATGACGGAGCTACTGCCGGAGAAGATGATCGGAACTCGGGGATTTGCCGGAATCTTTAGTAACGCAGAGAGGATTTTTTCGAGTGTGTGTTTGCTCCTGCGGCCAAGCCCTCCTTATATAGGAGAGGATTTGGACTCTTCACTGGACCGTCGTATTTTACGAAGAGTCGGTGACTCTTCAACAATTATGCATGCATGCTTAATTCCGTACACTTCGTTATTATTGAAGTGTACACGCGCGTTTCGTTTTGGTCTCGGAAAAAACTAGCCACGCTGCAGACGCAGGCGTGCCGCGCCGCGCCTCGCCCTACCCTGCGATGCGCGCGCGTGTCGTGACGTGTCGAGCCGGACGGTGGCGGCGGCGGGCGCGCGAGGACTCCTCTTCTTGTTCCTTTCATAAGCTCAATTCAAAGCCTAAACTTAAATATGAGAATACGAAAGGTTTAGAAACCGGTGTGGGACAAAGGCATTTACTCTACCTTAGCATTCAACTTTGAGAATTAATTTCTCATTCACCCGAGCACCGTTTATGACGTGTCATATATCAAGACGTTCGTCTTACTTACGAGATTAATCGTCCATAATTATTTTTGGAAAATAATTTTGTGGACCCAACCGAATTTATGTCCGAAAATGTTCAATCTTACTTTAAAATTATTCCACAATCCCCCACATGAATGAAAATTAATTCATGTAACTGGCAATAACTCTGAAGTTGAAACCTGCAAGAGTAGGTAGGTTTTATGCCTTTGAACCTACTCCTTGTAAAGTATACCTTCTCTACTGGCTGTTCAGTAGAACGTGATGCCTTTGAATTGTACTGCCGTTTGTGTAGACGACGATATACAATACACAAGTTTCAACCAACCGTCATTCCGTTCTCATGGGTGTGCCCATTATGGTCGTGGAACACGCATCTGGTTCGGCGAGAGTGTCAGACAGGATCAGCCCGAAATCCTTCTGTTGAAGCGACCGCACTTCACTCTTACATAGGTGATTCTTCTAAGAGTATCCCGATTACTTCACTTGGACCTCGTTGTCTATAGTTCAAGAATCATTAAAGCATCATGCTAACCTCATCGTTTTCGGGAGTCACTATATCTCAGTAGGAACGGAGGGGTGTTAAGTCGGTGATCCGGCTTGCCCCCACAGTGACCGTGCTTCGTTCCACAAGTAGGTTGTCCCATTGAACCCAGGTTCCACCTAGGTTGGGTTTTCGTTCATGGAACGTTCCAAGCACAGGGTAGGGCTTTCAGACCCATTCCTACAACTAACTTCTCATGTTGCTCATTGATTAACCCTTTGGTTAATGGATCCGCTAAGTTATCCTTCGACTTGACATAGTCAATCGAGATAATACTCGTATTGAGATGTTGCCTAATGGTTTTGTGTCTACGGCGAATGTGCCTAGACTTACCATTATACAATTTGTTCTGAGCTCGTCCTATTGCTGACTGACAGTCACAATAAATGTAAATAGGAGGAACCGGTTTTTCCCAGTTTAGAATATCCTCAAGCAAATTCCGAAGCCATTCGGCATGTTCTTCACACTTGTCTAGTGCTATGAACTCAGACTCCATGGTGGATCTGGCAATTAACGTTTGTTTTGAGGATTTCCAGGAAACAGCTGCACCGGCTAGCATAAAGATAAATCCGCTTCTGGATTTTGAATCCTTATTATCCGCAATCCAATTGGCATCAGTGTATCCTTCCAACACGGGTGGATACCTTCCATAGCATAGGCTATAGTCTCGAGTATAACGAAGGTATCTCATTACTCGGACTATGGCCTTCCAGTGCTCAGCACTCGGATTGCTAGTATACCTACTTAGTTTGCTAATGGCGCAAGCTAAATCTGGCCGTGTACAACTCATTAGATACATCAGACTTTCGATGACTCTAGCGTATTCTATCTGAGAATCGCTACCCCCTCGGTGTTTACCAAGGTGAACATTTACATCTATCGGCGTCTTAGCTATCTTTTTATCATCCTTGTTGAATTTCTCAAGGATCTTGTCAATGTAGTGGGATTGGCTCAAGCTCAGACCATCCGGTCTTCTTAGTATTTTTATTCCAAGAATCACATCAGCCAGACCCAAATCTTTCATATCGAATCGTGCGTTCAACATGTCCTTGGTGGACTTGACCATCCTATCGTTGCTTCCAACGATAAGTATGTCGTCTACGTAAAGACATAAAATGACATGCCCTTCAGATGTGTCCTTAAAGTATACGCACTTATCCGACTCATTTATCTTAAAACCGTTGCTCATCATTACCTCGTCAAACTTATCATGCCATACTTTTGGCGCTTGTTTAAGACCGTATAATGATTTCACAAGTTTGTAGACCTTCTTTTCTTGGCCCGGAACCTTAAACCCCTCGGGTTGTTCCATATAGATTTCTTCATCTAGTTTGCCATTTAGGAAAGCAGTCTTTACATCCATTTGGTAAACATCTAGGTTTCGTAAGGATGCAAATGCGATGATCATTCTGATAGAATCTATCCTAGTTACAGGCGCGTAAGTATCAAAGTAGTCGTAGCCCTCGCGTTGGCTATACCCCTTGATCACAAGTCTAGCTTTGTACTTGTCAATGGAGCCGTCAGGCTTCATTTTCCTCCGAAAGACCCATTTGGAACCTAATGGTTTACACCCCGGAGGGAGATCAACCAATTCCCTCGTGTGATTCTGAAGAATAGAATCAACTTCACTTTTTATGGCTTCTCGCCACTAAGGTCCCTCAGTTGAGGTTACGGCCTCGTGATAGATTCGTGGTTCCTTTTCTACCAAACAGGTTAGAATATCGGGTTCATTTTTCATTAGAAATGACAAAGTTCCTTTGTCAAATTCTATCAGATATGTTATGAAATCAGAACCGAACGTCTTTTCAGTTCGCATTCTTTTACTTCGTCTGAGTTCAGTCTCATGTTCGACTTCATCATCCTCATCGGAATTCAACTGATTTGGATCATCATTATCCATCATCTCAGTATGAGAACGTTTGGACGAACTGGCTTCGTCACTTGACTTGCACGGGAAAATGTGCTCGAAAAACGTTGCATTCCGTGACTCAATGATTGTGTTCTTGTGAATTTCAGGATTGTCTGATTTGTACACCAAGAACCGGTACGACGTACTATTGTACCCGATGAAGATTCCATCAACTATTTTTGGACCGATCTTCATCTTCTTTGGTGGTGGTGCAAGTACTTTCGCGAGGCACCCCCACACTTTGAGATACTTATAGGAAGGTTTCCTATTATGCCAAAGTTCATACGGAGTTTTGTCAAGTTTCTTAAGAGGTATTTTATTTAGTAAATAATTACTTGATAAAACAGCCTCCCCCCACATGTTCTGGGGTAACCGAGAACTAAGTAGCATCGCATTCATCATGTCTTTCAGAGTGCGATTCTTTCGCTCCGCTACACCGTTAGACTGTGGTGTATACGGTGGGGTTACTTGATGCACTATTCCATGCTGTGCACAAAACTCATAAAGTGGAGCATCATACTCACTACCTCTATCGCTTCTCAACGTTTTGATTTTGTGATTAAGTTGATTTTCCACTTCGTTCTTATAACGAACGAAAGTGTCTAACGCTTCATCTTTACTTTTTAGTAAATAGATATAGCAATATTTCGTGCTATCATCGACGAAGGTAATAAAGTACTTATTACCTCCTCTTGAAGGCGTTGTTCGAAAATCACACAAGTCGGTGTGAACCAACTCTAGAGGTTGAGTATTTCGTTCGATTGTTTGAAACGAACTCCGAGTTGACTTAGCCTCAACACAAGTTTCCCACTTGTGGGCTAGGTCAATACTAAACTTAGGTATGTGTTCCATGTTAATTAATTTTCGAATAGATGCATAATTAACATGTCCTAGTCTACCATGCCATAAACTAGAAGACTCACACACATAAGCAACAGGATTCTTATTGATCTTTTCATGAACAGTCATTACATTAAGCTTTACAAGCCCATCGGAAACATAACCTTTCCCAATAAAAATCCCTTTCTTGGACAAAATTAGCTTGTCTGATTCAAACACCATTCGGAAGCCGTGTTTGATCAACAATGACCCCGACACCAAATTCTTGCAAATATCAGGTACATAGAGCACGTCGTTAAGCGTTAACACCTTGCCTGAGGTCATTTTGAGCTTAATCTTGCCCACCCCTTGTACCTCTGACTGGGCTGAGTTTCCCATCCAGACCTTGTCACCAGAGGTCTCTTGAAATTCGTGAAACATGCTCCGGTTGGAGCAAATATGACGTGTGGCCCCTGTGTCCACAAACCATTCCCTTGGGTTTGACCCGACGAGATTCACCTCGGTGACAACCGCGCAGAGGTCTAAGTTGTCAAGCTCCGCACACATGGCTTCAGTGGTTTTCTTCTTTCCCTTTTGTGGCTTCTTTTTCCTACAATCGGAGGAACGATGCCCAGTAATGCCACAATTGTAGCACTCTCCTGCAAATTTAGAAACACCACCCTTAAGACCCATTCTCTTCTTGTCCTTCCCCCATGTGAGGAGCCCGGCGGATGTTCTACAACATTCACCTTTGCCCCTCCATTTCTTCTAGCAAGCCCTTCCTCTCGGATCCTCAATCGCGTGAGCAGTTGCTCCAAGTTCAGCTTCGTTCTCTTGAGCTTGAGGTCGGCTTGGAAGTCTTCCCAAGACCTGGGAAGTTTGTGGATGATGGCCGCCACTTGGAAGGCCTCGCTGACGCCTACTTTTTCTTCATTGCACTTGTTGAAGATTACCGTAAGCTCCTCAGCTTGGGCGACAACAGATTTGCTGTCGACCATCTTGTAGTCCAGCATCTTCCCGACGATGAACTTCTTTGTGCCGGCATCTTTAGCTTGATATTTTTTGTTCAAGCTATTCCAAAGCTCCTTGGCGAGCGTTGCACCGGCGTAAACGGGGTACAACGAATCTCCCAACCCCTCCAGGATAATGTTGATGGCGAGATAGTTGTTGTGGTACCATGCTTGGTTCACCATCGCCACGAGGGGGTCGTTGGCTTCATAGGGATGGGGGGATCTTGCTGCAGGTACTCAGCAAATCCCAAGACGGTCATGAAGAACATCATCTTTTGTTACCACATTTTGAAGTTCGTCTCATTGAACTTCGGTGGCCTTTGAACCGAACTAGCGGGCACCGTAATCGGCCCAACTGCATTGGGCGTGTGGAGGAAAGGCCCGTTAGTCGCCCAATGGGGTCCAACGAATGGATTGACCGGTGTGGGAAAACCCGCGTTCGGTCCTACGTTGACCGGTGTGGAAAAGCCCGTGTTCGGTCCAAAGTTGACCGTCGAGGCCGAAGCCGTAGTCGGTCCGAGAAACGGGTTCGAATTACCGACGGGGTGATCCCCCGTGGTTTCGATCCCGGGAATGGGTCGAGGGGCCGACCCAAAGATCGAGCTCGGCATTGAAAACGACGTCATGGTTGCGGCCCCCACACTTGCCCCGAAGGGTAGTGGTGAGGACGGCATAACCATGGCTACCGAAGAGGTTTCCACCGGAATTTCGGAACTTATTCCGTTGCCGGAGGAACCCATGATGCCGAATCCGAACTCCATCACTACTACCTTAAGATTGTTGAATATTACAGCGGGAAAAATTAAAAATAAAATAATCCGAACTTATAAAACGTTCGGATTTTACAACAAAATAAAAGAAAATAAAACTTGGAGTCCTCGAGAGCTCGAACGGACTTTTCTTCGGACAAAGAACAATGGGTCGCCGGAGATATTTCTTGAACCGTAGGTAAGGAAAGCGGAGTCGCCGAAGCTTTCCTTAAGGTAGTATTGCCCGCCTCCCGCACTGGCTAACGTGGGCAATCTCCTCCCAGGATAAAACCGCTTCGTGCTAGGTCTAGAGCGGTAGAACAAAGCACCGGCGAACGAGAATGACGGAGCTACTGCCGGAGAAGATGATCGGAACTCGGGGATTTGCCGGAATCTTTAGTAACGCAGAGAGGATTTTTTCGAGTGTGTGTTTGCTCCTGCGGCCAAGCCCTCCTTATATAGGAGAGGATTTGGACTCTTCACTGGACCGTCGTATTTTACGAAGAGTCGGTGACTCTTCAACAATTATGCATGCATGCTTAATTCCGTACACTTCGTTAGTTCGTTATTAACGAAGTGTACACGCATGTTTCGTTTTGGTCTCGTAAAAAACTAGCCACGCCGCAGGCGGGCGCGCGATGACTCCTCTTCTTGTTCCTTTCATAAGCTCAATTCAAAGCTTAAGCTTAAATATGAGAATACGAAATGTTTATAAACCGGTGTGGGACAAAGGCATTTACTCTACCTTAGCATTCAACTTTGAGAATTAATTTCTCATTCACCCGAGCACCGTTTATGACGTGTCATATATCAAGACGTTCGTCTTACTTACGAGATTAATCGTCCATAATTATTTTTGGAAAATAATTTTGTGGACCCAACCGAATTTATGTCCGAAAATGTTCAATTTTACTTTAAAATTATCCAACAAGTTATGTTTAAATCACACGAGACGATTAAACAATCTTTAGGGCCTTTTATTCTCAATATTATAGATATGGAATCATAAGTTGGCCTCTAGAGCTTACTTATATCCAATAAAGGAAGTGGCAACAAGATGGCTTGAAACTCATAGAATGATTCCTAATTATAATTCGCTATGTAACAAAGTTTGATTGCATGATGGTAAGTATGGGAGCTCCATTTTCCCGAAAGGCCTCTACTTGTGTTAAAATTTAGTAAGTTTGATGTTGTAAGCTTATTGGTGATAATTACATGTTGAATTACGATTATGAAATATGTAACACCCAAACGCACGTAATCGGAGTAAATAGGTTAGCGAACCGGGTTGCTACTAGATTGGTATCCACATAGTTGGATATTAGAATAAACTAGAAGGAGTTGGAAGAAACTAGGAGTTGGAAAGTGTTGGAAGAATTTAAATGTTAAAAAATCACTCAATTAAATAACACTTCAAATAAATATGTATGAAAACTCTAGTCTTATAAAAAAATTATATTGTCCGTGTTTGAGGTGGTATATCATTAATGTAGATATATAATATTATTGTATACTCATCATATATAAATACATATTTTAAGTTGTAGTTGGAACAAACTGAATGAAGTTAGAAAGAATAAGAAGAATTGAATTTGAAAAAACTTAAAATAATTTAAAAAAATGGGAAATTAATTTTTCAATAAGGGTTTAGGCTCTGTTCCATACGCCTGATTTGATTGAATTTGATATGAATTTTTGAAGTTCCGATCTGATCTAATCTGATATGATTGGATCTGATCTGATTCGGTCTGATTTGATCTGATCGAATCTGATCTGATTTGATTTTATCTAATGAGATCTGGTGTAGATGAATTTATTATTGGCATTTTTATTTAATAGAGCATTAATGATATTTCGTATTAAGTAAAAATATTCTAAATCTAATAAAAATTATGCTCGATTTAATATTTAATATTTACGTGCTTAAAGCTAATAATGCGAATAGTAAAAGAAGAAAAAATGTTATACATAGCCACTTGTGCCTTTTTTAAAATAGCACATGACGATCTCTCTCTTATATTAATAGCATCCATCATAAAAATGTTATACTAATATTTATTTTATTGAACAGTACAACATGTATTTTCATACTTTTTCTGGCATGCGTTATAATTTTTTCAAAAATAAAATCTTTGGAAAAGAAAATGTACGAATCATTATATAAATCCATATTTAAAAAAGGTAATAATTGGAAAAATAGTGAGTAATTGTACAAATTTAAATGAAAATAAATTTAACTACGTTAGATATTTTTAATATTAGTTAAAACGTTTGTAACTGCACATGGGCTTTTCCTTATTGGTTTAAATATTTCTCATATTAGTCAAAATATGACATAAAAAGGCAAATATTTATATTTTTATAAACTCATTTTCTAAAAAGAGAAATTAATATTTCGTGATGAGACGAAAAGATATCATTAATAATAATTAAGGCGAGAATTTCTAGAATGATTTTTTTTTATAAAATTTTTAAATTTAGTTTGTAGGAATTGAATAAAAAATTAATCAAAGATACGACCATACCAAGTTCGTGCTCTTCTCATTCACGATCTGAAATTTAGGCATCGCTTAAAAGAAATTAAAGATTTTATGCAGAAGAATGAAAAGGTTGGCGGAGATGCGTAATTAAAATGAAATCAATCTAAATTTTAATACTTCGATATGTAGAAATCTGTAGAAAAGAGATGACGAAGGTAAATTATCTTAAAGATTGAAATCGATCGAAAATTGTAGTTGTAATTCGAAGAATGGAGAGGATGCTAAGCTGCGTAGACGTAACTGAAGATGAATTGCCTTCATGAGTTTTTAATCTCCGCAGGTTACTTTGTTAGATATTTCATATATTTTACCATTAATTACATACATGTACAATCATCATTTTAGTTTTAATGCCTAATTACATGACATAGTGATGTGTTAAAAAATTGCCACATGGGTACTCCACATGTCAAACTCTTGTGAAATGAGTCTCAAATATTATAATAAATGATTTTTAAAGTTTAAAAGTACATCTTTTTAAGTATAAAATATTTATGGTTTTGAAAACTAAGTTTTGTATAATTATTTTATAAACAAGTATTTTAAAACAACTCTTTTCAAAGTATGAATAATATAACTTTTAAAGCTTTAACATTGCTTCCTTGCATCATTCCTACAAGCTAAGCAATTATTAAAAATAATAGTTTGTAGTTGAAATATAATAATAATAATATAACAACAATAATAATATTTAAAATTATAATATTAATTAAGATTTAGGTGTGTGTAGCTTTAAATAAAGTAACGTGATTTAATCAAATAATAGTAATTATTATTTCATCCTTGAAAAATATAAATATTATTTTTCATACTTTTTCTTCATTTGATATTATTTGATTTGATCTGCTCTGCTCTGATCTGATTGGATTTGATCTGGTTTGATCAGATCTGATCCGATTAGGTCTAATCTGATCTGATTAAATCTGATTTAATTTGATAAGAATAAGTAATAAATAAAAAAATAAGTGGTCTTTCGGGTGCAAATATGGTATAAACTTGCCACCATTAGCTTTTTTGTTACTTTGTTGAGGGATTCTAAGGTTACACCAAAAGTGTACCCAAAATGTATATCATCCCTTCCATTATCACTCACTTTAATTTATTTATTTCTTTTTTATTTTACATGTCAAAATATATAGTAATGGAAAGGTGGTGTTTATTTGGAATATATGGTGTAAGTAGCATTTTCTGTACGTATTTTATTTTATACGAAGAAAAATGCTAGGTGTAAACCAAAGGTGTATCTCATTTGTCCCCCACCCTCTCCATTACCACAAAAATGGGCAAGAATTTTAAAAAAATTAAATAAATAAAAAATAGATAAAAATGAGTGGTGGAGAAGGGGGTGGAGGACAAATGGGGTACACCCCTAGCATTGCTCTTATACGAATCCCAAACCAGCTCTACCAGGAAAATGCTAGGAGACACCAAGTGTACCCCAAAGGTCCAAACATCCCGACCCCCTCTATCACCACAAAAAAATAAGAAAAATTAAAAAAAATAAAAATAAAAAATAGAAATAAAATAAAATGAATGATAGAAAGGGATGTGGTGTACATTCTCGCGTACCCCTACAATATCCGTGCCTGCTACCAGATATGACTAGTTTCCTACGAAGCAATTTCTGTTGGATCTAAAACACTTCGCTCGTATACAAGTTCAAAACCCTCGAAGCTTTCAATCAAGCTAAAATGGCCAATTCATCGCCGGCAGTTCTCCCAATCTCTAATTCTAAGCCCACCACCGCCGTGGCGTCTGGCGACACTGCTATCGTAGGACCCACACCGGCTTTGCGTGCCCTCGTAAGCCACATCACCGACACCGTACGCAACGGGCTCGCCAACCGCCGGCCATGGACCGAGCTTTTGGACCGCTCCGCCTTCTCAAAGCCGGAGTCCTTCTCTGACGCCACCGTCCGCGTCCGCAAAAACTACACCTACTTCAAGATCAACTACCTCTCCCTCCTCGCCGCCGTACTCGGGTTCTCTCTCATAACTAATCCCTTCTCTCTCATCCTTCTCTCTGGGCTTCTGGCGGCCTGGCTCTTCCTATACCTCTTCCGCCCATCCGATCCACCTCTCGTCCTCTTCGGTCGCCATTTTTCCGAACGCGAAACCCTCGGTGCCCTAATTTTGTCCACGATCTTCGTCATCTTCCTCACAAGCGTTGGATCTGTTCTCGTCTCGGCATTAATGATTGGCGTGGCTATTGTCTGCGCCCACGCCGCTTTCAGGGTCCCTGAAGATCTGTTCCTTGACGAGCAAGATGCACCTACAACTGGATTTCTGTCTTTCTTCACTGGGGGTGCACCCAATGTAGGAGCTGCCATTGTTGCTCCGGCCGTTGCTTCCAGGGTTTGAGCGTCAGATCTGTGATCTGTAAAACACTACTGCTGTCTTTAATGGTAAATCCTCTGAGGCCGTTCCTCGTAAATTCTGGAATTTATATACACATGTTTTTAGTATTTGAGTTATAAAAAAAACTAAATCAAGGAACATATGGTGAAATTGCTGAATATATGCATGACTGAAACTGTTGTTATGGGGAACAGATGATCATATTATGGCAGATCTATGAAATTGTTACTTTTGTGTAATCTGGTTACAGTGACTTAGATCTTTGTTAATGGTTTTTATGCATTCTTTTATTGTTCTTAAACATTTGTTAAATAGTGACACCATTGTTCTATCATAATGCAAATGAAATTCGGATACTGTGTTCATATCAAATTGTCTGCTAGTTTTGCTTTGTATTGATGTGCAGTTTTGCTTGAGGATGATGAGGCTAGTAAACTGCTTTCTTTGTATTCCTCATGCTTGCTTTCTGTGACATTTTCAGTAGAGATTTTGGATGTTCAAAAATGAGACTTGTGTAAGTATCACAGGGGAAGATTCCACTTTGCATAGGTCCATGTCAAAATCCATTTACACCCCCACATAAATTTGATTTAGGCCTACCTCTATGCGTAGGTGCATGATTGTCGCTATCCTATGGTTGTGTGCGGTTATCAAGTTAAGTTGGCTTGCCACGGACAACTCTTTGGACAACTCCAATGAAAGCCAAGGCGACGGGTCACTCAACTTAGTGTTGCCTAATCGTTTGTTTTCTCCAAGTCTAGTTCTTCCCTCCAGTCTCCCTTCCGGCATCAATCACTTTGCCGTGTTTTCTTTCGGTCCAGGTCTAGGGGTAAATGTAACTAAATCTAAATATTTTTATTTTCAATTTTTTTGTGTGGAGGCTAGAATCTTTTAATTTTTACGAGTGTTTTTTATTTAATGGTGTCTTCCAGGCGTACCTCTCTTGCCCTCGTTTTACCCTCCAGACTCCCTTCTCTTTGTGCTAACATTGTACCCCGTATTTTATTATTTTCCCCTTCTTTCAAGTGTCCTTTTTCTACCCATTTATATTTGTTTAATGTTAAGTATGTTTTTACTTTTATCTTATTTGTTTAAATTGTTCTTGATGACTATTTCCTTGTTACAGTTAGGTGTGAGAATTTAATCAAACCCACCGTCTAATCATTCAAGAAAGTTGAACCAACCGAATTTTTGGTTTTGGTTTGCTAGTTCAAAAACTAACGGTTATTTCGTTTAAGTAGTTTGGTTTTCGATTATGAAGTTATAAAATTGGACCGACCGAAAAACAAAACCAAGCCCATAAGTTCCCAACCCATATTTCATGCTTCTGCCCAGCCCATCCTTTATAGCGTGTTCCCCCGAGTCACCTCTCCTCTCTTTGTCACCAGCACCCCCCTGAATGATTGCTCCTCTCTTTGTCACCAATAGACCAGCCGCACTGTACCGCACATGCCAACAGTGTGTGGTTCCGAACAAGGTAATCTCTGATCTATCCAATTATTTTTGGATTTCATTTCGTCTCAACTTTTTGCTTCTTTTCATCGTTTTAATCTTTGAATTTGGTTATGATTTGTGCTCCATTGCTACTTTGGGTTTCGCAATTTGTTTTGTCGCCATTGTGGACCGAGCTTGCTTCACCCATGTAATGGGATTAATTAATGGAATTTCTTCTTGCTAGTTTATGTTTCATCTTTGTTCCCCCCCTCCCATGTTTCTTTTTTGTATTGTGCGTTCTACAATTATTAGTTTTTTTAACAGTTAGAAGCTGATTGATTATAATTCGGTTTGGGAAGATCATTTCCGTACTGAGGGAATATATATAGCAAAGATCACCTATTTTTTTCAACACTTTTTTTTCAAAAAAACCAAAGGGAGTGGATCATGACCAATGTTGACTGGACTTTGACTGCTGTCTACCTCTGTTGACTGGCGCCGCCACCGCCGCTGCCCTCGCCAGTCACCAGCCTCTGCCGTTGCCGGTTGCCGCTGCCCGGTGGTTGACCGCAGTGTATAGCAACGAAAACTCGATCGTCGCAATTTAGCGCTTTTCTTGTAGTGCTTATTTTAGTTTCAGCTTGTCGTGAGCCCTTGATAATCAGGACCGGCCCTGGGTTTGGATGTTAGAAATGATCAGTGGCGGGTCAAGGAATTGAGCTAGATGGGAGTACCATTCTTCAGGGGTCCGGGGGGCAGCACTCTCGGATTTTTTTTGATAGTCTATTTGAAATGATAACAAAATGAAATTTATTTCAAATGTTTATTGAATGTAAAACATTTTCAATAGGTAATGTGAATTTTTATTTTATAAACAATTAGTTATATATAATAAAATATACTTTGCAAAAAAAAACAAAAAGTGAAATTTGGCCTAATTAGATGGGGTCACATTCTTTTTTGTTTGGAGGCGTGTATATACATAAACTTTAATTTTTTTTAAAACTTTATTACAAAAAAAATCAGTTGGGCCTCGTACTCTATAGAAGTGGATGGGTCACGGGAAATGATCCGAGTAAGAAAATGGACATGGAAGGAATATTGAGTGGGACAGTCCTTTTACCTTGCTGCCGCTACTTCTCATCTCTTGGTAACTATTTATGGCCTTTTATTGATGGATGGTGTTGGTCAAAGGTAGAAAACACAATTGAATTGAGGGTGAATGGAGAGAACATGGAAGGAGAGTACAAAGTATATATACACACCCGAGTACTCCGAAACATGGTGTTGATTTCTAGTGCTCACATGCATGTAGCATTCGGTATTTAAATGCTGACTAATTATAATTTTTGTATAAAATCTTTTGCTTTCTAACATAAAATTTAAATTTTACATTAAATAATCATTGTTTTATTATTTTTTTTATATGAAATCTATCAATTTTCTAATCTTTCGTTTTCTAACTTACATAATAATTATTTCTATTAAAGTATATTATAAATATTGTTCATCCTAACACATTTTTGAAATACAACAGAAAACTGTTTTATCATTTTTAATATGTTATATAAACTCTATTTTTTTAAATACAATTATTTATACACTTTTAAAAACTATGCATCACATATTTCATTTTATTATTACTTTTAATATATACATGTGCATCTCTATTCTAACTACATATTTTATTTAGAAACTTTTTTACTCATTTACATTTTAAATTGGAGTGTACGTACATATATTTTCCTAGGACCATGCTACACTTACACCAAAAGTTGTACCCCAAAGTTACACCAAAGATATATACACTAACATTTTTATTGATTTCACTTACACAAAATGCTAGTGCATTAATAAAAATTTGCACTAACATTTTGTGTCTATGTGAACTATTACCCTAGCATTACACGAACATAAAATGAAGGTGCAAACTTACGGGGTACAAATCTTGAGTTACACATAGCTTAATCCATTTTCCTAACAAGCAAAACTTATTTATATTTTTAACTAGTTTCTTATTTTATGTATTAAAGTTTTAAAAACTTTTAGGATAGTAAAATGTCACATGTGCTCCACGTGACACGCCTAACTCACATACTCCGTATTTAATAGAGGCAGGTTCTTGCAACATTGGAAATCAATATCATGGGATGACCCGGGGTACTCCAGTGTCCCGTTCGTAAAATTGATGATTTTTACTCCTCTGGTTAACCCCTTCACCCCGCCCTGACTCGAACACACTCCACTCCCTCTTCCATTTCACCCCCAAGTTAATTTTGACTTTGAAGTCAAAATTTGACCTGAAAGTCAAAATTAACTTGAGAGTGCAATTGAAGGGAGAGGGGGGGGGGGTATGTTCGGGTCGGGGCGTAGTGAGAGGGTCTACCGGGGGGTAAGGGAAAGGTAAGAACTGTCAATTTTACGAACGTGGCATCAGAGCACCCTGANCATTGATTTCCAATGTTATGAGAACCAAGGAAATAATGATTACATATTTTTATCTCTAAAATACGACTATTTCTTTGTGATAATTCCACACCGTAGATTAACGTTTCTAATGTTTTTTTGTTGTATATATTGGCACTTTAAGCGATATTATAGAAATAAAGGTTGGGAGATGCTAGGGGTACACTTTTGGTGTACCCCATTTGTCCCCCACCCCCTCCACAACCACTTATTTGTATTTAATTTTTATTAATTTATTTTGTTTTAATTTTCTTGCTTATTTGAGTGGTGATGGAGGGGGTGGGGGACAAATAGGGTACACCAAAAGTGTACCCCTAGCATTTTCCATAAAGGTTTCAATGTTTTTTTTTGAACAAAATGGAAGTTTCATTTAGTCAAGGCACAACTCGATCTATTATTACTCCATCCGTCCCAAAATATAAGCAACACTCCACTATTTAAAAATCTCGGAAATTTTTATTTATTTTTGCATTTTCATTGATTATTTGATAGAATAAAATATTCTTGTCGCCACTTGTTTTGTAGAACTTTTGACGTAGTTTTTAAATATGTAAGTTTTATTTTTATTTGTAGACCATTCTTTAAATAAAATGGATTGAAAAAGTTTAAAAAATTACTTCGTTTAGCGTAATGTGGCAAATAATTTAGGACGGAGGGAGTATTGAATTAAATTAAGTGTATCCCAAAATAAGGTAGCCCATTTGTATCCAGCCATTCACACACATACTCTCTGTATCTTTGCGTGCACAGACATGAAGAGTATGTATGTTTATGAATAACTGGGATACCTCATTTTGGGATACACCTATGCCCATTATTATTATTTTGGCGAGGTACAACTTTTCATCTTCAATACAAAGTCTAAATTCTGGGATTTGAAATTCGTTTGGCGGTGTTTGAAGACTAGAAATCATTTAAAAATCTTAAATTTCAATTCCAATATTTGAAATCTCATAATTTCAAATTTCAAATGTTGTTTAAGAAGTCATGGAATTGCATCTCTAGAATTTGAATTTTGAAGTCGATAAAGACGATAACGGAAAGCGGTTGATATGTATGGAACTGTTATTGAAAAGCGAGATCACTGTTTAATTACAAGTTATAAATTAAAGTAAAGTTGAGTTTGAATTTGTAAATTACATGGAGAGAGAGGTGTGGATTTATAATGGGAGAAAAACCAAACTAGAACTAAAACATTGAAAATATACCAAACTAGGACTTCCATGTTTTTATTCTCGAAATAGGACTTACATTACCAAACATGGTCATATACATTACAAAAAAAGTATAGTAATTTGCACATGTACACTGCCACATTACCACAATGCAAAGTCACATTACCACAATGCAAAGTCACATTACCACAGTGCAAAGTCCTATTCCGGGAAAAAAACATGAAAGTACTAAACTATTTTAGTACTTTTCTCTATGTTTTAGTCCTATTTAGGATGATTTCTAATTTATAATTGACTTAATTTTGAATTAAAAGAATTCAGTAAAAATTCAAATCCAAATTCTTAGAGTTTCATAACAATTAATTTTGATCAAACTTTGATGTGAAATCTAAATCAAAATTCCCCAACACACTAGCATTTAGCAATAAAAACTAAAAGGTCCTAGAAACCACTTGTGTCAGGAAACCAGCAATCTCAATCAAAATTACAAGGAGCTTCATTGGCATTAACTCCTTTGGCACATTCCATTTCAAAGCGGAATATCAGCAAACACCTTAAGATCGAAAAATCATCATCATAAAAAAAGAGGAAGAATTGCAAACAAACCTTTAATCTGTGGAACTCCCCTCTCTCAAGAGTCAAGACCATCATCATCTTCTTTTCCTTCGCTTGCCGGTCTTCAATGCCTCAGGAAACTTGAACCCTCTCTGCAAATCTTCATTGAAGACAAAACCTCCCAACGCACAACAGCAGAACCCCAAAACCCAATCCAAGACCCTTCTTCTCCACACACTAACCGAAAGAAAAAACAGGATCAAGCCCAAAACTGCAATACCTAAATCAACTTCTCCCCACAATGCCAATGACAAGACGCCGAATCCGATAACCGCCAACACTCCCAAAACAATCCAATCCCATTTCCTCCTCCCACCGGAGCCATCCCCCCCTCCACGCCCCTTGGAGAAGAAACCGCGGCCCCCATCTCCACCACAAAATTCCCTTATCAGAAGGTCCAATGGCTCTGGAAGAATTTTGAGCCAGGATGCTACCAAGTAGGCCGATTCGAGCAGGATCTTAGTTGATCTTGAAGACCCAATGGATCTCCTTTTCCTGTTCGAAGCAGACACGATTGAACTCCTCCTCGCATTGGTTTCGAATTGAAAGTAATGGAGACAAGGACGCAAGGAGTGCCAAAGTAAGGACGATCTATTCAGAGAAATGGGAGATTGTCTTGGGTTTTTACTAGATTTGTACAAGAAATTTGGACCGGAAATTAAGCTTTGCGTTCGGATCTGATGTGCGAGCGAGCCGTGCATTTTCATCAAGAATTTTCTAAGAGTGGGGAAGATAAATGAAGAGACCGTTACAGAATACGGACTTACAGCTTTCCAAATTCAAGGATGGTGTATCTACCTCCTCCCTCCCAAAATTAGCTCCCTATTTGTTTTTTCTTGGTCAAATATTTATAACTTTGACTAGAAAATATAGAAAAAATATATTATGTTATAATATAAATTTAATATCAACAGATTCATTTTGAAGTACTGTTTAAAAATATCAATGTTTTATAATATAAATTATAATAAACAGAGATATTAATGGTCAAAATAGTGCATTAGTGACCATGAAAAGATAATCAGGAAAACAACTCTGGAACGAAGGGAGTAATTCAAAATGTACCAAGGAGGCAAGGATGATGGTTTACATTTACATAAATTGTCAGTGCGATACCAAAATTTTGCATTGACATTTTGTGTCAATTTAAGCTTTCAATCTCAGATTTACATTGACACAAAATGCAAGTGTAAACTTTTGAAGTATAATCTTTGAAGTACGCGTAGATTTATTCTTCAAAATTTCCATTTATATTTGTGGCTACACTGAAAAAACATTTACAATTGAATTTCTTAAAATTGTGAGTCCCTAAAATTTTACACCTAACTAGAGTTGACAAGTACCGAACCGATCTTGGAAAAAATTGAGAGTACCGAACCGAAAAAATACCATCGAGAACCGAAGCATACCAAACAATTAGTACGGTATTTGGAAATACTACGAGGTAGCTTCTCATTCTAGAAAATCCGGAACCGAACATATAGATGAATATATTATAAAAATAGTAATCATTTTATATTCTTATTAAATATTAAATTTATTTTAAAAATTTGGTTCAAATTTTATTATGGGTAAGTTATACTTTAATTTGAGTTTTAGTTTTTTGTAAATGAATATAAAAATATTGATAAACATTCAAAATACTATTTTGTAATCATTCATGTTTTTTAGATTGTAAAATATATATTAAGTTTTATTAAACATTTCTTGCATTTAATTATTCATTTTTCAGTATTTAATTTATTTATTTAAATGTATTTTCAATCTTTCAAAAATAAAGGGGACGTATGTATTCATCCCGGTTTGTATCAAAACCGATACCAACCCAATATTTCGAGATTGGTACAGCTTAAAATCACATACCGAACTGATTTATTTAACGTACCATGCTCATCCCTACTCTTAAAGTTGAAACAAGTTTGTGAGCTACAACATATGGCAATGATAATGACTTCTAGGGCATGTTTTGTTCATCTGATATGATTGGAATAAGTTCTTATCTAATTTAGTCTAATCTGGTCAGATCTGATTTGGTTTTAGTTGTATTTAGGGATGTTTCTGATCTGATCTAGTCTAATCTGATGTAATTCAAACAAATAAGAAATAACACTAAGTTAAAGAGAACAAGCTCTTAGTGTATATAATGTTACCCATTGTATTATACTCCTTGCACCCATAAAATAAGTTCCCACTTTCCTTTTCAAGTTTTCAATAAATTATCCTCTTGTTTCTTTTTTTGAAAAAATATATATTAAAATGATTATTTTACCCTCAATCTCGTTTTTGCCAATTTTTCTCATGAACCTGATCTACCTCCATCCTCCACCTTCTTCATCCTCCCTTACCATCCCTGCTTCTTCTTCATATTGTTTTCTATTTCCTCCCATCAATTTATTTTTCTTCAATCATTCTTTGTTGTCACCTTCACCTTCATCCACCGCCTGCAATTGTCATCGCCTGTCATCGTCACCCTACAAATTTGTCAGATCATTCTTCGTAGTCACCGCCTATAGTTCTTATTCGCCTGCAATTGTTGCTGACATTTTGTTTTCTTGATGAGTTGAAGAATCATCTCGTCTTCTTCCTTTTTCAATTTGATTTAATTTCAATTCGACTAAGATGTTAGGGTTGGTATTTTTCTTCTGCAATCAATATATGCATATGTAGATCTGTTTTTGATTTAATTTCCATTTTGAGCTGTTAATGTCATTTTATACTCTTGGGGCTAGTTTGGGCAATTAAATTTATAGTTTTACTAATTTACAGTTTTGAAATTGACTTCGGAGATTGACGACGATGAATAATGGTGAATTCCCTTTGTGCCTAGAGTCACTCGCCTCTGATCTCGGTCGTTGTTAGATTTGGAAGCATGGTGTTTTCCACATTCATTGTTCTCATTGTTAGATTGGTTCTTCAAATGATATAGTGGCAGTGGAGTGAAGGGTATTTTGTAAAGTCAACATAAATTTCAATTTTTCTTAATCTCTGTGCTTGGTCAAATTGAGAAGTATTTTATGGACGAATGGAGTATCATTTATTGTGTGAGTTTGGCCTAATGTAATTAGCCCGATGTAATTAGGTCTTTCTTTAGTTGTATTTATACTCCAAGATTATCAATGACAAGTCAGTTTGGTTTGCATAAGTTTCTTCATCGCATCTGAGCTAACTTCCTGGAGATAAGAAAACCCTAGATATATTCTTTTCTATGTTTTTGCTTCATCTGATAGTTATCAAATAATGGTGTCACCACTGTGTTGTCGCCAATCTAACTCGTCGGAGTGCTTTCCTTACTTTCACTCGAAGAATGTATGAGCCTCGCCATGTCCACTGGTGAAAATTCAAAGAAGGTTTGTTTGATCCATGATCTGATGTCTCCATATTATCTTCGTCCATCCGAGGGTGCAAGTAATTCTCTTATTAGATTTTTGAATAAAGAAGGTAATTATGATATTGGGAGAAGTCTATTGTCAACACCTTGGAAGGGCATTGTTGAGCAAGTTTGTTGATGCCTACTGGTTTTTCTAAACCCACCTAGAAACAAGAATTTGCCCTTGAAAGATAAACGTTCTATTTTTTGTATTTGGATTTGTAATAATGTTGATGAATTAATTAATACTTTAATTACGTTCCATAATAATTTTCATGAGCTGCGGCCCAACCTGAAAACACTGTATGGGACTATGGGCTTGTAATGGACCTTATGTTCATTAGTTGAACTTAAAATTTCAGTCTGTATGGAGGAAGGGACAAACTGTTGTGGTTTATTACAACCAGTTTGTTACTTTGTATAACAAATTGTATGTGTTAGTTTATCTTCCTTGTAAATGTAGGTGTGAGGCAGCGAATCAAACTCAAACCCGCAAGGAACATGAAAAAACCCACAATTTATTGTTAGGACTTGATGTGAACCATAATTTACTGTTAGGACTTAAGCGTTAGCGAAGTACTGTTTGTGGTTGAGATGATAGAACTGGTGGCGCAGCTTTTTCCATTCATCAACCTCCTTCCAAACCTCTGTTAGCTTATTCGGATACGGGTATAATACGTCTATTCGTACGTTCGTGTATAATACGGACCACTTTTTTAAAATACGTCTTATTATACATTTTATACGTTCGGAGTACGTATACGGATACGTTCGTGTATTATACGTCTGATATTTCAAAAATACGGCTTATAATGAATGCATATATTTTTAATAAGAAACGCATTTTAAACTTTGAAATTGAATTAAATACATCATAAAGTTCTAAAAATTTAACCAACACTACAATTTATTGTTTATTCATTTTTTTCATGTGTACCCAAAGGAGATCTTTCAATCTAATTATTATTGTGTATTTTCACAAAATGTATTCAAAGTAAGAACACATTCTGAAAAATGAAGCCAACATTATTTAAGACATGAAAAATTTATATTATTAGACAATTTATGTTTTACAAAATTGATTAAATGTTTATCATGAATTTAAAAGGAAGATTTAAGTCTCTTTATAATTTAAATTTGAACTTACTAAATAATGCTTTACACAATTTAAAAGTTGAGTAAAATTAAATTTAGTCTATATTTTTTATTTTTAGAATACAAATATATAGTTACGAACTTAGATTTTTTTGAATTTAGATCATATATATATAATNAAGGAGATCTTTCAATCTAATTATTATTGTGTACTTTCACAAAATGTATTCAAAGTAAGAACACATTCTGAAAAATGAAGCCAACATTATTTAAGACATGAAAAATTTATATTATTAGACAATTTATGTTTTACAAAATTGATTAAATGTTTATCATGAATTTAAAAGGAAGATTTAAGTCTCTTTATAATTTAAATTTGAACTTACTAAATAATGCTTTACACAATTTAAAAGTTGAGTAAAATTAAATTTAGTCTATATTTTTTATTTTTAGAATACAAATATATAGTTACGAACTTAAATTTTTTTGAATTTAGATCATATATATATATAATCAAATTTGTATTTTTAAACGTGGACAAATATTTAATCTTAAGGACTAAATATAAAAAATTGACCACATTTTCAAAATCTAAACAAATAGAGAAAAATGTTGGTCTACTATTCGCTAGTGCAGATGCAATGTTGGATTTTCAGCCGGACGAAGTCGAAGAAACTGGTAGGGTGTAGGTGACATTTTATTAACAAAAGGTATTGGAGGATGACTTGAACTACAATTCGACTTTTAATACTTTTATAATAATTGAGTCGCCAAATTTTAAAGATTTGTATTTTTGCAGAAAGACAACCAATTTAATTGATCTCATCTGAATTTGACCCCAATGATTTTGCAATATAATACGTATAAAATTCGTAAATACGTTTGTGGTCAAAAATACGTGTATTATACGTTCGTCCCATTAAAAATTCGTATTCGGGAGTATAATACGTGTATCATACGTACGGGTGTATAATACGCGTATTATACGCGAATAAGCTAACAGAGCTCCAAACCTCTCAAATGCTTGTGTTGTCATTGTGGGAAAGACAAAAATTTAGTCAAAAATAAAATGGAAAATTAAATTAAAATGTAAATATTAAATTCAATTGAGACTCAAAACTACTTCAAAATAACCCTAAAAAGTGTATAAAATATATTCATATTAGTGACACAAGGGACCAAGCTGGCTCCCCACTGATGGACCGGGTGTGTTGGGAATGGGCAGGCTCAGCCTCCATTCCCTCACCCAACCAGGCAAATGCACTGACATGGGTGGTGCCAGGTCCCAACCTTAACTTTACGGATTTCCAGTAGCGTTCTTCCCTTCTTCTTTTTGTGTTCACGAGGAATGTCCCACTCCTCGTCCCACTCTCGATTGATATGCGATGGACGTCCAGGGTGCTCTATGGGTGGCGTGATGGTCCCACGGTGGTCATTACACCCAGCAAGTTGACTAGAGGCAACGTACTGACCACTTGCGGCTGGATATGAGAAGGATGTTGCACCGGTGAGGGGACAAGTGGTGCCGTCGTCATGGGAGCCTGCAATGGTACTAGCCCTGCGCCGAGTGTGCAAAAGGTAACATCCCTGGGAGGAAAGGCATTCCCCTTGCCTGCTGGCACACAGCCATGAATTGGCAAATCCTCTGGATCGCCTGCAAGTTTGCAGGGTCATTGATAAACTGTGCCATGCTTTGCGAAAAGGTCACCCTCGGGCTAGTCAAAGGTAAAGGGAACAGAACCATCTGTCTGACAGATGGTGCGGTGATGGAGGGAGCCGTGACCTGGCCTGGCCGAGTCCTAATGGAATCACCACGGTAGAAGGGGTTTGGGGTGAGGTGACCGGAACGACCACTACCTTAGTGGCGGCCTTTCCTTGAACATAGTTGACTATGGCGTTTTGTTGGCTTGAAGACATTTTGGATAAGTGGTGGTTTCGTGAGTATGCTTTCTAGATGAAGAAAGAAACCTTAACGATCTCACGGGTGGTTCCAAAAATGATCGTTTTAATTAACCAACCGGTCAAACTACCTTAGATCGGGTCTAGAGTGGTTAAGTGAGTTAAGATACTGAAAGGATTCAAGAAACGAAGATTGACCCGTCAAGCTCCCTGGACGAGTGTACGGTGACGAGGACGAAGAGGATGGTTCCTACGCCCCGTCAAGCTCCCTGGACGAGGATGAGTTTGACGACGCTGTTGACGGTGATGAGATGGACGACGACGACGACGAGGAGGAAACCGAAGACGAAGACTAGGACGCCCCTAGAATTTTTCTCTTTTATTTTAATTATCATGTTTTTTAATGCTTCCGTTGTACTCCGCTATTTCCCATCTTCAATAAATAAAAGTTATCTTTTAGTGGCGGCCTTTGCTTGAACATAGTTGACTATGGCGTTTTGTTGGCTTGAAGACATTTTGGATATGTGGTGTTTTCGTGAGTATGCTTTCTAGATGAAGAAAGAAACCTTAACGATCTCACGGGTGGTTCCAAAAATGATCGTTTTAATTAACCAACCGGTCAAACTACCTTAGATCGGGTCTAGAGTGGTTAAGTGAGTTAAGATACTGAAAGGATTCAAGAAACGAAGATTGACCAGGAGGACTGTAGGTAGGAGCACTTGTAGCCCACATGTTATTAAGTACGAGAAGAATACATGGAGGTATTGCACAATATCTGTTTAGAGAGATGAAATTCTATTATGTTCTACGGAGGGTTACAAGGGTACTTATAGTGAAGCTAGGGGACAATGTGGCCAGGCACCCATACCTGGCCACGTTCCAGCCACGTGATAGGATGCTTGATCAGATTATACTTTGTCTCGTAGTGCTTGTCCCTATATCCTCGCAGTTATGGTCTATAACTTTCCTCTTGGCGCACAGTGCTTGTTGGAACATGGGTTTACGCCTATGTCGTACTAAACCGTGTTCGTGTTATGATAGGTTTTGATAATGCCAAACCGCCGTTGACAACAACAAGATTAAACTGAGCATAACCAAGGCGAAGGAACATGGCATGATGAACTGAGAACCAAGAACCAAGAATCAAGAACAAAGACTTAGCATTGTATTGAGTCGGTCTTAATGTGATCAAGACCGGCACAAACTTTCAAAACTTGGCTCTCTAGGCTCATATCATCAAAATACTTTTTGCATATTCAAAAATGTTTTTCATAAGTTTTTAAACATGGCTAAAACCACTTGGAGTTCGCCCAAACCAAAAACCAAGTCATCCGGCGTTCGGCTTTCAGTAACCGGCGTTCGGCTTTCAGTAACCGGCGTTTGGCTTTCGGTTTTCGGCATTGGTTTTTGGCATCCGAACCAACCAAGTGGTTTTCAACTTTTTATGATTGGTTTTTACTTCTGGGCATATTTAAATAGTTCTCCAACAATAACGCTTCAAAAACCACCTTCCGTTTTTGGTCGTTTAGTGAAAACCATGCGAAACGACACAAACTTGGTTAGCCGTGGTTTTCAACTAAATGACGTGGTTTTTGAGTTGTTTTACTTGGTTTCTTAGCAAAATGCAATAGAAAAAATGTTTTCAACACTTGGTTTTTATTTTGGAGAACTTACGTTTTTGGCATCGGCTAACGGCATGACTAAACCAACCATGGGTCTGGCTAAACCAGCCCAACAGCGATGTTGGTGCAACCAACAGCGCTGTCTGGCTTGAGTAGCTGAAAACCATAATTTGGCGTTAAGTCTTCCAACAGCGATGTTGCATACTAGACATCGCTGTTGAGCCAAGGTTGTGTTTCCAGAAACATTTGGAACAGCGATGTAGCCTTGCCTACAGCGCTGTCCAACCTAAGCCAAAAATATAGTGCATTGGCAGAAAGTTTTTGGACAACGATGTTGACCCAGCAACAGCGCTGTCAGGCCAAAACTCCACCTTCAAAGTCAGACCTAAACAGCGATGTTCAAGTATTGAACAGCGATGTAGGGACCTGACAGTTGGAAGGGATTTAAGGCTAAAACTTTCCTTGTTTGGAAGTCAACAGCCAAAACAGCGATGTAGGAGTATTGGACATCGCTGTTGGCATGACCGTTGCTTCCCAATTTTCAAAACGCAAGCCTAGAACAGCGATGTCCAAGCCTAGGACAGCACTGTCTCGGTGAATCTCAGCAGATCCAAATTTAATCAAATCCCACAAATTGTGCCAATCACCCCTTAAATGTTTTGATCCGTTGGAGCCTATTTTTCCACTATAAAATGGGGTGTTTTGGGTCTGTTTTATATATCACATTACTTCACAACTCCTATTCTTTCATTGCATAGTATTCATACATTATTCATAGCTTTTCGAGAGCCATTTTTGTGAAGTTCGTGTTGTGTTCTTGAGCGTACTTAGTTTACTCATTATCTACTCTTAAAGAGAGTCTTGTTCTTGAGTGTTTAGTGTTGTATACACATTAAGGGAAGCTTGTTTCCCTTGGTCGTACGAAGGAAAGGTATTTTTCCTTCGGGTTGAAGTCTTGGAGTGCGGTATCTCCGAGCAAGTGTATTGAGGCTCGTGGGACTCGAGTTCTCAGGTTGTAACGGTTTGCTAAGCACCTGTAAGCTTAACGGAAGTAGTGTAGCTCGAGAGAGTCTCTCGGGAGGATGGATTAGCCACAAGTTGTGGTGAACCAGGGTAAATCCTGGTGTGCTCCCTTTACGCTTTCTACGCTCTTTATCTTTCACGCTCTTAATTTTTTATTCCTGCGATTTCTACGATCAAACGCTATTCACCCCCCCTCTAGCGTTGGTCACTTATTCTAACAATTGGTATCAGAGCCTAACTCGCGTCCAAACTTAACCGTTTGAGAGTAAAAGCGATCATGGGTTCTTCTTCTAGAAATTTGTATGCAGGAATAGGTGAAGGGCAATCAACCACACGGCCACCTCTTTTTGATGGAACAAATTATACATATTGGAAACAACGAATGAGAATCTATATTCGTTCCACGAACTTCCAATTATGGTTGGTTATCAAAAACGGGGAAGAGGTGCCGATGAAGAAAGTCGAGGACAAATTGATCCCCAAGACCGAAGATGAATTTGATGCGGAGGACATCAAAAAGGTCGAGAATTATGCAAAGGCAATAAACATGCTTTATTGTGCCGTAAATCCTAATGACTACCGCAAAATCTCTTGCTGCTCAACCGCCAAGGAGATGTGGGATAAACTTGAGGTGACGTACGAAGGAACGGACCAAGTACGTGAAGCCAAGATCGACTTCCTCACCCAGGAGTGTGAGATGTTTAGAATGAAGGAGCACGAAAACATCGACAACATGTTCGACCGATTCTCCAAGATAGTCAACGATCTTCATGCTTTGAAGAAGACCTACACCGACAGGGATCTTGTGCGAAAGATCTACGGAGCTTGACATCCGAATGGCGATCTAAGGCCGATGCCATCTATGAGTCAATCGGCACATCAAATGTCACCATCGACGGTTTAAGAGGTAACTTAAAAACGTATGAATCTACTATACTTAACCCGTCTTTGAATGACTAGAGAAAAGGCATAACATTAAAAGCCACCAAAGAACCGACAATGAATGACTCAAGCGATGATGATGAAGTCAAGCTTGTCATGAAGAAGTTTTGCAAACTTCTAAGAAATAAAGAAAAGGTTGAGGATGGCCCTGTGTGCTATGGATGTAGTGAAGCCGGGAACATCAAGAACAAATGCCCGAGAAACGGAAGGAACACTCGCCACTTCAAAAAGCAAAGAGCATACATCTCTTGGGGTGGCGACTCCGGCGACGAGTCTACCGACCAAGACGAGGATAAAACTGCCAACCTCTGTCTCATGGCACACGAAGACCAAACCGACAATGAACAAGAGGTATGTACCATCTCTTCCGACTCTTACACTTTTGAAGAAATGCAAGAAGCACTTCATGAACTTTATGATGAATTTGTTAGCGCTTCTAAAAGTAACAAATCGTTAAAGAAACGCCTCTCCACTCTTGAAAATGATTTTGAAAATTTGGATAAAGATAATGAGAAGTTAAAACAAGAAAATAAATTTTATGGCAAAAGAAGCACCGACAAACCAGAAAGTTCCTCAAACGAATGTGAATATTGTAAAGCTTTAAGGGAACAAGTCACAAAACTTGAGAGTACGGTCAAGAGATTTAATACTCTGCACAAAGATTTAAATTTGCTCCTTGACACTATGCTTTTTTCTAATGAAGGAATATGTTTCAATAAAAATGAAGTTAAGGTTAAAGAAAACGTTGAGCCACCATCTAGACAATCATCTAAGGCTCAACGTAAGAAACCTAAAAATCAGGATAATAGAAAACCTAGTCAACCTAAGGACACTAGACAACCTAGACTAAAACCTAGGAATGAAAATGTTCATGGTAGACAACATAAGAAAAATGATTTTGTGCATAATAATAATTTTTCTCAAAATAGGAGAAATAACATAAGGACACCTAGAAATGATTCTTTTGAAAACATGCATAAAACATCCTTTTCTCAAAATAGGATGAATATGGTTAGACCCCCTAGCTATTATCAACCTAGGCATATGTTCAACCCAAACGTAGTATGCCATTATTGCAATAGGGTAGGACATATAGCTCCCGTGTGTTTTACTAGACATAGGCATCTCACCTATAATGAAAGACACAACATATTTGGTGCTAACGAAAAGAAATCCTTTAGAAAAGGGTATTCGTATCATAAACAATCTCCACAGGCTAATGCACAAAAGAAACTTTACTATTTCTTTTACTTTGACGAAAAGAAGAAAGTCCACATTCCGTTACCGGAACCGACACAAATCACACCGAGATATCGGCATTCCGTTTAGGTAGACTGGAACCCGCCAACCACGGGACGACGGGTTGGCCAAG